ATCTTTGTGAGTAAGCGTAAATTACAATATAGGCTTTTTGTGGAATGTCTTCAGCTTTCTTTCAAGACTTGTGGATCTTTTTGAATGAATAGAAGAGTCAAAATTAGTGATATAGTCAGATGCATCATACTGTGTTGGGTTATTACTGCACAATGCAATGTAATAAAAACTATGGTTCATGCTTAATCTCAAGTAGACCTGACTTTTTTTAGCAGGCTCAGTAAGGCAGCAATCAAAACTTAAAACCCATAATGAATATCAGATTTGTTTTGGTAAAAAAGTGTGACATTTAAGGTTAATTAGGAATATTGGTTAAGTTATATATGGACAAAAAAGCACCTTCCAGTTAAAAGGAACACATGAGCATTAAATCCTTAATATTGTTGTTTCGATTGCTTTTAAAAAATATATCTGATTTACCAAAATAAAAGTGAGAAAGCCAACTTATTACCCAGAAAAAGTAAACTATAGCGCATTGTCATACTTTTAAATAAGCACACATTGATTTCTTTAGGGATCTAAAGGGCTCTATTTACTCACTCTGTCAAAACTAACAAACTTGTCAACACTTTTTGATCTAACTAAAGTCAATACACCATCATGTCTCCACTGTGTTTTTAAACCTCATACACCTTCACTTGACTCATTTGGAGGATTTTAGCCCTGGAATTCCCCATCTCTTCTAAACAAAAGCCAAAACGGAGCTGTTAACTTGAAAACTACCACCTCATGACATCAAAAGGTGGAGCAGAGCATTTTCAGATTTGGAGATGTAGACAGACTAATAAACTTGGATTATTCAAACATGTGTGAATGAAACAAAACACAACACCAGGTTTGTTTTTGAGGAGCTAATAGTGCAACACAAGAGTGACTTTTATGTAATATAGAACCTTTAATGTGCAGGACAATGTGCAGTGGAGTTTTTCTTGAATTAATCTTTTAACATGAGCCTTAATATTGCAGCCCAAAATGTATTGTAATGTATGTATCCAACTTTCATATATTGAAATTAAGTTGATATAGTAATTATTGTGGCCTATATCAAAGTATATTATCAAAGTAACCGCATTCATGCTGTCATGATAACACATTTTGAATTGCCACTGAGAAAATATCACAATATCCACCTTATTCCACCCCGCCCACTTTTGTGTCTAAATGCTTCTAATCTGCTCTTTTTTATGGTGACACTTCTGGTTAAACAGGGATCCCATTCATGTCAATGGAGAATTTGGGAAACTTTTTGCATCTTAAATATGACATAAAGTCAGTTCATTTCTGTAAAATGTAAAATGTTCATGTGCACCAGCAAGTCACACTGCACTAATTCTCTAGGGGGCTTTAAAAACAGCTTTATAGTCCTTATTGAACTTATTTGCTGTAAAGATCAGAAGCCCCATACAAAATAATCCAACCCGAATGATGATGGTGACACCCATGACATCTTCCAGAATAAGGTGAATACAATAATACTGAAACTTGTTTATGCCACTGACGCAATGACCCTGGAAAGATCCGTGTCATAATCCCCACTAACAATTTTTCCAGCAGCTAAAAGAAGAAAAGAAATGTAAACTACATACTGGGCAAGAAATATATATAATATATTTACCAACAATAAACAACATACTAGTTAGTGACTAGCTAGATCATACTACAAAAGTTATAAAAGTTAGGTCTGTAATTAACTAAAGTAATCCTTGGTCGACTAGAAACATCATGGCGATCGATTACACATTGTATCTAACTGCACTCCAAGACTACAACTGTATCAGAATTCATGCAAAACAACAAAAAAAGTACTAGGAAACAATGCATTTAAATAAAGACAATTATTGAGTGAGTTAAGTCTGTCTAAATAGATAAAAACTGCACTCCGCAACTTCAGCTGATTCAGTCCAATGAGGTTAATTTAGTCTTCCGATGATTTAAGTAATTAGGTTCTTTTTTCAGACCAAGAGTTTGTTTTCATACCTGACAGTTTTGCTGAAAGAGAGAATTCAGCTGACTCACTTCTCCTTTCTGTTGTTCCTTCTAACATCCTTATAATCTAGCCACTAAATCATGGGTACATTTTCTTTGCACTAATGGGAAATTTTTTGATAATTTTTTGGCAATATGATACAATTTGAGTAAAATGTTAAATTAATTACTTCTGTGACTCATTACAAAACTAAGTACTAAAGTGTTTATTTCTGCTGTTTATTAATTGCAGCTCATGTTTTGTTTTCTAGTATTGTACATTTAGAAAAGTTTTGTGGTTTAAATCTCCTCTTGGGTTATTACCGTTTATCTTCTATTTACCTCAGCAATATTTCACACTTCAAAATTTGTTATCATGACAGACCTATACTTTAGAACTCTCCAGGTAAAGGAAAAACATCTCCATGGCAGAAGCATCTTATTTTGGAGTGAATGAAGACATGAAATTTGAAATTGCATTACTGTCAATTTGGGGTAGGATGAGACAAAAAACAAACAAAAAAACAAAACAAACAAAAAAAAGAATAAATTGTGCAGCTCAGTTTTATTGATTAGTTTTTTATTTAATATTTTTGCACATGTTGTAGCACATATTTTTGGAACTACAGCTTCTCAAGAGGTGTAATTCAGCAAACCTTAACCTTTTTCAAGCTAAAAATAAACAAATAACCACTGGGGGCAGTAGTGAACACAGCTCAATAGTGAAAGCTAAACTTTTTAAAACTGACTAGATAATAAATACCTCTATTACATAATTTTCTTAACTCCTTTGCAACAGATGTGTTCTAAAAAACTGCTGTGGGTGCCTCTGTGTTTGTTTATTTGTTATTCTATTTTGCCTGTTTTGGTCAATTCTCAAACTGACTTTTAGCACCCTCTGGTGGTTACTTAAGAGGACAACCGTGACATTAGAAACATTTGAAAGCATAAATGCAGTGACATTACAATGTTTGGAATGCACAGATCTGTTTACGTACAAAAGTGGAGTATGAATGAGCCTTTTCTTCTAAATATTCTGTTTTTTCTCAGTTTGCAGGACAGCGGTGCAGGCAGACCTAGTTTTCCTGGTGGATGAATCTTGGAGCGTTGGTCAGACCAGTTTCTCCACACTCAAACACTTCATCTCGTCTGTGGTGTCGTACTTCCCTGATCATGTGGTGGGCTCTGAAGGGGTCCGCTTTGGGGTCACTGTGTTTGGAGATATACCCAGGTACATTCAAATGCATTAAAGCTGCACTGTATAACTTTTCTTGTTGGGGGTCCACTATCTGCTTGTCTTTATAGAGGTAGGTTTAGTCATAAAAAAGTGCATCTTGTTCAGTGAATATTCTTTTAATGGTCCTATATTATGCAAAACTGACTCTTGTGAGCTTTAAGTCATGTTATAATGTTGTTACGTCATCAAAAACATACCAGGAATTGTATTTTGTTTCATTCATATTTGTTTGAGGCTTTATTATCAGTCTGTCTACATCTCCAAAGCTCAAAATGCTCTGTTCCACTTGTAGTATTCAAGGTAACAGCTGCCTTTTAATTTTTGTTTGTTAGAGATTGGCAATTCCAGGTCTGAAATTACCTAAATGATTCTAGGGAAGTTGTATGTGTTGTTTAAAAACATAGGGGACCAGTTCCTGTATTACCACATGACATCACAAGGTGGAATAGAGTGTTTTCTATTTGAGAAAAGAATCTAAACATGCAGAGTATGTGTCTTAAACATGTGTGAATGAAACTAAACACAACTCCAGGCATGTGAACATTATAACAAAGATATGAAAATAGTGTAATATGGCTCTTTTAACACAACAAAAACAATTTAACATAAAGTCATTTGTAGTGTGTAGTTGAGTGTTGTAGATGCATCTTGTTTCCTGATTTTTTGAAAAACTAATGTGTACATTTGTGGTTCCAGGATGCAGATTGCTTTGACAGACTACAGCACACAGGAGGAGACCCTTAAAGCCGTCAGAGACCTCACGTATGAGGGAGGGTCCAGGAAGTTGGGCGTGGCTCTGAGATACCTGGTGGAGAATGTGTTCAGTTCAGCCATCAGCCGAGACCACGCACCCAAGGTAAAGTTTAGAGAGATTTATGTGGTTAGACATTGTGGGACTGTGCTTTAATGGTGCTTTCTAGGCAACTGGTAACTGGAAAAATGCCTTGGAACGCTGATCAACCTGGTTATTACCACTTATGAACTGGGAGATGATTGGAGGACTTAAGTTATTGGTTAATTCACCTAGAACACTCTTGTAATCTATTATTTTATGAGAACAACAACAATGTGTGCATGAGCAGGATATGAATTGGGATTCCTTCCATCCTCAACCTACGGCAGAGTCCTGCACAGGTCCATTTTTGGAGACCTGCACCCGCGCAGTGCAGCACCACAACCGTCTGTTAACCCGTGATTATATCAAAGTTAAATCCACACTCGCCAGGACCCGTTAAAATTCCACTCGTTACCCACCCGTGCCCGTGATAAATCACACACAAATTAAAAGCATTCTAACTAGAGCATCCATCAGAATACGAATTGAAAAGTTACAACTTTAATTTCATTCCGTGATTGTAATTCTTAAATGGTTACGCTTCCTTCAGTATGAATACGAATTCACAGGCACGACTTTACTGTCAAAAAATACAACATCACTTCGCAGGCATTATTTACAGAGCAGAAGAAACATTGATTTGGGATGCTTACGTTTGCTACTGTACACAGCACGGACTGAACCAGGACTAACTTGGACTGATTCCATGACTGAACCAGGAGAACCAAACCAGAACTGGAGGTGTGCCTAAACCAGAACCCGGAGGTGTGCCTGTGTAGACCATTGGGTAACCGCGAAAGGACCAGTGCAGAGCTCCATGCCCCTCGAAGATAAGCGCAGCTGTCTCGCGATCGCGCTTTGCGGACACCCTGCTCCACTGGCTCGGGGTTCTCTCTCCCTCTTAAGTCCAAGATTATTTTTATTTTATTTATTTATTCAATATTTTACCAGGTAAATCAGCTGAGAACACCTTCTCATCATTTACAATTGACGACCTGGGCAAGAGGCAGTATAAAACAAAAGCACAAACAGAAAACACTCACACATAAGCTATAACGTGAAACAGTGAATAGAGATATAAGACAGGGAAACAGTTGCGGATTAAAGATATAAAAGTGATAAAAACATGTGCAATTAGTTCTAGTGTAGTCCTGGTTTAGTCCTGATTTAGTCCTGACCCACCCGTGTGTAATCAGTACCCGCCTGCATACCCGCCCGTAACATTTCAGAACATTAAAACTTGCCCATATCACCAACTATTTGCCCATACCCGGTGCAGGACTCTGACCTACGGTACCACCACCACAATCTCTAACTTTTTACTTAAAGGTGCAGTATTTTATTTTGGATGGGGATCCATTACCTGCTCTGGATATGTCATTGCTCTGTCTGGAATATTCCACAGTATGACATTAAACAGCTCTACTTTCCATTTATTCAATTGCAGCTGGTTTTATACCTCCAAAATACCTAGAAAAACAGGCATCCTGACTGCGAAGCAGGGTCGCCTCTCCACAGATCTGACCTGTAACTTGGCCTAGTTTGGTCTCCATGAAAACAAAAAGGTTTGATGCCATACTGTGAAACATTCCAGGCAAAGCAATCGCATCTCCATAGAGGAAAAGCGTTTTACGGACCCTCTACCAGAAAAGTTACACAATGCACTTTGAAAACATCACCAGTAATCAATCAGATACGGGTAGAAATCTATTTGCATACTTTCTCCGACAGAGTAATACATTTTCCCCAATCTCCCTGTTTCTACTTGCTTTTCCAGATCGCAGTATTGATCACAAATGGGCGTTCTGAGGATCAGGTTGAGTTGGCTGCGCGGGAGGTTGCTGACAGTGGCATTTCTCTGTTTGCGGTCGGTGAGTGTGGGACATTGTGTATTCTGCCTCGCTCCTCTGTGGCTCTGAGTCTGATTCTATCGCCAGTGTTTGCTCTGAGAAATTCACATCTTTTGCATTTAGATTCATAGGATTCTGTGTGGGGATTTACATGGGAGTGTCCAGGTTATACTAATACATAGAACACACGAAGGTTCTGTGTCTATGAAAGCGGTTTTTGAGATATGCATATGATTTTTGTGTTTGAATTCTGGTATAAAGTAAAGTATGTATTATGCACTAAGAGGTGGGAAGGGTGGTTAAGTATTTAAATAAGACTCTATGCATCTTTGGGTACAATAGACTTACATGTTATGGGTAGAGTAGATTTAAAGTGCATTTTCTAAAGTTTTTGCAATAATTACATAGTTTGGTTGGATAAAAACTGTGATAAATGTAAATTATAGTCATACAATACCTATTGTGCGGCAGTTTGTGATTAAAAGTTGAAAATCACAGTGAGTAGTTCTGAATTCTAAACCATATTGGTGATATAGATAAAGGGATTACACTGTCACAGCAGAGAATTCCACCCATATAAATCAGACACAAATTTTACATAAGAAGCCTTTTTTTTCTGCCACATAAATGTGACTGGACATCACTGCTAAACCACATGACGGGAGGGAAGTGAAACAGGACTAAACTGACATGAGTTAGCATGTTTCATTCCCTTCTGCCTTTCCCACACATGCATACACACTCTTTAATTCAATTAATTGAATTCAATACAATATCAAACCTACCCATTTGAAGTTAGTTTGTGTGAGTACATTTTATTTTATTTATTTGTATATATTTATTAATTTGAGAGCCCCATCAACTCTAATGATGATATCACATTGTATGAAAGGTGGACTTAGGTTTGAAGGGTTTGTCACCTGATATGACAGAAACTTATCAACCTCTAATTCATTCACTTCGAGGCATTTCTATTGGCAAAAATGTTTTTTTAGGAGATCACAAAGTTTTATGCAATTTTGTGGAACATTCGTGTTAAAACAACAACCTCTCCAAGGATAAAATAAACTTTTAGACCATTTAATGTTAGAATGACGTGTCGGGAGGGACGGTCTGCTGCAACTAGTCATTGGAAGTGATGAGATTTTGGAAAAGGGTAATTTTTGTTAGTTAGTTAACTAGTTATGGTTTGTTTAAGTTTAGGAACAGGATTATTTTAAGGTAAGGAAAATGGATAAGACCAGGTTAGGAAAACTTTCTGGGGTAGTTAACATGTTAGCAAAAGTAACTTTAAAGTTACTTTACGTTACAGTTTACAGTGTGGCTGAGGACTTGGAGGACCACAGTCCGATGCCTAAGAGGAGTGGTTCATTGACGGTGGCATTGAATTTGTGAAGCAGGGTCAGCTCCTCTCCAGAGACCATGTAAAATGTCACAGATCCACCAGGACAGTCCACGTACACAGCTACTTTTCCTGCAGATGACACAGAAGAGAGAGGCAGGGGGTTGCCACTCTTGTTATGGCTGATGGAATAGGGCCCATCAGAGCAACTGAGGCACCAGGACTTTGCATTGAGTCCAAAAACGCAGTCATCACTCGCCCCTCTTCGCCTTATTCCTTCATTACAGACCGACACATCGACCCAGCCGCTCCACTCTAACTCACAGTAACATCGGCCACTCAGGCGCTGGCAGCACAGCACCTGGGGACAGCAGTCAAATCTGTCTGACTGATCGGGATAGGACTGTTCTTCCTCTACTCGGGATATGGTCTTCTGGTTATCAGAAATTTTTAGCTTTTTATTAACAGTAGTTGGATCCAGGATGAGTTGGCATGAGTCTGGAAAAGAGCATAAAGTTGTAAATGAGCAATTTCAATCAGTCAATATAACTATTTGTCCCCAAGGGACAATTCAAGTAACCTAGCACAGCAAAATGGATTCTTCTTGCAATATTTGTTCAATTCAAAGTGCTACACATATCCATCTGATGTGAGCCAGGCTACAATTCAAGCACAAAAGCACAAATAATAGTGTCAGTGTGAGGAAGTGTTAGGTGGGCAATATGGGGGGAAAAAAAAGAATCAGACTTTTTCCCTCATATTGATCGATCTCAATTTTCGATTCCATCTTATTAAAACATAGACATGTTGACCAATAATTCCAGAGAAATCCTTGTTTAAAATTTGGAATGAGTTTGTACAATATAAGCCCAAAATCATGCATGCACATGTGCTAGCATTATCAATAGACACACGTGCAATGTCTGTGCGCTAAATACGGTCTTAAGTTTTACTCATAAACGTCAAAAAATACTTGTTCACTTTCCGTAACTTGAATTATAATGATAAGAAGCACAAGAGGAAAGAAAAGAGCAGAACGAAGGTGAGGAGTTGCAGCTAAATTAGAGAGAGGGAGGGAGAGCGGGGCAGATGGCACCAAGCACACAGAAGCAGAGGGAAGGAGTTGCTGGACTTTTAGTTAAATTGTGCAGATTTAAATCAAAACTTGTGAAAGGCAGGACAAGTGAGGAAACATAAAGACATGCCCTGTGGCTACTTTTTTTTAAACAAGAGAACGTATATCATTCAGCACCACGTGCTCTTACTGCCAGGTGTAAATTTTGGATTGTTTAGATGGGTTACTGAGTAGCAAATATGCACAAAAACACGATGACATGATAATAATAGGTTTGTATGAACACTGTAGTCATTTACCTGCCAATGGGATAAATATAACTTACATTTTTTGAGCCTTGATTGTATAAATCTTGCTCCACCAGGCTTCACTCTGAAATGAGAACATACCCAGAGAAACAGTTTAATGCTTTTAATGAAACTAGTTTGTCTTATAAGCACCTATGACAAACTGTCTTTTACCTCAGCTGTGCAACTCTTTTTGTCAATTGTTGCTTTCCAGTTTCACAAAGATGGTTGTAGCTCAAATCCAACATTTTTAATTTGTGAGGGTTGGAGTCCAGGGCAGAGACCAAAGAAGAACTGCTTTTTTCTGTCACCATACAACCAGACAATCTGAAAGAATGCAACATATTCATCCTAAATTTTAATTTTATCAATGAAGTTTAGTCTGCTCTATGTACCAAAAATATTTATTGTTCATTAAGTATGTTTAATGCATTCTTGTCTTTGTTTAGTCTGTCCAGAATAAAAATTGTTTTGGAGACTTTTTGACCAAAGATCCAACTAACTTCTGCAATGTACTTGAACATGGAGACTAACCCAAGATTTTCCAAATTACACTGTGGGTTCCTCAGTCCCTCACAGAGCAGTGTGATGCCAGAATCCATCAGGTCGTTGTTGGTGAGGTCCAGCTGAATTAGCCTCAGAGAAGGAGAGGTCAGAAGAGAGGCTAGGACTTCACAGCTCCTCTCAGAGAGACTGCAGTTGCAAAGACTAAAAAAAAAGGAAAATTTTCTATTAACAAAACACAAATTTAGAAATCTTTACAATACAAACTCAAAAACTTACCAAAGAACCTCTAGAGGACAGGGTGAGGTCTTCAGTCCCTGAAACAGTAACTCCACCATTGGATCTTTCATAATATTGTTACTTAGGTCTATCTCTTTTAAACTGGAGGATGTGCTGAGAATGGAGGACAGAGAGGAGCAGCCTCTCTCTGACAGTGAGCACACGTTCACTCTGAGGAGAAAAAGAGATGTGATAATGATCCTATGATACTAAAAGTATCATTTTCTCTATATTAGGATGTGCTCACATAGCTTTCGTGCTGACTTTAACCACTGGCAGCAGACGCAGAAGCACCTCCTCTGAGGCAGAGTATCTTCTCAGATCAAACTCCTCCAGGTCTTTGTTAGAGGACAGCAGGATGAAGGCCAGAGCTGACCACTCATCAGAGGAGAGCTTCTGAGCACACAGACTCCCAGAGGTCATCTGCTGTTGGATCTGCTCCACCAGAGAGCTGTCCTTCAGCTCATTCAGACAGTGGAACAGATTAATACTTCTCTCTGTATTACAGCTCTCTGAGACTTTTTGCTTGATGTAGTCAGTGATTTGATTTTGGATGTCTCTGGTGTCTTGCTTTTGTTTGAGAAACCCTCGGAGAAGGCTTTGATTGGTTGGCAGAGACAGCCCCAGGAGGAAGCGTAGGAACAGGTCCAGGTGACCATTTGGACTCTGTAAGGCCAGATCCACTGCAGAGTGGTAGAAGTGCATCTGTGATGATCCAGCCTTCTCTGATGGGAGCACACTAACTCCGGTCTCACTAAATGTGACGTGAACATGAAGAGCAGCCAGAAACTCCTGCACACTTAGATGGATAAAGCAATAGACCCTGTCCTGGTACAGGCCTCTGTCTTCTTTAGAGATCTGAGTGAAGACACCTGAATCAACAGCTGCCTCTTCAACATCAATGCCACACTCTGTCAGATCTGATTGATAAAAAATCAGGTTTCCTTTCTGCAGCTGCTCAAATGCAAGTTTGGCCAAACACTTAATCATACTTATGCTCTTCTGACTCCAGTGAGGATCTGCCTCAGCTTTGTTTTCATATTTAACATTTTTTATTTTAACCTGAACAACCAGGAAGTGGATGTACATCTCTGTTAAGGTTTTGGGCAGCAGCACTTCATGACGTGTTTTCATAATATCATCCAGAACAGTGGCAGTGATCCAGCAGAACACAGGAATGCTGCACATGATGCGGAGGCTTCTTGACAGTTGAATGTGATCAATAATGGCAGAGGCCTGCCTTTTCCCTCTAAACCTCTTCCTGAAGTACTGCACCTTCTGAGGGTCAGTGAAGCCTCGCACCTCTGTTACCCTGGAGATGCACTCAGATGGGATCTGATTGGCCGCTGCAGGACGCGTGGTTATCCAGAGGTGAGCGGAGGGAAACAGGCTTCCCCTGATGAGGTTCACCAGGAGCACATCAACACTTGCAGACTTGTCAGCATCAATTATCACATAGGTTTTGAAGTCAAGAGGGATTCGAAACTCATCCAAGCCATCGAGGATGAGCACAGCCTTAAAATCTTCAAAACTGGTAATGGCTGCTTCTCTGGTTTCAGGAAAGAAGTGGTGAATGAGCTGCATCAGACTCATGCTTCTGTCTCTGAGCACATTGAGCTCTCTGAAAGTGAACAGGAACAAAAGCTGTATGTCCTGGTTGGCTCTGCCTTCAGCCCAATCCAGACTGAACTTCTGAGTCAAAACAGTTTTCCCAATGCCAGCCACGCCCTTCGTCAGCACTGTTCTGATTGGTCCATGTCTGTGGGCATCAGAAGTAAAAATCTCTTGACATGTGATGGTTTCTTCAGCTTTGTTCCTTGGGGCAGCTTCGATTTGTATGATGTCATGTTTGTTGTTGTAGTCAGAGACATCTCCTTCAGTGATATAGAGCTCTGTGTAGATTTCATTCAGATGACATGCTTTTCCTGCTTTAGGAATACCCTCAGACAGACATGTGAACTTCTGTTGGAGTCTTAGTTTCAGTCTATTACTACAGAATTCACCAGTAGGACCACAGAACACTGTAAAGGACAAGAACTTGTGACATGTAGACACAATAATATTTTAAACCATACAATGATTTTTAATTGACAGAAAGCTTTTTGCATGTGGGAATCTTACCCGTCTGGAAATAATCAGCCAACTGTTCACCCTTGGTCTCTCTCAGGACATTTGCTATTAGCTTTAGGATTGACTCATCGAATTTTCTCTCTCTCTGTCCCTCAGTCATTTGGCTTAGTTGAGGAGCCTTAAAACTGAGAGCTTTGTTGTAGTTTCTCAGCTCATTTTTAACCTTTGATACAAGTTTATCTTCGAGCCACTGAGACTGAAAATGAAAATAGTGGATGATTTTTTCTGAATAACCACACAAAGATAGCAGTGCAGTTACAGACCTGTAAAGCAGAGTCTAGCTCGGTCTCTATGTCTGCTTTAGGATCCTGGTGCTCCTCACTGTGAAAAAAGAGGGACATTTGTAAAACTCCAACCTAAAGAAGAATCAGGGTTAAGTGCAAATGGTCTGAGCTTCATTGGTTTGAACTTACAGTGGATCAGATGCATGTGGTGAGGGGTGGAACCTAGAAACAGAGACTATTTTACAATTTACTGAACAACAGCACTGTTTCATAAACTTCTCTAACTTTCTAACTGTGATGAGGTACTGTTAGATTGTTAGAGCTCATTTTAAGTTTATGATGGCTCTAAACAAGATATTGGTGACCCAAGATGTTGTAAGATCAGAAATTATGACAGATTTTATCACAGATTTCTGTATAATGAGATTAAATTTTTTTTTTCTAATGAAGTCCCGATGAAGTGATGTCCTAATAATAATGTGTATGAATAAAATTTATGTCCAGGTTTTCAACCTCTAAACCATCTTTAAGTTTGGGCCTGAACTTACGATGAGTGTTTGAAGTTATTCCTTTCAATCATGGACTTATCACCACACGACTCCCCGCATGGCCCTGGTCCAGAGATGGATTCTGTGGAGGCCCTAGAAGGATTATTTTAACATTTTATAAGATAGAAGATAAGATAAGACTCATCTTTGAATCCACATTAAATATATAATATATCCAGACAAGACAAAAAAACAAGAGGAATCTGGCTTCAGACCTCCACCCAGAGGACCCTCACATGACTGATGCCAAAAGAGCACCAAAGTCCAGTTTCCTGACTGGTGTTTTCGATGTACAAACACATTTATAATGTTTTGCACTAATGACAAGCCCAAACCATTTTCCTAATATTGATCATTGCAGATTTTATATTTTAGACAGAGTTAAACTTTCAAAACTAGAAATGTTGGTAATTAAATGTCTTTGAAGTATTTCATTCTAAACAATGAGCTTTATCACCTTTAATGAGCTTTAATAGGCAAAAATTGAAACTGAAAGTGTAATTAAATCGTCTATAAAGTAAACTTTTGGAAAATGGTGAGGGACTATAGGGACTATGTAGTGTACATAATGTTAGTGTAGCAACATGCACATTTTGTCTTTCTGTTTCACACACAAAGTCACACTAAATTTGAATCATACATCGTGGTACGTTGCCTTTTAACATGTGATTCTGTCTGAGGGGGTGTGTCCTGTGGCCGACCGCTGCATCCTGTTTGGAGTGTGGGAACAGCTGATTTCCTGAAAAAACAAAATATCAGTTACTTATGTTTCACTTATGAGAAGGCGGTAGTGGTTATGGCCCAAGTTTTGTGTCTGCTCTTTTTTAATGTGTGTTGGATACCACATGTCTTAACAAAAAAAAAAAAAAGGTAGTTCATTGAACATTTATTAATCTATAGATCTTGTTGTACCTGTCTGTTCATCTTTTCCCATGTCCTTCTCTGAATAATAATGTCACAATAAAACCAATGTGATATAAACAGAGAGATGGAAAACAGTTAAGTGTACAACTTATTTTGGATTCTGAAATGTATTATATTATTATTACTTTTCTTCTTCTAATTATTATATGCCCTCTCTTAAACAAATAAGCAGAACATGAATTATATCATGTACAATGAAATGTTTGTAGGCCTGGCCAAACAAACCTGTACACATTAATCTGCCCTGTATTAATGCAGCAATATGAACTGTAAATATGTAAATAGTATTTGAATGTGATGACTGAGACGGATTGGGACTAGTTTTACTTATTGATTGATTGGATGAATAATTGCATTAATGTACATTGAATTTCATTTTATTGGCATTTACGCCATTTATGACATCAACCTGTCCAGGGACTGAAGGTGGAAATTGGCAATTTTGCTATAACCTGGCACAAACATATGACCTCTTTGTGTAGCTCAATGTTTTTATTTGCATTATCCCTAATAAATAAACAAATAAACTAAACTAATTTGATTAACAGAATCATCTTTATGTCCTAAAAAGTAAAAAGTCAGCAATTATTCCAATGATCAAAACTATTTTTAGTGTTCCTATTCTTTCAAATATTTTTCCATTACTATCCTCTTAAACATGATTTTGAATTGTAAAAGAGACGTAGCTTGGTTTATCAGTTCCATAATGTATCTGCTTTGCTTATTAAACCGTATATCAACAACATTGATATAGTGAAATTACAAAACATATTCCAGGTTAAACAGCATCAGGGAAAAGATGTGGATGTACCCTCAAACATGAAAATATAAGCTATTTAAAGAGGTAAATATTCTTACCTCATGTTGCCGCCTCACTGTTGTTGAGATTGTGGAAGAGAAGTGGAGTTGTAATCTTTTATATAGCCTACAGTCTAAAAGGAGGAAGAGGTTCAGTTGATAATGATTACCATCTTGCAAATATAGATCACATAGATTCACGTAATTTGTGAACTTAAATTTTGTTAATAGAACTTACAATTATAAGTTCAATTATGTTTTCAATGCATAATAGCCATTCAGTCCAACTATATTCCTGTGTTTTTCAGTGGATGTATGATGATAAGTTGAGAGAACTTGTATACTTAATTCTCTAGTTGAAAGTTTAACTTAATTTGTTCACACATGCTCAGTTGAAAAATGTACATAATGTACATAAATGTAAAGTAATTAGCATGATATAACTGAAGGCATGTCTTTCTTCTACATTTTTTCACTCCTGGTGAAGATATTTGTTCAAATAATTATATTAATAATGCTAGAAATTGTATCAACACTGGCAAATATGCAGTCATACTGTATCCATAGCTTTCAGAGTGATGGTGATGAAAAATTAGCACAGTTGCCATGGCAATTCAAAATAAAATATATTATATCCTTCTATCTTTCTTTCCTGATATAAAATATATGATCAAGAATCTTGGTGTAAAGTCCACAGAATGATGCCCATATTGTGTTTACTGTTATTGTCAAACATAAATCAGATGTTATAGTTATAGTCTGTACTGGAGCATTTCATTCAATATTTTCATTGTTTTATATTTGAGTCAATATATTTGTTTTACCTAGAAGTGTTTGTAAGTAACTCTAGCCACTGCTTTTTAAAGATGCATTATGTAACTTCTAGTGGAGGGTCTGCCATATACAGTAGCTGCTTGTTTTCATGGAGATGTTACCGCTTGCTTTGTCTAGAATGTCCCAGAGTATGGCATTAAACTTCCAAGTTGGGCCAAATTACAGGTGGAGAGGTGTTCAAAGGTGTTTTTTATTTATTTTTATTTTACAGTAAAACACCTCTAATGCAAGATATATTGGTGTATGTGTATATATATATATATATATATATATATATATATATATATATATATATATATATACAACCAGACAATAATATATATGTGTATATATATATATATATATATATATATATATATATATATATATATATATATATATATATATATACACACACACATAAATATAAAAAATGTCTTACTGTGGACCTATAAGTTACACAGTGCTCCTTTAAAAGTGATTGCTCTGTCCAGAATGTTCCACAGTATCACATTAAAAAGCACTACCTTTCATTTACTCAATTACAGGTGGTTTTATAGCTCAAAAAGCAGGGTGAGTGGGGTTGCCTCTCCACAGATCTGACCTGCAACTTGGTCTGGTTTGATCTCCATGAAGACAGAAAGGTTTAATGCCATACTGTGCAATTACATGTCTATGGAGGAGTATTGAAGTATCTGACAGACCCTCCACAAGGAAAGTTACAGAATGCACCTTTAGTACTTTATCTTAAGTAATGTAAATGTATTAGTATACTTAATATAACTGTTGTTTGTGTTTTCTTGTTTGTCAGGTGTGAGAGGAGCTGTTGAGTCGGAGTTGAGGCGTGTGGTCTCTGAGCCTCTGGACGAGCATCTGTTTTTCGGGACTGATTTCTCTCAGTTGGAGAACATCCTCCTCAGACTGTCCCGAAGACTCTGCATCACCGCCTCCGAGCCCCCACGGCCCGTCAAAGCCCCTCAGCCTGGTACAGCTACACACACAATCACAACAGACGAAGAAGAAGTAGCAGGAGTAGTAGTAGTAGTAGTAGTAGTAGTAGTAGTAGTAGTAGTAGTAGTAGTAGTAGTAGTGTAGTAGTAGTAGTAGTAGTGTAGTAGTAGTAGTAGTAGTAGTAGTAGTAGTAGTAGTAGTAGTAGTAGTAGTAGTAGTAGTAGTAGTAGTAGTAGTAGTAGTAGTAGTAGTAGTAGTAGTAGTAGTAGTAGTAGTAGTAGTAGTAGTAGTAGTAGTAGTAGTAGTAGTAGTAGTAGTAGTAGTAGTAGTAGTAGTAGTAGTAGTAGTAGTAGTAGTAGTAGTAGTAGTAGTAGTAGTAGTAGTAGTAGTAGTAGTAGTAGTAGTAGTAGTAGTAGTAGTAGTAGTAGTAGTAGTAGTAGTAGTAGTAGTAGTAGTAGTAGTAGTAGTAGTAGTAGTAGTAGTAGTAGTAGTAGTAGTAGTAGTAGTAGTAGTAGTAGTAGTATGGTAGTTGTAGTAGTAGTAATTGCAGTAGTTGTAGTAGTAGCAGTTGTAGTAGTAGCTATAGTAATTGTAGTAGTTGTAGTAGTAGTAATTGTAGTACTTGTTGTAGTAGTTGGAGTAGTAGTAGTAGTAGCAGTAGCAATTGTAGTAGTTGTAGCAGTTGTTGTAGTTGTAGTAGTAGTAATAGTTGTTGTAGTAGTTGTTCGTAGTTTATGAATTCAGAAATATAAGAATCCATCTTGATGGCCAGTTAACATATTTCATACTGTGACAAAAACCAGCCCAACAACAATAAAGTACTGAAATTACCCGTAGCAGATTCTAGCAAATTAGTGGTTGACCATTAAATATCTTTCAGATCCATGAAAAAGAATTAAACACACTAAAATGCATTATAATATGACTGTTTATTACAGTGGAACAGCCGGTGGTGGGTCCGAGGGATTTTCAGATCAGAGAGGTGAACCATAACTCCCTCAAACTGAGCTGGACTCCTGCCACTGGAGACGTGACCGGATACAGGCTCCTGGTGACTCCACTCAGCTCCAGAGGACAGCCCCAGCACTCACTACAGAGACAGGTACAGACTCCAGGGTCCATTTGAACTTATGTTAGACAGCCTATATTAGAGTTAGGTAAGTTAATTAAGCTTTTGTTCACGCTTTATTAAAAATACCATGTGTAATAGGGATGGGACAAGACTGTAGCCAGGCTAGTGCCTCCGCTCAATTTCATTTTTCTCCAGCAACTAGGTCAGGATATCAGAATACACTAGACAGTTTGCAAAGTGTGAGTTCGGGCACCAGCCAATCAGCGAAGAGTCATACATTCTGTGTTGGCAACAATTCCTGACATTGAGGATCTAAAACCAGAACAAAGAGAATGTTTGGTGAATTTTATCAAGGGGAAAGACGTTATTGCCCTTCTTCCTACAGGATTTGGGAAAAGCTTCATATACTAGTTAGCCTCGTTAGTGGCGCATTACATACGTCACCACCAAATACCAGCGACTGGTTAAATGAACAAAAGTACCCGCCTACTGTCGAGTGAATGAATCCTGATGCTGCGAGGTCAGACGGTTTCTACGAAGTGATGAATCTGATGAATCAGTCTAACAAGACTGTGCACACATAAGGAAAATTATTAATGGGGTTGACTTTGCAGAGTAACTCCTCTTGAGAAGCTGTAATACCAAAAAGCAGTGCTGCAATGACAGCAAAACTGCAAAATTGTGGACTGAATTGCTCAATTTATTTATCCATCACTGTATCAAAATCTCGTCTTGTCTCATTCAAGTAAGAATTGTTTCTCGTCCCATTCCTAATGTGTATGTTTGTTTGATTTTTTTCCACCAGTAGATGCCAGATCAGAATTACAAAAATCAGAATAAGTTTTAATGCCATTGTCGGTGAACAAAACTCACAAACTAGGAACTTGTTTTGGCATTATGGTGCAACATTAACAATTAATTAGCAAAGAATAATAAAGCACTTTGTGTTGCATTTTTGTATGAAAAGCGCTCTATAAATAAAGTTTGATTTGATTTGATAAAAACTATGATAGGCTCACCTGTGCTCTCTGGTTTTCTTCTGTCAGTCAAAGCCGGCACACTGTTAGACAGCAGCCTCTAGTGGTGATATGTGAGAATGCAACAGGGACAGGTTATCCAGTCTAATTACAAATGGTAACTTTAAGGCTCATTATGGTGTAGTTTACAGTATATGAAGTGTACCAAATTTTCCCATACTACAATACTGTTTTGCCTGGTGTTATTCACTTATATAAAAGATTAATTGTAATTGTTATTGTTTAAAGGTGCACTATGTAACTTTTTGGTTTGGTTGTTTAAGTGGAAATGCCATTGCTCTGCCTGGAATATTCCACAGTATGACATTAAACAGCTCTACCTTACATTGATTTAATTACAGGTATGTTTATAGCTCAAACATACCTAGAAAAACAGGTATTCTGACTGTGAGCAGAGTCGCCTCTCCACAGATCTGACCTGTAACTTGGTCTGATTTGGATCTCCGTGTAGATAGAAAGGTTTAATATCATACTGAGAAAAGCATTTGATGTACCCTCCACCAGAAAAGTTACACAATGCACCTTTAAACATGTAACTTATTCATAATATTAACATTATAATTAGTCATTGTGTATTTTTAATTTTAGTTCTGATAATTGTGAAGCAAAATTTCACTATTGTCAAGAAGACAAGTCTCTCTACAGTTATGAAAACAATAGATAGTGGTGGTTTATGAGTGTGCAGAGGAGCTAAAACATATTTATGGACCCGTATTTCTCACTCCTACATTTCTCTTCAGCCTTGTGCATTATTATTCTGTATTCACCCTGCTCTCGTCTCTTGGTGATGTATTATTCTGTATTGTTTTCCTGTTTATCAGATTGATTTAAAGGCAGATGTGAGCACAGTTTTGGTGACAGAGCTGACTCCTAAGACAGAATACTCCCTCACTGTTTACGCCATCTACCCCAGCCTCATCGGGGACGCGGTGACCATCCCAGTTCAGACAAGTAAGGCAATTTTTTACTTTCATTAACGTCTTATTAAAGGTACACTGTGTAACTTTTTAGCTTGAGGTCCATCACCTGCCTGAAATGTTCCACGGTATGACATTAAACAGCTCTACCTTACATTTATTCAATTACAGGTGGTTTTTATAGCTCAAAAATACCTAGAAAAACTTATTCTGACTGTGAGCGGGGTCGCCTCTTCACAGATTTTTTATTAATTATTTTTTTTGCTCATGTAACTTAACAGTTAAAAAAACACACTAGATAAAAAAGTAGGTGCTGGAAAAGGCAAAAAACAAAACAAACAAACTAAGGGCTTATATTAAAGCCTTCACCTAATGAATATATTAAAATTTTTAACATTATCGCTGTGCATTAAAAATAAAAAATACATTTAAACACCTTGGATTAAATTCATTTGATTCAAACATGGATTAAAATACAATGAAACATCCACAATTAAATGATGATCAAACATTATCATAAAATATCAAACATTTCCTCACACTCTTCTTAAACAATGCGTCTGATCTGCCGTCACTAACCAGATCTGAAAACTGGCTCCACAATTTACAGCCTCTGTATCTTCGGCAAAACTGAGCTCTTGATGTGACACATTTTGGAACATGAAAATTACGATTTTATCGAGTATTGTCTGACCTGTAACTTGGTCTGATTTGGTCTCCATAAAGACAGAAAGTTTTAATACCATACTGTGAATCATTCCAGACAAAGTAGTAATATTTCCATGGAGAAAAGCATTTGACAGACTCTCCAGCAGAAAAAGTTACACAATGCACCTGTAAATACAGCTCTTTTTAAAAATGTATTATTCTTTTTAAATTATGATTTTTTCTTTTCAGCCTCTTTACCACAGGTGTCTAACTTCCGTGTGATTGAGGAGGGGCTGTTTTCTCTGCGTTTGGGCTGGTCAGTGCCTCTTGGAAAGATCAATGGATTTAAGATTTTCATCCCAAGAAGTAAGAAATGCCACAACAAACACTATTAGTTTTACAAAATACATCAAAAGGGCTGTGCAACCAAACTTTAGCCTGATTCATCAGCCTGTTTCACTTTGTGGAAACTGTCTCACCTCACAGCATTACAGTCTAGTGTATTCTGATTCCTGACCTAGTCGCTGAAGAGAAATGAAATTGAGCGGAGGCACTAGGTGGCGCCAGCCTGGCTAACCAAACCTCAATTTGTTATCAAATCTTTGTACCATTTGTTGATGTTTAAAACATTTTAGTCCTGGTTGTATGATTTGGACACATATTCAAGGGTGTCCAAACTTTTTATTCACAGGGGGCCCCATACTGAAACAAAGCAGAGGCTAATGATACTTGTGAAGTGACATTATGATGGGGAGTTCTACATGTATCATGTCTATAAAGACAAATGTTCAGTGGATACCATGGTGACACTATATACACACTGAACAAACCCTGCCAAACTTTTAAGAAATCTGAGAACTTTACAAAAAAATACCGAATGGATTTAGACAACACATTTCCAGGAGCCTGTGATCAATTCATTATTTGAGATTTAAGTCTAACTTGAGTAATAGAGCTTCAGACAGAGCAATGCCTTCAGTTAGCACCACACCTCCAGGGAATGTTACTGGCAGCAGAGTGAATTATTCAAAATGTTCAATTTGATGTAGGTTTGATTAAGCCACTTTAATATGTCCTGGAACATTGCTGTCTCTAGAGTGGGGTTATGTTAGTAGATTGTGTTTTATTTTTATTGAGTAATTGGGTCAGTATGTCCCCTGGCCATAGTTTGGTTATAACAAAAACAGCTTTTAAGTGGGTCAGATTTTAATTGAACGCAATGAACACTATGTTTCAATCATACAATCTTAAACCATACTGTGTTTCAGCCAACAGACCAGGCTTCACATACGAGCAGCTCCTCCCTGGGGACATCTCGTCTCATGTGATCGATGTGATCGACAGTTTAGAGGAGGACAAAAAATACATTGTCAGTATTTACACTGTGTTTCCGGAGGGACCCAGTGAACCGGTGTCTGTGGTGGGAAAGACATGTGAGTTTTTCTATTGTATTTCTTTCTTTGCCTCTTGTTTCCTGGCAGCTCTAACTTCATCTGTCTACACCCTCTTGCAATACTCCTTATAGCCACAAGATGGTGCTGTTGTATTATGTTCAAAATGTTGAGCCGCATTTACACAACACTACTGTCATTGAAAAATTGGTGGAATTTCTTTATTTATGAAGTTACTATCCCTTGAATGAAATGTTGTTTAATGTTATTTGAAATGCGTTATATTTAAAACCAGACTCACCTCAATAACTGGTAAATTTGTGTGTAGATTTGCTTTTGAAGCGCCAAGAGTTTGTGGCTTCATGATGTAAAAATAATTGTTTTTCTCCAAATATTTAACCCAGGCCTTTCTAAATCCAAGTTTAAGTTTTTAATATATTCCTATGCATGAGGTTCAAAATGATGAAAATTAGGACCCTCATACCAGTTAACAATTTAAAACAACAATATAATTTCTTCTGAATGGTCAGAAGTTCTCATAATGTTGCCTATAATAGGAAGCTGATACCACGAATGTACTGTATATTTTTCAGATCGTATTTGTTTATTAGCATTTTTACATAGTTTTCATTTAGTTGATATAAGTAATGAAGTAAGTAAGTTATAAAGTTGATACATTTAATGACACTGTGATTTTCTTGTTTTGTTGACAGTAAAGTTGGTGCCAGTTCAGCAGTTTTTGGTCCAAAATGCAACGACAGACACGCTCCAGGCAAAATGGACATCGGTCAGAGGAGCCAGTGGATACCGACTCACGTGGGAAGCTCCAGGTAACTAATGGAAATATGTTTTAAAGAGCGTTAAGTAAAACTGTCATCAAAACTATGTCATCATCTTCCATTTTTTCTATCTGTTTTTTGCCTGGAATGTCCCACAGAGTAGCATTATACTTATCTATCTCCATGGAGACAGCCAAATGATGCCTTTAAACCAAGTATTTAGCAGTCAAAACACTTTTAATTGAGTAAATACAAGGTAGATATGTTTAAAACCATGCTGTGGAACATTTCAGGTAAAGGAACAAAGTCTCCATGGTGACAAGCAGGTGGTGAATCCTCTATCAGAAAAGTTACATAGTGCACCTTTAAAGTCCTTGTGCCACCATCAGACTGATCAATTCAATGCTCTTATAGGTTTCAGGGTTTTGTAAAAAAAATCTGAACTGTTTCCATAGTAATGTACAATTCAAAACAAAATGTTGGCAAAAGTCCTCAAAATGGCACCTACACACAGGAAACTGAAACCCACTTTGCACTGTTCAACTTTAGCCCTAGAAGCTTTAATCATAGTCTACTGATTTGTTTATTTCTTAAGGGAGGGGGATTTCATTTATTCTACATGCAATACAAAAGCAGTAGTAGCTTTAAATCCTAAATAAAATATAATATTGGACATTCTGGATTAATAATAATTGTTGTTTTTCAGATGGCCACATTGAGAACATAAACCTCGCGGACAACTTCAACTTTTACATGATCCAGGGTCTTCGCTCAGGCGCAGACTACACTGTCACCATCAACCCCATCTTTGGAGACATCGAGGGACCCATCACCACCAGCAAAGCCAAAACATGTAAGACACTTTACAACTGCTTACAAATATTAACCCAAATAAAATAACATAACCTTTATTTGTCCAACAATGGGAAAAAAATTTATCATAATGTATGTTTCTTTTTTCATTCATTGTTACCCCCTAATTGGAATGTTATGAATGTTATTTAGTGCATCTTACATATTCATATACTGTCCAAGTAGAGTTAAGTGGCTACATTTAATCTAACTACCCTTTTCCTAAATATATATACTTTCTTTATTCTATTTTATTCTATATTTCTTATGCTTTGATAATACGTCATCTCCGCTTAACATGGGGAGTTAATAATTACTAATTATCTAGCCATAATAAAGCATGAACAAAGACTTAATTTACAGTGAACAAATAGTTTATTAAGAATTGTTGTTTTATTTTAAAGTATTTCTATATTTTGTATTGAATTGCTGTCATAACGTGCTGTTGTGTTGTGTGTTAGTGGAGAGCAGTGCGGTACAGTCTCTCAAAGTGTCTGCGGTCACCACCAGTTCAGCTGTGGTCTCCTGGAACAGTGTCCCCGGGGCCACTGGGTACAGACTGGCCTGGGGACCCACACCAGGTAATTAAAAAATGTTAGGAAACACACAAATACCATAAAAGTTACTTCAGTGATAGTTACTTTAACAAGTATATTTACAAAATTTTAGTAGGGAAGTGAGTATTTCTGTCTATGTTAAAGGTTCATTGTGTAACTTGTGTTGGAGGGTCTGTCAAATGCTTTTCTCCATGGAAATGTTATTGCTTTTAAACCTTTCTGTCTTCATGGAGACCAAGTTACAAGTCAGATCTATGGAGAGGCAGCCCCGCTCACAGTCAGAATGTCTGTTTTTCTAGGTATTTTTGATCCGTAAAACCACCTGTAATTGAATAAATGTAAGGTAAAGCTGTTTAATTCCAGGGAGAGCAATGATATATCCATGGAAACAAGCACATGTCTGACCCTCCACCAGAAAAGTTACACAATACAGCTTTAAATTGGTTTTAAATAAATAATCTTGATAAGTTTCAGCCCAACTCACTTTTACACAAGTGTCCTGTTTAGACAGTAGAAACAAAACAAACACTGCAATGTCATAAAAGAAAAGATGTCATCCAAGTATCCACCCATTTATAATCAAACCTTGCATTCTCCCGTTCTTTCATTTAGAAACATCACACTCCACATTTCTACATTTAAAGTTACTCAAACTCTAAGCCAGAAATTACCATATAAACTACCACATGCAAATACAAATCAGTGCTAACAGTACCGACTCTCTAAAATGTCTTTTGTAACATTATAAGAGACGTCCCTGTGGTCAGAGGAGAGTGTGAGCCTGTCTGGAGCTTGTTCCATTTTTTTAATACTCTTGCTGTCTGTGCAATGGCTGAGCTACATCTGGGAAGTCTGCAGTTATTGTGACTTGTGGACCTGGATATTCTGGTGATTTGTTCAGAACAAAGCTGGACAAATCTCTGTAAAAGTCCATTTAAAACATTAAAAACAGGAGCAGGTGTGACTATAATGTCTATCACCACATTATTAAAACGCAGTAGTGGCACAAATCTATCCAGGTTTGCATGTCCTTGTATAAAATGTTTGGGAAGCAAAATAAACTGAAAGCTTTAATTAAAATGGCATTTTCGGTGTAATTAAAATATATCGAAGTCCTCCATTCACAGAGGAAACAGGAATTGTGGGACCTTGGGGAACTGAGCCTTCACCCTCTCACTAAAAACCTTCAAAAAACAGCTCAAAACTCACCTTTTTTAAGCCCCCACACATGAGTTGTTTTAGTGTTACTTTATTGTGAAGCATCTTTGAGTTACCATGAAAAGCACCATAAAAACATTGTATTTTTATTACTATTATTATTGGGATTTGATAGACAGTGCCCAGTTATAGACACAAAAACACACGCACATATTTGGCCCGTCAACAGAAATTTGGGGGCCCAGGGCAAGGAGGCTCACATGGCCCCCCTTTAATATAAATTAATAGGCAGAGTTTCAATTCAGGGCCCCTAAAACCCTGGGCCACGGGACAACAGACCCCTTTGCCTCCTTTTTTAGTTTCTTTGTTGTCTGTCTTTTAACAGGGAGCAAAAAGCAAGATCACATTACCCCAATTCTTGCACCATTGCACTGACTTCTTCTAATTTTAGAACTGATTTTAAGATTTTTTTTATTTGTTATTAAGCTTTGAATGGACTGGTCCCACAATACATCTCGGACCTCATCTAGATTTACACCCCCGCACGTGGTCTGAGGGCCGAGGGCTAGTTCCAGCTCGTGGTGCCTAAAACGAGACTTAAAACCAGACCAAACTCTGGAACGCTCTGCCCCCCTCCCACTTCCAAACAGCCCCCACAGTGAAGCGTTTTAAGTCCAGTTTTAAGGCCCACTTTTACTCTCTGGCTTTTAATACTGTGTGGGTTGTGTGATCCTCTGTGTCTTTTATTTATTTATTTATTTATTCATTCATTCATTATTGTGTATTGATTAGATTATTTTTGTTCTTTGATTTTATTATTATTATTTTATCTATTTATTCTATTAGTTTCCTCATGGTTGGAACATATTTCTCCATTATTAAATTTATTTTTAGTAAAATTTCTGTGTGCTATGTATGTTTATAAAATGAGCTATACAAATAAAGTTGGATTGGAGTTGGATTGTATCTAAGTTTTTGGTAATTATTTTTGTATTCACACACAGTTACTTCAGTTGTTTTATTTGTCCTGTAGAGTTCGTAGGTCGTGATCGTCCTCGTCAGCTGGCTCTAAACGGCAGCACCACGGAATATCACCTCAAACACGTGGCCCACGACACCGAGTATGTCCTGACTCTGTACGTGCTCTTCGGCTCTGTGGTGGGACCAGGCATCAGCGCCACCTTCAGGACATGTGAGTAACTGCTGGTTCTGTTCAGTTGTTCAGTGTTCATCGCATCAGTGGCTGTTTACATGCTCAAATAAAACAGTAAACCCACACCAATATCTTTATAGAGGTGCAATGGAAGAAGTGGTTAATGCAAAAATGGAAAATAATGCATAGCACACTGTAATGCAGGAGTCTCCAACTTGTAGCTCGGAAACCACCAATAACACTCCACCCCATTCCACGTACCTCGCCAAGGGATTTCTGAATTAACTAATTAAACTAACTAATCAGTGACTGAGTTTGTGCACTAATAAATGGATAAAGGTTTATGTTTTTTCAGTATCTATCTGTTTCCAATCTAAGGCTTTCCAGTGCTCAATTTCTAGTGACCGCTAAATAGTGTGACCAGTGTCCCTTTGTTTGACCAATTTGAACTAAACCAGGACTAAACTAAGACTAAACCATGGACTACATCAGATTTAAACCAAGACTAAAACAGGACTATCACAGTTTTTGTCTAATCTGATCCCCGCTAACAGTAAAGAGGAGCACAAATTGTCTTTTTTTTGTCAAAATACTGAAAACAGTGTTTGAAAATGACAACAAAGTCCCTCAGATTATGATGTTTCACGCTCTTTTCACCGTTTTATTTATACCAACCATCCAAACCCGGGTGTGTCCGAGTTTTGAATTATGAAAATCTGGTCGCCCTACCACTAAAACTAGTAGCTCTTAGGCATTTTCTTTTTTTAAAGGTAGCTCACGAGAGGAAAAAGCTTGGAGACCCCTGTTCTAATGACTGATGAGTTATTTTTTTCCTTGAGAATTTGGGAGAATTTGAGAAAAAAAGAAAAGAAAGAGATGATCTGATGAAGGATTTTTGTCGAAACTTAATCTTACAAAAATATTGAAATGTCATGTTAACAGTCGCAACTAATGTAAGTAATCTGATTTGTTTCTGATTCTTCACACTTGTGGAGGTTTTGACAAGAAAAATTAAACAAAAAGACAAAAATGAAAGAGAAAATGTAGGAATAGGAGATTTTAAATTCATTGTACTTTGTTTTTCCAACTAACAGTTAGTCAACACATGAAAATGTTCACTAAACCTGGAACTAAAACTAAGTCTACATCAGGTCTAAACAAGTACAGCTATGATCGCAACCTTTCATGATCAGATTTCTTTCATGCATGTTGTTAATTTAATTATTGTTATCTTTTTTTATTATCATTTGTTTATTTATTTTATTCATAAGCATAAAAAGACAAACAGTGCCTTATCTGCCTCCTTTTCCAGAAAATACATTAACACCGAGAACTGGGAAAACATTTCAAATCAATACATCTCATTTCACTCACAAATACTAATCAATTGCAAACAGATTATTATTCTAGTTATCAGATTTTCACTGACCATGTAAATGTACCCACTGATGATGAGGTGGAAGTGAGTCAAACGGATGAGTGTTTGGACCCCAGCTTCTGTCACTGTCGCAGTTTGTCACTCGGAACAAGACAATCTGTAAAGTTTATTAATACAGTTTTGTTCTCTTCACTTTTGTGTTAAATATGACTTATTCATCTTTTCCTGATTTGCCATTTAGTTTTAAGATTTGACAGTACTTTATTCAGTTAATCTTTTTCTAGTCTTTGACATTGAATTCTCACTTGGACTGTTTTGTGTTGTCAAAACTTGCCTTACGAATGGAGTAAGAATTCTGGAGGGAAGTTGAAGCGTCTTGACCATAAAACTTTGTTCAGACGACTATTTTTGCTTCAATTCCATCCATGAAAAAAATAGATTCAAAATAGTTAAGATGTAAATTAAAACCTTAAGGCGGATTTATTATGCAAAATCGATTTAACCATCTTATAGTCATTTCCACTTCTCATTTACCTCCACTGATGCACTCCCACTGCTCTGTACTTAGTTCTCCAATTTTGTTTTCTAAATCTGTGATACACAATTTATTGATGTTGCAAAATTTTGGTAAGAATGGTGTGATCTTCTAGCCTGATTCATCAGCCGGTTTCACTTTGTTGAAACCATCTGACCTCATAGCATTAGAATTCTTTCGCTCGATGGTAGTGTAGGCGTGTACTTTTTTTATTTAACCAATCCCTGCTGTCTGGTCATGATGTACATAATGCGCTATTAATGGGGCTAAGTGGTATATTAAGGTTTTCCCAAGTCCCGTAGGAAGAGTAAAAAATCTTGATAAAAATCACAGAACATTCTCGTTGTTCCAACTTTAAATCTTCGATTTCTCGGGAATCGTTGCCAACACAGAATGTATGGCTCTTTGCTGATTGGCTGGTGCCCTAACTCGCACTTCTGGGGTTTTTGCGAACTGTCTAGTAGAGATGAGCGGATGGGCTATTTTTTCATCCGCAACCGCGACACAAAACTCATCATCCGCCCGCTGTCCATTTTGCACCGAAGGTTTTCAAAACCGCACCCGCCCGCCATCCGCCGATTGATTTTAGATTTTAGAACAATCATAGAGCAAACAAACTAAGGAGCCTCGATAAAAATGCAAACTCTGTAGCTCATTCATTCCAAAATTCGCTCAGCGTGTATGTTCACATTCTTAATTGTCCGTAACAACCCCAAACTTACCTGGTTTTCTTGCGCAGCTAATTAATTGACAACGTTTTCCGACTAGACTATTTTTGAACCTTCTTGCCTTCGTGTTGGATGTTGTTACATTCTGAACATTCTACCATTGCCCATTGTTATTTCAAAGTCATAGCCTCACTCCATCAGTCTGTCTTTAAGTTTTAAATACCCCGAGTGGCAGTCTACGCTATAATGTCTGCGTGTTTTAAAATATAACTGATATCGAAATGGCCCTATAGCCACTTATGTGTTGGCAAACAGCTGAAATAAATTAGAAATAATAAAATAAACTGCATATAATATGTGCCTCGTAAACCTTAGGCTATCAATAACCCGACACAACCTTAACCTTCAGAACATAAAAACGAGGTCAAATGGACTAATTAAGGACATGACGTACGCTTAATACTACAAGCATAGACAATGAGACTGATGTAGGTAACAATACTAACAATAACTTTTTTTTTTAGTAGTTAAACCGCCACCCGCCCGAATTTAATTAAAATATAATTTTTTGTCACGTCATCCGCCCGACCCGCGGATTAACCGCGGATACTGCGGTTGTAACCGCAATCCGCGCATCTCTACTGTCTAGTGTATTTTGATTCCTGACCTAGTTGCTGGAAAGAAAAGAAATTGAGCGGAGGCACAAGGTGGCGCCACCCTGGCTAGTGATCTGCAGCTATCCATTGGGGGTGCCGATAGCTACACAGCTTTTTGTTGTGATGATCCAGTTGGGCGAAGTAGTTTGTTAAAGTAGAAGTCAATGGACTTGTTGCTTTTATTAAATTGTTTTAGATGAATATTGCGATTTAAAATGTCCAAACTATAGCGTAATTATCCATGAGTGTCATACATTCTAAATATATAGCAGACATAAGCACAGTGGGTCTCCTTTAACCCTAATGCACGTTGGCCATAATGGAAATATTTTGATTAATTTGCTGCTTTTGTCTCAGCTCCGCTTGGCTACGTGTCCAACTTCAAGGTCGTCTCTTACACCAGTACGTCCATCGATGTGGAGTGGAGTCCCATTGTGGGAGCTACAGAATACAGGCTCACCTGGAAAACTGGTAACATGCTTTTATCTGATGCTCTGCGCAAAAATAAAACTCAATTAATTCTATTTACTTACTCAAACTTACTCAAAATGATTTCTGATTCTTGCAGATGGGGCCAGTCCACAGTCCAAATACCTGGACCATAGCATCTTGTTCTATCACATTGAAGATTTGAGTCCTCTGTCCACTTACACAGTCACTATCTGTGCTCTCTATGGAAATGCAGAAGGGCCAGAGATTTCATTATCACAACTCACCGGTAAATGTCATTTGTAATCCTTTTATCAATATTTCTTCTCATTGTTTTTCTGAATTATAGATGCACTATGTAACCTTTTTGGTTTGACCGTATGCTTAATGCTTTTCTTCATGAGTATGTAATTGCTTTGTCTGGAATATTCCACAGAATAGCTTTAAAATGATTTGCCCTACATTTATTCATTTATATGTGTTTTTGTTTTTATTGTTATTGTTGGCAGGTTGGCCTCTTGTAGCTTGACCTGGTAGCGTCACCTGCTTGTTTCCATGAAGATACATAGATAAATTTAATGCTATATAGTGGAACATTCCAGGGAAAGCAATAACATTACTATAGAGATAAGCATATTGCAGATCCTCATAATGCCTCGTAATGCATAATGCTTCTTTAAAGATATTATTTTATGTGTGGACTTGAGAGATTTGTGTGTTTTTTAATTTGCCATTTAGTTTAGCACATTTAAAAATATTTCTATGAGTTCATCTTTTTCAGTCTTTGACATTTTAATTACTGCATTCTCACTTTTAATATAGTGTTGTGTCATCAAAACTTGCTTTTCTAGACACTTGTTTGAAAATTTAGTGGTCCATTTTTCATTCACTCTATGGTAAGCTGCTTCTACATTTACTCACTCACTCAATTCACAAAGGCAAGTTGGGTTAAGTCGCTTGCTCAAAGACACAACAACAATAGGCAGGAGGAGAATTTGAACCTTTCACAATGACAGCAAGGTGAGAAACAGATATCAATATTCAGCAACTTTTAACTTTATTAATCTCAGTAATTGTTACATTTTTAGGTACAGTTTTAGCAATTATCATCATTGCTTCTCTGAGTTTGTTTACATGCACATCAGTACCTGGTTATGAATGCACTTTCCCGGTCCCGGACATAATCTTACAAATGCACACGTGCAAAAATTATACATTTAATAAACTAGGAAAAATACAAACAACCATGTGCTCCTTTAGTGTAGGAAGCTCGGGAGGTTTTAACCAGCATGAGGAGCTATGAGGTATCTCACAATCCACTGCATAGATCCATGTTTCCCAAACACTATTGTACAAGTTTTACACTTCAGCTAATTTTTAATTAAAATCTTCTGCATAAATAAACTCAACTTTACAACATATAAACCATAAACACTATAGACCCACATCAGCCCGTTTGAGATTCAAACGTTTTTAATGCAGCTTTGCGCACATTTCTTTACGTATTACAGAAACAAAACTTAAAACCACATGGCTCATATACATAAACCGTAAGCGCTCATCTAAATTGCTTATCTAAACTTCATGTATTATAAACATATTTTTAAGATATTGTAATTTTTAAATCTATATAAATGCAAAGATGATTAAAAAGAGAAGCAAATGAATAAAATTACATTTTAACGAGTTGTGCTATTTTTAGAACCGGCTTGCTGGCGACTCATGTAGTCCTTGGGGGTGACCTTGTGCCTGCGGGGACCGTGTTGGTGACCCCTGCTCTGTAGACACTTGATATGAACTGTTCTGTTGGCTTATCAGTTAAAGGTGTTTTATTACCAATAATAGCATGCATTCTTCCTTTATCTGACCTGTAACCTGGTCTAGTGACGTCACGCTCTTCATGTCTCTTAATGTCATATTGTGAAACATTCCAGGCAACACAATAACATCTCCATGGAGACAAGCAGGTGGTGAGGTGCAGTAATTTATGAATCATTATCTCCTGTGTATCCTTCATGCTTTTTATTCTACTACTGTTCTGCTGTGGCGTTACAAAACTGTAATTCCCACAGTGTGTCAAATTAATGAATGAATTTCTTATATAATCTTTTTTTTTTTTTTTTTTTTTTTTTGTAGCTGCTGTTTCCGATTCAGACCCGATCCAGGCTCCACGAGAGGTGAAGGTGGTTGACATCGGAGTGAACTTTTTTACTTTGTCGTGGAAGAAAACGTCCGGGGCATCTGGGTACAAAATCTCCTGGACCCCCTTCTTAGGTATCAGCCCACACTTCACTCTGTTACCCTGAAGCTTTCTTCCTCTATGCTGAATTACATTGACTATTTGGCTAACGAAGCATCATCTAGCAGCATGTGTTATCTCATGTTATTCTTCCCATTAGGAGGTGAGGATAAGTCACACACAGTTTCGGGTTCGTCCACTTCCTACACGATTAAAAACCTGCGTGAGAGCTCGGCCTATAAGATCCAGCTGTCCTCTGTGGTGGGGGACAAAGAAGGCAGTCCAGTCCTGGTCACTGCACGAACATGTAAGTATCACTGAAATTATGAAGGAAGCATGGATATCAGCTTTTACAAACATGTTTATCTTAATTTAATGAAACAATATTACCCAATTTTCTAATCTACTGTTTGTTATAATATTGTTTGTCTGTTTCCTCATCACAAACAGACCTGGAGTTTTGTTTTGTTTCATTCATTCATGTTTAACACCCAAATCCTGTACAGTTCCTTCTCTCAAATGGGAAATAATTGTTCCACCTTGTGATGTCATGTGGTAATACAGGAAGTGCTCCACTGTGTTTTTAAACTCCATACCCCTTCACTAGACTATAATATGACCTAAAGCTCAAACTTAAAGAGAAGAGTCAAATTTGCATAATATAGGACATTAAAGCAATACATGTTTGTTTAAAAATGTTAATATAGATAGTAGAGCTGTAGTCATTTAGTAAATGAATGTTTTGACCAAAATTATGGTTATTTAAATTATACGGGTGTGTACAGCAGGAAGAAGAATTTAGGTAGTGAGTGACTTAGCTGAAGATTTGGTATTTTTTGGTATGTAGAAAGGCAGATTAAACTCATGATTCTCTAGTTTAACCTGTCTTAATCTACATAAATCTGCATAAATAGTTGTTTTTGCATGAACATGAATGTGCAGGTGTAGCCTTGTTCGTCAGATACAGTGATACGTAACAGTTTTGAGAGCTTTTGTCATGGCCCCTTTTAGCTAATCGATTTACAGCCTTAAAGGGAGAGTCTGGAATTTTTGGACATAGAACTTCATTTCCTAGTGAGTGAGTGTTGGAGACGTGTGGAGACACTTTTTTAAATATTCCATCCAGTGCTTGTATTTGCAGAGGTCGCTGGTGCTAGACTAGTGCATGTCAATGGCCATAGTTATCCTGCCACTAAAAACAGTCTTACCCACTCCACGAAACTCCTGAAGCAAATCTATTATTATGCCAGACTGTCGATGTGAATGTCTGTGTAAGTTTGTAAGTTTTTTATTTATATAACGCTTTCAACAGACATTTGTTACAAAGACACTTTACAGAACATTATTCATTCACTCCATGCTCGGTGGTGGTAAGATACTATTGTAGCTACAGCTGCCCTGGGGCGGACTGACTGAAGCGCGGCTGCCAATCAGTCCCTCCGACCACCACCATCACTCACACACACACCACTTTCATACTAGGCGATGTGGGTGAAGTGGCTTGCCTAAGAACACAACAACAGTTTTTGTGACTGGCGCCCCCCTGTGGCACCCCATGCAAGTACTAACCAGGCCCGGCCTTGCTTAGGTTCTGAGATCTTACAGGATCAGGCTTTGACAAACTGGTATGGCTGGTATGATGTTGATGGAATAATGTTTGAAATAAAACTAACCTTGCTTTGCATGAATCGTCGCATGTTGAAGGACTATTTTCTCAGCAGCAGCGGAATTTTACTTTGCCTGTAAGATAAGTTCTAGGTGATATCAGTCCACCGCTGCCAAGCTTTCTATCAGGAAGCACAACTCGCTGCGGCTCAGACATAAATCCTTCAAATGCAAGGTTGGTTTTACTTCTAAAATTATTCTATTGACAAATGAGGTCCTATGTTCAAAATTCCGGACTGTCCCTTTAATAGAGGTTCCACAACACAAGTGAAATCAATCAAATCAATTAGCGCTTTACATCAAAGAGCCTCTCACCCATTCACACACATTCATACAGTGGAGGCGAGGGGGTTAAAGTGTCTTGCCTAAGGACACAACAGCATTATTCATCTATTGGAGCTGGGATCAAACTGCCAACCGGTCAGCGGATTTGGCTGCTCTACAATCTGTGCTTTTGTCAGGAGCCGGTTTTGAGCTGTTGACCTTAAAATCAGGGGGTGAACTGCTGCCCCATGTAGTGAAGTATGTAGATGGCCAGGACAGGAAGAACATCTGGTTTAGTATGACAACACCCAAAATTATGTTCCAATTTTTGGGATATCATTCCTGCTTATAGTCAATCATTAATTCTTTCAGTTCTTCAATAAAATATAGATGGTTAAATATTATACCATGCTAAATTGTATTAATGTGACATTAAATTTTCAAGTTCTTGTTGTTATCATCTGGACTACAGTATCTTTGCAAATTTTCTTATTAACACTACATGTATGTCTTTGGCGGAATGTTTCAGTAGGTAGGTACCATGGTGACACAATGCGCACATTAGCAAACACAGCCAAAAAAGTTTAAAGAAATTCTGAAAACTCAAGAAAAATACGAAATGGATTTGTTTAGGTGTTTCATTTTCAACTAAAAGGTGAGAGTGAGTAACTGAAAAACTGGCGTGTGACTGTAATGTTATTAGAGAGGGACTTGTTTAGCAACACAAAACAGCTCACTTATTGTAATTTGAGCTAAGTCAGTTCTTTCTGTTCAGATTGTGTTAAAATAAAGCACAGATTGAAGTCTAAGTTAATTGAACAAATGAATGGGGGATTAGATTTTATCTTTGTGTTTTTGTCAGTGGATCTGCCCAAAGTGAACGGATTTGAGGCCTTGAACACCACAGACAGCAGCACCATTCTCAACTGGACCAGAGTCGCCGGGGTTTCTGGGTATCTTCTCTCCTGGAGGCACATTTCAAGTCAGTCATTTACACGAATCCATCACTCTTATCATTTAAAGGTGCATTATGTAACTTTTCTGATGGACGATCCGTCATCACAGAGATGTTATTGCTTTGTCTGGAATGTTTCACTGTGTGGTATTAAACCTTTCTATCTTCATGGAGACCAAATCTGACTTACAGGCTTTTCTATATATTTTTTACCTATAAAACCACCTATAATTGAATAAATGTAAGGTACAGCTGATTAATGTCACACTATGGAACATTCCAAGCAAAGCAATGACATATAAACAAACAGATGATGGACCCCCAACCAAAAAGTTACACAGTGCATCTTTAAAACACATTAAACTTGCACAATAAAATATCATCCTCTTCATTTTTCTTCAGTTCTGGACACTAAGACTGAGATCCTGGGTCCTGGTGTTACCTCTTTCAAGATTGGAGACCTCTTATATGGAAGAACCTATATTTTTACCATCAGGCCGCTGTATGGAGAAGTGGAGGGCCCAATAACAACTATATACCAAAGAATATGTAAGATACTTAGATTTAGACAAACTTTATTGATCCACAAGGGAAATTTCTTGGACACAGTAACTCACACATCACACTATTTTATATAACAAAGGGAAAAATACTAATGGCAATAATAAATTCTAAAAAAAAATAGTAGAAGAAATAGCAAGAGACAGATGTCATATTAGGCATAATTGTATAAATGTATATGTACAAGTACAACATAGAAATAAAGTAATAAAAATGCATCTTGGCTTTATACAAGAGGTCATAAGGAAATCAGCAAAGTTGATATGATGATTGACAGGACATAGGGTTATCTGTAACATAAGGGTGATACTTTTCTCAACTATTTTCTCTACTGTTTATGTTAGTTTAGAACAGGAGTCACCAAACTTTTTCCTCTGGGGGCCACATTATCGCTCCTGACTATGATGGGGATCAGGTGTCAGGTCGGCCTTATAAGAGAGTTGTATGACCCTGATGATGCAGACAAACTGCTCGGTCCTTACACTGAACATAAAAATAATTGGTCATCCATTGTTCTTTGAAAACACTGCACTGTCTGTCAACTTTTCGTACTTTAACACTCGCCACTTGCCTTAACTGCACTATACAACTCTGCACGTGCGTTGACTATCACTGTTTGATCTTGACCTTGTCAGGTGACGAAAATTCACTGGGAAATTTAAATACATCATATAATTATATAAATATAAATACTCCATATACATATTATTTTTTTTGTAAAAAATCATAAAATAAGAGATGCACATATGTTATTATTTGCCAAAAAGTAATTTTAAAAAATAGGCCATGACAACTTTTGAGAATTGCTTCATAGGGCCAGTTTTTCTTCATAGGGCCTGGGGGGCCAGTCAAAGGGGTGTGCAGGGACGGAGTCGGCCCGCAGGCCATAGTTTGACCCCTGGTTTAGAATATACATATTCTGATATAGTTTCAGTTTCCACCTCCCTTACAGTTACTTAAGCAGAAACTCTGGATCCAAATATAAATAATAAAGAATAAAGAAGAAGTTTGGACTTTTCCATTAATTTTATTTTATTATTTTTTAGTTTAGAAGATTGAGAGTGAGAACATCATTTCAAATTTTCATATGGAAATTTGACAATAAACTTTTTAAATTTGAACTTGAAATACTCCAAATTTATAACTGTATTCTTGTCTACTTCGTGTTTGGAGCTCTCTCCATACCCAATTTTATTAAGTTTTATCCTTTGTCTCTCCTGGGTAGTCTTTTGCTGTAATGTGATTGGTCAGTTTTTTCATGAATGGCATTTTGCTAATTATCCAACCCCTGGCCAACCATTTACAATCTATAATTTATTTTTGGCACTTTCACCCTATGCTAAAGTGGCCATTATATATAAAGGCCTTCATAACTTAACTAACTGCCTTATGTTGTCTCCATTTTCTTGTCAGTGGGAGAGGACCCTCAGGTTTCATCTGTCCTGGCCACTGCTGCTCCAAATTTGGCTCAGATCACCAAAATCTCCCAGCCAGCTCCGGCCACCAATCCTGCAGTACCTCCCACCACCACCAGGAGGAACCGGCCCCCTGCTGCTGCTGTGCCAGCGGAAAAACCCAAATCTAAGAAATCTCAGAGCAAAGCAGCCCTGAGTGAGACAGAAAAATATGCGCCACTGGCCACAAAGAAACCAGAGACTACCGCTGCACAGACCACAGGTATGTAAAGGCAAAAACGGATTCAGCTGATACTTGGATTGTCAAAATAATTGAAAATCAGATATTAATTTATACTAAAAGCGGTATCAAAACTAGATACTCAATTGAGCAAGTATCAATGCTAAAAAAGTCACATTAACAGGGCTCCACTATGTTCTTAAACTCCATACACCTTCACTTCAATCCAATCAAATCCACTTTATTTCTATAGCACATTTCACAGTTTCCAAAGTGCTACACAAATACATACTAATAACAACAATAATACTATGATAAAACAAACTACTAAAATAATCATACTAGTCTTAAAATAATAAAACCAGTAAAATAAAATAAGAGCAAAATCATAGAATAGCAATAAATAAATAAAACCAATTAAAAAATACATACAAAAAATAATAAAATAAATAAAAATAAGTAAAAAAAAAAACATAAAACATAGCTAAATGGAGCTAAATTATTCCCTGATTGTGGGAAAGATGGACTGGCGTGGGTAGTGTTGTGTTTTAGTTTTTCTTTTTCCTCGAGTGAAGTAGAAAAGAGGAAGCCACTGTCTGTGTGAATGTTCATGTATGTTAGCTCACTTAAATAATTTGGATGATTTCAGACCTGGATTTGCCAATCTCGACTGAACTAAAGGTAAAAAGTAGCTGTTAACTTGAAAACTACCACCACATGACATCACAAGGTGGAACAGAGAGTTTTGAGCTTTGGAGAACTAGATAGCCTGGTAATGCAGGATTATTCAAACATGTGTAAATAAAACAAAACACAACTCCAGGTCTGTTTTTGAGGAGGTAACAACGTTCCATCGTGGCTTAAAGCTCACACAACTCATTTTTACGTAATATAGGACCTTTAATAAAGTGTCTTGCCTAAGGACACAATGGCTCTAAACTAGTCATAACACAATTCAAACCTTTTAGTTGCCAGATAACTGCTCTCCCATCTGAGCCGTTATTGCCCTGCTTATTTCCCACACATGAGTAACATATGTCTTTTCCCCATTATAATTCTTTTACATTGTTCCTGCGTTGTGCCCTCAGGATGCGATAAGGCCCGAGCAGATGTGGTTTTCCTGGTGGATGAGTCATCGAGTATCGGCGTAGACAACTTTAACAGAATAAAGGACTTCATATTCAGAGCTGTAACTTACTTCCCTCTCATTGGACCACAGGGAACTCAGGTTAGTCACTCAGCCTTCAAAACACTACTACTTCAAGCTGATTAATCGGTCCATGGAGTCTTGTTGTGATTGTTTTCACACGTTATTGTACTTTGTGAACTGACCCTTGTACGCACTAGAGTTAGTTCTGTTTACTTCACTTTTGGATCAGTCTTGTTCAAATACATCGTGCTTTATTCTCCCCGAACACTCACCATGAGCCACGTGAGAGGCATCGGCTGATTGCCAAACTTATCTAGTAATTTTTCCTAATTAAGGCAAGATATTTTGTTGTTTATATTATGTTACGTGCATTTTATGTTACGTGCATTATATACTAGGGATGTGCATTGCCTTGAGTCTGACGATACGATACATATCATAATTTGCATGTCACGATTCAATATATCATGATATATCTGGATAAAACTAAACTAAACTAAAACAGCGGATGATATATTGCGATTTATCAATAATTACTTCTTATAATACAGTCAACTACACCTTCAAGAGAACACAATTGTATGAAATATAATTTATAAACTTTTTAAAATCATGAGAACTGTGAATGTAACTAATGTGAAAAATTTGTGAGAAATATTATTTTAAAAATTTATTCAGATCCATTTTGAATCGATTAGAGAATTGTGCAATGAAGTATCACGATATATCACTGAATTGATTTTTTCTTACACCCCTATTTTATACCATCTGTTTGTCTCTATGGAGATGTTATTGCTTTGTCTGGAATCTTCCACAATATGGCCTAAAATTAAATTTATTCAACCCCAGGCACCTTGTAAAGTAAGTCTTATTATTTTGTGTGCCCCCTCCACAGATATGACTTATACATATGCTTAATGCCATATTGTGAAACATTCTAGGTGAAGCCTTTAAATAATTGCAGTATTTGTGACTTTAAAATAGTGGAGTAACAATTTGTGGAAGAGGGAGGACATTACCACTTTGTGATCAGCAGGTAGAACAGAGCATTTTGAGCTCTTGAGAAGGAGACTGAGAACTTTCTGAAGTGTTACAACTTCAAGCATGTTTTTCATTAATTAACAACATTATAATGTGGTAAAAAGTTGAAGCAAGTCTAGTCAATTATTATAGGCCATTTTCCTTCCTTAAAGGTGCTTTGTGCAACTTTTATGGTGGAGTGTCTATTACCTGCTTGTCTTCATGGGATGTTATTGATTTGTCTAGAACAGGGATCTCCAACCTGTAGCTCGGGAGCTACCAGTAGCTCTCCACCTCCTTCCAAGTAGCTCTTAAAGGGATTTCTGAATTATATATATTGCGCTGAATAACTCAAATTTGATAGAATAAATACCTATATCCTTTGTAAATGTATAACTTTGATGCCTAATTTTCTGCACTGAGAACTGAATAATGGGTTATGTTTTATAGACATCTAACTGTACCTCATTTTCAGCTTACCATGGTTCTTATATTTACAACATTTCTGGCGACCGCTGAAATTAGTAGCTCTCTGGCATATTCGTTTTACCAAAAGTAGCTCACAGAAGAAAAGAAGGTTGGAGCCCCCTGGTCAAGAATGGTCTACAATAGAGAACCTGAACCTATCTACAAGGGAGATAACTGTAGATTATATTACAGGTCAGATCTGTGGAGATGCAACCCTATTCACAGAGAGAATTATTGTATTTTTGAGCAATAAAAACACCTGTAATGAATGCTAGATGGATATGTTTAATGTCATGCTGTGGAACATTGCAGGAAAAGCACTAATATCTCTATGAAGACAAGCATGTGAAGGACCACCAGAAAAGTTGTACGTGTGTGTGCTTTGAACCAGAATTGTGAAGTTAGTCTTGCGCTTAATCTCGACACAGATTGCGGTGGTCCATTACAGCGATGATCCTCGAATTGAGTTTCGTCTGAACGACAACAAGGACAGAAATTCTTTGCTCCGAGCGCTCCGAGCTTTGCCCTATCGAGGAGGCAACACCAAAACAGGTTAGACACAACTTATAACTACAATTATCTACACCAAATGTCATGAGGCAGTTAATGAAGAAAGCAGGAGACTCCAATTGAAACTTTTTAGACGAGTTGATGTGGCCATTGTATAGAAAATTATAATGGATTCCTGTGATAAAACCAATCTGCGCTCTGTCCACAGGGAAGGGCATTGGTTACGTCTTACAGGAGCTGTTCCAGGAGTCTTTGGGAATGAGACAAGATGCTCCTCACGTCCTGGTGCTGATCACAGACGGAAGAGCCCAAGACGACGTGGTACCGCCCTCGAGAGTGGCACGAGCTCTAGGTCAGATTTCAGCCTCCTATAATGATAATGGAAATGATAAATATATGAAAAGATTAGATACATGATGCTCTTAACAAGTTTTTCAAATTGAGATCGACCTATTTGGGGTTTTTTCATTGTTTAGAAGCTCTGATGATATTTTTGGGCCAGTATGTGGAGCTGATTTTGATTATTTTCCCCAAATCACGTAGTTGAAATAAAAACTCACAGCTCATTTTTAACCTCAAATCTAAAAGAGAGCTGTATGATCACATTTCGTGCAGGTTTCTCTTTGCACTTAAGTGTTCAAATGAAGCTTTATGGGGATATTTATGCACCAAGTCGGTCAAATCAAAATATCGGCCTGAGCTGGAGATTTATGTCCGATATATTATTCACTATAACTTGCAAATACTGTCAATCTCTATTTTCAGAGTTCAATTATGTATTCAGTCTCTCAGGTGATAAATGGATTATTGTTCTATAGTTGCCTTTATAGACCTTTCCAGGAGTGCCAAAATAGCTGTGCCTTGTACTGAACTTAACATTTGATCCTGTTCATTTAAATAGGACAGCAAAATAAAACATAAGTTTTGACTTTTGTAAACAGCGCAGACAAATGGCAAATTGCAATAGTGTAGCACAAACATATATGAATTGTCCTTCCACATTGCTCCTGGACCCTGATAAGTGACGTTCTGGGTTTAGTTCAGGTCTTCATTAGGATGAGAGCTGAGCAAGTATAAATCTGTCTTTATTCAACTTTCTCTCACTTTGTTTTGATTGTGTTTATTGCATTGAAAAACATGTCTCCCTACTGTGAGCAGGCTTGCATCTCCACAAACCTGACACATACTTAGCCTAGAAGAGGGCCTCCTGCTATTTGATTCTATGGAAATGTTGTTTCTTTGAAGTATGAAGTATTCTGAATTATGGTGACACCAGTGATGTTCCACGTCCAGGAAATGTACTGTATCTTTAATGTATGAGTGTAATGGAAATGCAGACACCTATAATTACTATTATGAATGTGACCGATTTTGATATGGCGGTATAAAGAGTACAAGGTCATAGACGCTGATGGAAACTATCAGGTTCGAAATATGTGGATTATGTTTACCTATGTAATCAATAGGGAAACTGTCTTTAATCTCCCCATCTGTGACTATATCATTATAATTTCCTGGACTCTGAAAACCGTCCTTTAGATGACATCTTATACTACGTTAATTCAGTATTCATTGTGATTACAGGTGTGAGTGTGCTGGCTGTCGGAGTGGCTAATGCAGACATTGATGAGTTGAATAAAATCGCGGCTCCCACAAACTACAAGAACATTTTCTACTCTCCCTCCTTTGACGACTTCCCTTCGATTGAGAGGGACTTCATCAACAGCATCTGCAGTGACGAGCTCCTGTCTGAATACAAACTAGAGCCAGAGGCTGAGGTACGCTTACAACCATAGACTGTACAGTATGATGCATCATTAAGAAGTTGCCGATACGATACATATCTTGATACGTAGCCCATGATATGATACCTACCTCGATACAGTGCGCTTTCGATTCAATACGATATATTTCAAATCGTTTCGATACAATTCAATAAAAAATAATGGCTAAATCATGGCTGTGATACTACAAGTCTTTGTTAAACCACTTCTTGTGCAAAGTTAATATGAAACACGCACATTTTAATCATCAAAACAGTGAAAATGTCAAATGTGCTGCATAAATGAGTTTCCTTCCACTAAACAAACAACAAAACTGTAGCACTGTAACAAAATAATTTAGTAAAATATAACAAAAGGTACTCTTGGCGATGTATCGATATAGTAGCCCACGATATCAATACCGTATCATCACATTAAACGATACGATATATCGATATTTCTGTATTTTTGAGCACCCCTACTGTACAGTATATGTAAATGCTCATAGCTAACCTGTTAGTTGCCACATACAGAACTGGAAGTGAACATGGTGGCACTTCCAGTTCCATCGACTGTGGCTCCAATTAACTTTACACTGAAAAATTGTCACCCCTCTCTCTGTAACTACTGCAGTGAACCTTGTCATTTTGGTTCATATTAACCCGCTCTACATGATCCTGGTCTTTTTATATTGCTGTGTTGTCCATAAATAAATTCCTCTGCTCCTAAATTTGCTCCTACAACTGCTAACATTGTGAGCTTCATTTGACTGGACTTGAATGCTGTGGTGACGTCACACTCCCTTAGTCCATTTCTTTATTCAGTCTATGGTTATAAAATTATGCTGCATGTTTTTGTGGTGCTGATTTTTTTAGTAATAATTATTAATTTATGTTATTTTGCGTTCTTTGTTTTTACCTACAGTATTCTGTTCTAGTACATTGAACAGTTTTTGTTAACATGACCTGCATTTTTTGTACAATTTCAATAATATATTTTGTAGGATGCTCAGTTAGACAATCCCACGGGAGACCCAGAGGAGGTGTCAAAGCCTGAGGCCCCCTGCCCCACCCACTGTGTAAAGGTTGGTTAAAAATATATAGTTTGCAATGAAAAAACAAACAAAACCAAAAAACTAAAATTAAACATTTAACATGATAAATTATAGCTGTTTTTTTTCTGTGATTCTAGGGCTGCAACAATTAATTGATTAATTGTGATGAATTAAAATTAAAATTAAAACTAATACTAAAATTAAAATTAAAATTAAATTAACTGTATGGCTGCAACAATTAATTGATTAATTGTGACAAGTCCGCTATAAAAAAAAAAAACCCCACAAATATTGTATTTTGATAATCACAATTGTTATCTGGACTATACAATAAAATACAATAATTTAATTCATTTAATGATATAAAACATCTCTGTCGTTTGTGCTCATAGGGCCAGAAGGGAGATAAGGTAAGACACATTTTAAGCTCAATGGTTTAAGAGAATTATTAATCATAATAATAAATAAACATGAATATAAACATAATCATTTAATAATGAAAGTACAACACAAATTTCTTTCTTTCAGGGCGATGGGTTTGGACTTGGGGGTCTGGTATGGTTTGATTTCTGGTCTTTTTATAGTCAGTTTTGTTTATGGTTCTGCTTAAAACATTAATATACATATATTTTATTTTTTTATATAGAAATTTAGAGCAAGTCCTGGAAAATTTGATCCTTTTACAGCTACAAAAGGAGAACCAGGTGAAAAGGTTTGAACAAGATTTTTATATTAAATTTGCCCTGTTGTTTTAGCTGTTGTTTATGTTGCGTGTCCAATATCATTGGTTCACAACGTATTTTGTCTCAAGTTCGAGTGCCCTTAAACTCTCTGTCACTCTGAGTACACCTAACTCCCATACCAGACAAATACATGTTTACTCTTGTAACTGTAATTGTCATTTATTGCAATAATAATTTCTTGTTTTTTGATACTGATGCCCAAGATCCCTCAAAGCATGTGTACTGTATGTAAGATTTTTATTTTAAATTTTATAAACTTGACCTATTTGTGTCCCCAGATTTGAGCGAAACATGTTCAAATGTATTATATATTTTACAGAAAACCATACTAATGCTGATTTATTGTTAATTAGAAAAGAAAATGCTCATGATACATCACATTTAAGGCGATTCTGAAGGTGATTATCCAATTGGAAAGTACTCACATGAATCTTTTATTTGGGTTGCCAGTTTCAATGCTGAAATTAAGTTGGTTTAAACCTTGGAAGACTCTCTGTGATCTGAAGTGCTAGTGCAGCCTCTGCAACTCAGAGGTTCTCGAGGTTCTGAACTTTCCACATGAGGCATGGCCTGTCCACATACTGAGAAAAAAAACTTGTATGTATTCTCAATTTAATTCAGTTTCATCATTTAAAATCTGAAGCCCTTGCACCCCGTAACTGTACCAGCAAGATCTGATCCAATGACTCATACACTGGCCATGTACTCCTGGTGTAGTATTGTCTTACATTACTCTGAGTACTTGTATTTGACAGGGCCCCCCTGGAACAGATGGTGTTCCTGGATTACCGGGGCGCCCGGGGAGATCTGGACCCCCGGGATCCGCTGGACTGAGGGTAAAACTCATTTAGACAGAAATACATATAGCCTACTGCTTTTGTGCTTATTAATGCTGTATATTATTTTCAAGGGTCCCCAAGGTATCCCAGGTGACAGGGTAAGCCTGTTTGTTTTTAGATTATGACTTCAAGATTGTAGTAAGAAAAAAAAGAAGTTTAAATGGTTCTCTGTACACTGAATATCTGTTGTAGGGTCTTCCTGGAGCCCCTGGGCCAAAGGGTCAAAGAGGAGAAAGGGTTGGTTTACATTTATATTGTTCTAGAGATGTAAATGCATTGAGACTCAAATACTGATCAGTTCTAAAACTGAGGGCAAAATTTCTGTCCTGAACAGAATGGTTTTGATCTATATCAGAACTAGTATAAGACCACATGGTAATAAACTATTATTTTCTGATGTAAATTACAGTCTAATGCATGAAAGAAAGAGTATCAAAATCAGTAACATTTTAACAATTTATAAAGCATTTTTCTATTGTATCAAAAATGTTATTTTCTTGACAACTCTAATTTGTATTAAAAGTAACACAAATTTAAAATAATATAATAATAATAACATTTGTTTGTCACAGGGAGAGCCTGGATATGTAATTGCAGGTCCTGATGCCAACTATGTTCCTGGGAGAAAAGGAGAGCCTGGATCTTCTGTGTGTATTAATTTAATTTACTTTGATGCATTTTGTATCTAAGTTTTATTGAGACCTGTATTGCTCTGTGTATATGTATTACTTTGTGTATATGTCTAAATACTGTATTCACGGTCCTCACAGGGCCCACAAGGTGCCCCTGGTGTCCCAGGTGTGAATGGAGCACCAGGACTCCCAGGACCCCCAGGTTTACCTGGACCACCAGGAGAAACTGTGAAGGTACTGATCATGTGGTCTGTGTGTGCTATGTGTAATACAATTGACGTTTTTAAAGGGGACATGTACTAGTATTACCAAATCTTCTGTTATTAGCCTTTACAGTGTTCCCTTATCATTATTTTACTATATTTTTAATGATTCAGGCATGTTTGAGTATTCTTGTGTTGTTCTCCATTTGAGGCTTGAGTGCTCAGTCTGTTTTTCACCTATTTCCACTTACATGTAGGTTTATTAAATGTTGCATAGCCATTTTCCAAAAATAAAAACACAAAATGAAAATTCTTCTATGGTGAAACAATAATAATTTTGTCATTTCCAGGGAGATCCAGGGGAGCCAGGCAAAAGGGTAAGTATCTGTATTTTTGTTTTTGCATGAGACAAGGAAGGTCTGATTTAAGTTATTATAAAATTGTGTTTATTATTTAAAAATATGAGTGAAGAAAATACATTTGTCAGGTAAAAAAACAAACAATATACATTTTACCAGTGATGTAGAAAAGAGGGAGCCACTGTCTGTGTGAATGGTCTTATATGTTATCTTACCATTTGATCTGAAGCTTCATTAACTCTGATTTTCATTTTACCAAATCTTTACATATTTTTTTCTAATAATTCTGCACTGAACGTTTGTGTTAGGGTTTACCTGGTAATCCTGGGGTGCCAGGAGAAAAAGGAGAGCCTGGGAGAGATGTAAGTTCAAACTAAATATAACTTTTGTTCTTTTAACATTGAGAAAAGTAGCCAAGATTTCCAAATTAAAGCCATCTTTGGTGTAACCCAGGGCAATGCTGGTCTGCCTGGTCCCATTGGTCTTGATGGTGTACCTGGATTATCTGGACAAAAAGGGCAAAAGGTAAAATACAAATTCACATTTAAACATTGCATTTATGTTACTTTTGTGAGACCAAATGTGATGTCTTTTATTTTGAAAGGGACAAGAAGGCATTGGCATCCAGGGTATCCAAGGCCCAAGAGGAGAACCAGGACAGAAGGTGCATTAAGACATACAGTATTTTTTTTACTTATTAATAAACCATAAATTATTTAAAAAAAAAAAAAAAAAAAAACTTAAATGAGCTTTCAATAATATTATAATTGTGTACTTTTATCATTAGTTTCCTCAGAATTTCATTTTACTGGATTCCTGCATTTCTGAGTAATCCTGTATTGTCCTGCATGCAAAGCTTGAGTGCGCAAAAATCTCCTCATTTTTATTTTATTGTCATTTGTCTGTTTTTATTACTAATCAGCTGTAAATAAACATTGCTATTTACAGTGAACAATTGGTAAAGTAATGATCTATGTATTTTATAACTAGAAGTATGTACTAGAAAAAAACGCACAATATGTTTTTAAATTGGTCTTATTTGTCGCTGTTTTTTCAGGGCAACATTGGCTTAACTGGACCAGTTGGACCAAAGGTAATAATAATAAATCATATCATTTTATATGGTTACTTTATTTATACGATCTACCTTTTTAAGGGTGAGAGAGGAGAGCAAGGAATCCAAGGCATAGTGGGACCTCGGGTGAGTATTTTAAACAGTTTGATGATTATATTTAAATCACATCCAATCCAAATTTATGTTTTGTTTCATTTGGTCAAACTTGGATGTTGCAGGGAAAGAAGGGACTTGAAGGCAACAAAGGTGACAAGGTAATGTAACATTTTTATAGTAAGACAAAAATGTTTCTACAGGATTATATTTAATATATTTGTCATCTTACCACCTATAAGTTACATGAATTTACTCAAAACTTAATGTAATGTTTTATTTGAAAGGGAGACAAAGGAGACATCGGACCAACTGGAGCTCAAGGACCAACAGTAAGGCCATTTGTTTTTTTCCATCAGGGCTGTGAGAGCTTAAAAGAGGATAAAAGTCACAAACTTTGGGCAGTGGTCAGGTAGAAGCAGGGCTGGAATGAGCTATGCCCCGTTGACTGTTTGATGCATATCTGAGTTATTATATATTGTCTTGAATTTGAGACTTGAGAGTTCAGAAAGTCTTTGTTGTGACCTTACCAAAACAAGCATTTTTTTGACTGGAATTGAACACCCTTATCAGAAAGGTTACACCGTGAACCTTTAAAAATAATATGTATACATTTATAGAGGGGTTGTTAAACAAAATCAACTTTTTGGAGCTTTCTACCATGTTATAACACTGTTCCCTCATCAAAAACATGACTGAAGAGGTTTTATATGTCATTCATCCAAGTTTGAATAATCTAGTGATCTCTCTTAGGCTCTATTCGAACCCTCCTTACTTTTAGCTGTAGTGTCCAATGCTCAGCCCACAAGCCTACATCACCCATGCTCCCACATGACGATTCTCCATAAATATACAAAAACTTGATACAAAACAATACTCTATGACTTCACAAACCTGGCACAGTGTACAGTAATTTGATTAGCGGGCTGCACCCTTAAAGGAGAGTGACTTTGCATAGAGAGCAAAGGGAGGAGAGACTCAGAGCATTAAAAAATTCAACTGAAACTGATGTTAATACGTTGGGTTTAGCGAAAATAGCATTTTTAAAACAATAAAAGAGAACACGAGGATGAAAATATGTTGTATGTTAGCAGTTAATACCCCATAGAAGTGTAATACTCCCTCTTTAAGCAAAAATACAACACAACTAAACTTTTAATACACTTTTGTCATTATCCAGGGGTTGACGGGTCCAAAAGGTTTAAAGGGAGACGAAGGCCAGAGAGGAGTCCCCGGGGACCCAGCCAAGGGTGTAAGAGACTCAGACATGTTTTATTTACACATCAGTGACACATAAAGGTAAACCACTCACTGCTTTTCTCATAACAGATAATTGGACCAACTGGGAAAAAAGGAGCAAGGGTGAGTCTCGAAGTTTGCTTTTTACACTACATCAAATATTAAGCAGGTTTTTTTTGACACATTCTTGTGAGTGCCCTTTAGGTCCTCACTGATTACTCATAAAATAACATGAAAAACTCTAAACTAAACCTTGTACAATAGTTAGTTTATTTTATAATATATTTTACAAAATACCATACCAAGGTTACTTATAAACCACTTTAAAAACTTTACAACTGGCCAAAGTGCTGTACACAAACATAGAATAGACAAAATAATCACAGTCAAAGTCACAAAACAACTATTAAAAACACAGAAAACAATAAGACACAAGATACTCAAGTTAATTAACAACAAGAAATCTACATCTCATAATAATTGTAGTAATGCCTAATATTTCCTTAAAGCTACAGTGTGCTAGCCTGATTCATTATCACTTCGTGGAAACCATCACTCAAAGGTAGACGGGTACTTTATTTAACCAATTGCTGGTATTTGGTCATGACGTATGTACTGCGCCACTAATGGGGCTAACTGTTATATTACGCTTTTCCCAAATCCCGTAGGAAGAAGGGCAATAACGTCTTTCCCCTTGATAAAATTCACCAAACATTCTCTTTGTTCCGTCTTTAAATCCTTGATCTCGGGAATCGTTGCCAACACAGAATGTATGGCTTCGTCTACATTCGTCTTGACCGCTTTGTTTACTGTTGTGTTGTACCACAAAAAGGGACACAGTCAGGCACTTGAGTTTGACATCATGGCTTCACAGCTCTTCGCTGATTGGCTGGAGTGCGATCTACAACTTCTGGGGTTCTTGCAAACCGTCTACTGTATTCCAATTCCTGATCTAGTCGCTGGAGAGAAATTAAACTGAGCGGTGGCACCAGCCTGGCTAACAGTATGCAACTTTAATAAAAAATAAATAAAATTGACAAAAATAAAAGTATATTTATTTATTTTGCGGTACAGCATAACAGTAAACATAGCGGTCGAGGTGGATGTAGATGAAGCCATACATTCTGTGTTGGCAACGATTCCCGAGATCGAGGATTTAAAGCCAGAACAAAGAGAATGTTTATTGAATTTTATCAAGGAGAAAGATGTTATTGCCCTTCCTACGGGATTTGGGAAAAGCTTAACATACCAGTTAGTCTCGTTAGCGGCGCATTACAAACGTCACGACTAAATATCAGTGATTGGTTAAATAAAAAAAAGTACCCGCCTACCTCTGAGCGAACAAATTCTGATGCTGTGAGGTCAGACAGTTTCCACGAAGTGAAACTGGCTGATGAATCAGGCTAATAATATTCCACAGTATGGCATAAAACTTATCTATCACAATGTTCCAAGTATGCTTTTAACTTTCTATTCTTATTAAATCATGCAGGAGACGTGCCACCTCTAGAAAGTCACATACTGTACCTTTAAGTTCTTTATGTTGCCTTATTCCTTTGATCGCCGTACACTGGTGGTATAAGCTACTTCTGTCTGCCCTTAACAGCCTCTACCACCATCACTCACTGGTATTTTATTGCATGATATGTGAAGTGTCTTGCCCAAGGACACCTCGCTACCTGTTATCAGATCACCAATGCAGTCACTGTTTAATATTATGGGATGTTCATTGTTTTTATTTCTTCAGGGAGACATTGGTCCAGTTGGTCCCACAGGTCCACAGGGAATCAAAGGTGAACAAGGAGACAAGGGAACTAAGGTAAACAAGAGACATTTGAAACTGTGTAATCATTTTGTTGATGAGTTTGTCGTACAACTATTGATTTTCTGACACAGGGCAGTCCTGGTTTTGGGATCCCTGGTCAGCGTGGACCAAAAGGAGAAAATGGAGAACGAGTGAGTGATTGATTTTTAAAATAAAAACAGAAGCATTTTTTATGATAAGTATAATTATGTTTGATTGTTTTCAGGGAAATGTTGGGTTATCTGGAAAACCTGGCCCAAAGGTAAGAAATAGTAGCGTTAAGTAAATCCTATAATCAGAGCTGCGAGTGTCAAAATATTTCACTCAGTTTGGTGAAGTCCTGAAAAGTAGCACATTACAAACTTTTATTTATTCATATTGTTTATGTCAAGTTGTCTTCTGTTATTTGTGGACCTATTCAGAAGAGTAGCCAAACCGTTAAAACAAAACCACAATTTCTTTAAAACAAAATAATTATATGTAACTCACTGACAGCCCTCACTAATGTTAAATGAAACAACATTTATTTTCCAGGGGCAGGACGGCTCCAAAGGCGACAAAGGAAATATTGGGTTGCCCGGCAGTCCTGGAGATCCAGGATTAAGAGGTAAAGATGTAAGTAAATCCTGAATGGTTGTTGCTCATGACCCAAGTAAAAACTGAATTGATTCTTTTTCATAATTCAAGGTGCACTGTGTAACTTTTCTGGTGGAAGGACCATCGCTTGCTTCTCTCCATGGAGTTACTGCCTGGAGTGTTCCTCACTATGGTCTTACAATTATGTATCTGTACAGACAGAGCAGGTGACAGCACAGGGCAAGTTACAGTATACATGTAGTATCTGTGGAGAGGCGAGCAATGAAGATAATTTGTTCTATTAGATTTAGAATTTTAAATACCTCTGAATTTCTCACTTTGAATTTTTTTACTCTGAAAAAAGATTTTTGAATTATTTTTATTCTGAATTTGAGTTTCTGAAATTTTAAGTGTACTTTTTCAATATATTTCGAATTCAAAAAAAATATATGCACCTTTTTAATATTCAGCACAAATATTTTTAAGCCCTCAAATTAAACAGTCAAAATTCAGTGTGACCGTGCTTTCAATTATCCTTCCGAATCGGTTTTCGGAGAAAGTTGACTAGTGACACGCATGACACGCCCCTTTTCCTGTGACGGCACGACTTAGACCTCGGTAGCGGAAAAAGTAGACTTAGCGAGGATTCCGAGTCAGAATCCAAGATGGTTCTGCCCACTGTGATGTGTAAATATGAAGTGTTTTTATTGTGTTTGGACACTTCGGTGGTGTAAATGACAATTTCAGTCGCTCATATCACTGCAATACTTTACTGTGTTGTGGTGAGGCTCTCCAAGTTCGACACGCGAAACATAATCATACACTTCAAGCTCGAACATGATGTCAAATCCAATGTCCAAGTGGGAGTTGCAATATATTTGAACGCAGGGTAAATTCGCAAACAAAGATCCAAGATGCCAAGGCAGAAGCAATCGATCCTGTGTGAGTGAGGAGAGAGGCGGCTGTTTCCTACTGGCCGTTCTCATCTATAGGTGAGGTTTACACTTAAGAAATGAAAGAGATGAGGTTTTGATGAGGCTAATTCTGACCAATCAGATCAGCTCATTATGTCATTTTTCTGCTTGTTACTAAGTTAGATTGGATCACGTTGGATTGATTGCTTGGGCCTTGGCATCTTGGATCTTTGCTGCAATTTTTTTCACTGCAAATTTTACACTCTGAATTTTGACTGTGAGGGCCTGAAAATATTTGTGATGAATATTTAAATTGTATTTATTTTATATTGAATATTAAACAGTTTGAAAATGTACACATATATTTTCATTAACTGCCATTCAGAATAAAATAATTCAAACATGTTTTTTTCAGAGTTAAAAAATGCAAAGTGACTAATTCATTGGCATTTAAAATTCCAAATCTGACGAAACAAATTATCTTCCATATGAGCCCACTCACATTAAGAACCAAGTTTTTAGGTCAATAAAAACATGTTTTTGAGTAAATGCAGGATGGATATGTTTAATGCCATAATGGGACATTCCAGACAAACCAGTAACATCTCCATGGAGACAAGCAGGTGATGAACCCTCCAATAGAAAAGTTACAGAGTGCACCTTTAACAACAGAGAGCGGGTTAGTTGTATTACTGAGATAGAAAGCTAGTGGTGCCATTTCAGAGGAAAGAGCATTTTGAGAACATGCTCAAAACTGGTTTCTGTACTGTATATGAATTTATATTTTTATTTCTATACAAAGACAAAGACAGATTTTAATGTACTTTACAATAGTATGATTTGTTTTGCACTCCTCCTTGTGTTAGGGTGCCCCTGGAGTGAAAGGAGATCCAGGAGTAAAGGTACTGATTTTAATCAAATGTTATTGCGTTAATGTTTTGAATTTCATTTCTAAACAATGTATTTATTTTGATTTATAGGGAGATGTAGGACCATCTGGAGAGCCTGGTGACAGAGGCATTAGAGTAAATACTCTTCAATGTACTGTAAATAAAATATCTATAACCTTTCATAATCATATTTTTGTGTTTCTGATCAGGGTCCACTCGGTTTGCCAGGACGACCAGGAGACCAAGGCGAGAAAGGAGAGTCTGGGTCATCTGGTAACCATGTACGTTTATATTTTCTTTAATTAAATATATATTAATTTACATTTTAGTTATATTTTCATAACCACTTTACAACTAATACTAGGGACAACGCTTACAGACAGACTTTGGGTGCAACTGTACTTCTGGTCCTGGTTTGAGCCTTGTTTAGTCCAGCTGTAGACTTCGTTTAGTCCTGATCTAGGCTAGGTTTAGTTCCATTTTAAGTCTCAGTTTTAGTCCCAGTTTTGATATGACGTGAGATCCACCCTTGTTTATTCACATTACTTTTTAAAACTAATTAGTATGTTTATAGCGAAATACCATCTTACGTTTTTTTTTTGTTTTTTTTAGTTTTTGTGATGCTTTTCTGTGTTGCAGGGTACGGATGGATCCAAGGGACAAAAAGGCGAGCCTGTATGTTTGTGCTTTTCATTGTGACTTTGGTTGAATAATTCTCTTATTAATGTTTATCTGTCATTGTGCATCATGTTATCGTCCTGTGAACGCATGATTTCAGTGTAGATACATTTCTTCAGTCAGTTTTTGTGTTGGTTATCCCTCACTGACCCTTTATACTGCAGATATTAATTGTTTTAGCAGAGGCACATTCATATGATAAATGCTTGTATTTTCATTTTCTGTTTGTTTGTTTTTTTGTTATTTTTGTGCTGTTGTGACCACAAAGGGAAAACCTGGACCTTCTGGACATCAAGTAAGAAATTTGCATTGTTATTTTGTGATTCCAAAGTCACTAGTAAAAATGATATCAATAATAATCCATGTATCAGTCGTTCATTTGTTTTTCAAAATACAACCAAAAAAACAGGACTGAACCATGACTAAATCAGGACTAACCCGGTTTCAGTTCTGGCAGTGGTCTGGTCCCGGTCTTAGTCGCTGTCTGTTCCCAGTCTCAGTCCTGGTCTCAGTCCTGATCTTGTCCCGGTCTGGTCCCAGTCTCAGTCCCAGTCCTGGTCCCGGTCTCAGTCTCAGTCTGGTCCTGGTCTCAGTCCTGATCACCCGACAGTCTACGCGGGCACACCTCCAGGCCCGTTCTGACACTCAGTCGTAGTTCAGTCCTGGTTTAGTCTTATTTTAGTCCTTGTTCAGTCCTGGTTCAGTCCTGGTTCAGTCCGGCATCACAGTTTAAGTCATGGAAACAGCCGTTATCCGTTTTTTCCATTATTCATTTAAACACAAAATCGAAAAATGAAAAAACAAATCGTTACCTGTTTTTTCATTTTGGTTTTGGAGACAAATAATGAAAAAAATAGTTGTTTTTTTGTTTTGTTATTTTTGGTTTTATTTTGAAAAACAAATGAACGAATGATACACGGATTAATCATGCCTATATAGCCATGTTTTTTTCCAGTGTAGCACTTAGCAACTCAAAAGTTCTCAAAATAGAGCCATTAACTGGAAACTGAAACCCATGACCAGTGCTGATACCAACTGCTTGGAATCCAGAAATGAGCTCTGCTCCTTTTGGACAGATATTTGTAGACCAGTTTTAATTATTGCCCCCAAATTCTGCAATTTAAATTTACTACAAACACCCACAGCCATTTTTACTACTGAGCTATAAGAGATCTGTGTAATTATGTTTTTGCAGTATCTTTTTGTTCAAATAAAGCTTTGTGGATATGCTTTAGGCAGCAGGTCGGCCCAAACAAAATATCGGGCTGTGCTGACGATTTAAAGCCGATAGCAGATACACTAAAAAGGGCAAATATCAGCCCTATATATCGTTAGGCCAATTTCTAAATCACACATAACTAATGAGCTTCCTTGGATTTTACTATTTTGATTTAGATTGTCAGCGATAACAACATTTTGACCAGAGTCATTAAGGTACAGTAACAATATCTTCTTAAACACTCGTGCAGCAGTTTTATCTTCAAGTACATCATGTCTACCACTTCTATACTTCAGGGTGAACCAGGAGAGCCAGGAGAACCAGGAGAGCGCGGTGTAAGAGGAGACTCAGGCCCACCTGGACCTCGAGTGAGTAATGCTCTTAATGCTGGACTATTACACTGACCACTGGCCCCATTTTAGGCTGTACTGCACACGCATTTAGGGGTTTTGTTCTCTATGTTCCTCTTGAGAAGTGTCCATTTTTCTTTTGATTATCCTTTTTGATACTCGCTTCTACTGATACGTCATGCTGTCCACCATTACAGATTGATGTAGGAGTAACGATGGAGACACAGTGCACACATAAGCAAAAACTGTCAAAAAAGTTGTAAATGTTGCCACGTTTACATGAGAGATTTAATTCTGAATAAAAATTAATTCTGCTTTAAAGAAGACCATGCAAACTCTTAATTCCTAATGAAAATTATTATTCGGAATTAAACTTAATTCTGAAGTAACTTTTGAAGCCAAATTAATTTATTCCTCGATCATGTAAATGTTTATTCTTCTTAAAAATAATTCCGGTTGTTTGGTGCATGCTTGTTGGGTCGCTCTTCTGATGCAGTCCGGACTATCTGGCTCTACCAGTCCTCACTTCAGACTTTCATCCACTGCTCTTTGGATTTGTGAGCAGGATGCGGGAGTGGGCTGAGGTAGAGCAGCCGTTGACTCAGTTTGCTTTCCTCCTCCCTTCTCCTCCTCAGTTGACAGGCGTAAAGCGTGATAATATAATTCTCAAGCTGCTGCTTAATTATCATCGGGAACGACTGCGAAAAAAGTTTGGATCATGTTTGTATCCGTGGTGTAACGACAAACCGAGATGACAAAAAAGCCGGTAACAGCTAAAGTGTGTGTTTTCTTCTGGTAGACATAAATACGTTCGTGTCCTTGTCCAATCAGAACCCCTCCCCACCACCAGACGTTGAGCGGAATTAAATAAAGGCAATTTAACGTGTTTTCCATCTAAATCTCAAATCGGAATTATTATTTCCATGTAAACTTGAAGGAGAGTATTTTAATGCCGAACTATTTAAGTCCGGACAATTAATTCGGAATTAAAAATCATCATGTAAAGGTGGCCATGATCTAAAAACTCAAGAAAAAATACAAAATGGATTTAAACAACACAAAAAAATAAAATGATTAATCCAGTACCAGAGATGATATTCTGTTCTGTGTATTTCCAAAGGGTCCTGAAGGGAAACCTGGTTTACCTGGTTCATCAGAGGTACTGTCACAATACAACCTCATATATGAGAAATGTAACTATAAAACTTAAATATGAATGTTTGTTTTTTCAGGGTGGAGTTGGAAAAGATGGACTGGATGGATTACCAGGAAAACCAGGACAAAAGGTTTTTGATTTTCCGTTAATTATTTTTGATACTTAGTGTTTGTAAATGTGTCTTCTTAAAAATATTTCCTATTACAGGGTGAACCCGGACAAAAAGGGGATTCTGGAGAGGTATGTCTGACTTAACTGAAATGTATACTTAATAAAGGGACACTGTGCAACTTTTCTGGTTAAAGGTTTGACAGTTGCTTGTTTCCATGGAGATGCTATTGCTTTTCGTAACATATGTTCAAGAAGACAAGCCTGTTAATTAGGGCTGGGTATCATTAAGAAGTTGCTGATACGATACATACCTTGGTACACAGGCCACGATACGATACATATCTCAATACAGTTGATACAAATTGATTTGATTCGGTTCAATAAAAATAATGTCTAAATCATGACTGTAATACTAAAAGTCTTTGTTAAACCACTTCTTTTGCAAAGTTCATAAGAAAGACAAATATTTTAATCATTAAAACAGTGAAAATGTCAAATGTGTCGCATAAACAAGGTTCTAAGTTTCTAAACAAGTAACAAAACTGTAGCTCTGTAACAAAATAATGTAGTAAAATACTCTTGGCGATATATCGATACAGCAGCCCATGATATCGATACTGTATCATCAATAAGTGATATGATTTATTGAAATTTCGATGTTTTTGCAAACTCCTCGTGTTAAGATCATCAGGCCAAGTTACAGATCAGATCAGGCGTGTTTTTCAAGGTTTTTGTGAATTGATTAAATTGTATAATAGACATTCTAGGCAAAGCAATAACATATCCATGCTGGCAGACCCTCACCAGAAAAGTTACACAGTGGACCTTTAAATTATACATGTTTATTTTTTATTTTTTTTAGATTAAACGTTTTGACCTGTTGTTTCTATTTGCCACTACAAACAAATCTCTACTTTTGGATATTTTCATCATTTCTGGCCTTTAACCTTTTAGATGGTTATACCTTTCTAGTATTAAAGGTACATTGTGTAACTTTTCTGGTAGAGGGTCCATGGAGATGTTAGTGCTTTGTCTGACATGTTTCACAGTATGGTATTAAAACCTTTCTTATCTTTATAGTCAGATCTGTGGAGATGTGTGTTTTTCTCTGTATCTTTGAGATATTAAACCACCTGTAATTGAATAAATTTAAGGTAGAGCTGTTTAATGTCACACTGTGGAACATTTCAGACAGACAGAAACAAGCAGGCGATGAACCCTCAACCAAAAAGCTTCACAGTGCATCTTTAAATTAGCTATGAATTTAACTTTTTTTTTTCTTGTGTGTTATTTTGAGCAGAAAGGAGACAAAGGAGAGCAGGGCAAAGTTGGCATAGCTGGGATTCCCGGTTTACCAGGCACCCCGGTGAGTAACATGTGTTCAATCTGCCTGTAGACTCTTATGAAGCAATATAATTTCTAATATTGGCACATACATAGCTAAGCCATACTGAGTTTTTCTATAATATTGTCCAAACTACCAGATATCCAGTTTATTTTATGTGTGGTTCTCTGCAGGGACGGCCAGGCATTGACGGAAAAAGAGGTCTGCCCGGCAACACTGTAAGGGGCTATTTGCTTTTACAACTAAAGCCATTTGTAACGACCAACTGAGTTTAATAATTCCGTTGTTAAATTGTCCAATATTTATGCCATGTTTTTCACAGGGAGACAGAGGGCAGAAAGGAGAAGAAGGCAAAAAGGTATAATTGGAGTATTTAAAAGTCCTATGTTACATAAAATTAACTCTTGTGAGCTTTAAGCCGCATTATAATGTTGTTGCCTCCTCAAAAACATACCTGAAGTTGTGTTTTGTTTCATTCACATGTCTGTTCCACCTTGTGATGTCGTGTAGTAGTAGTTTTTAACATTTTTATCTTTATTTCAGCAGAGACTGACATGGTTGAAGTCATCTAAATTATTCTAGGAAGGTGTATGCTTTTCAGTTTGAGAGAAGAACTCAGAGAGAAGAAGCAGGATTTGTTTGTTAATCTTGTGTGAATGAAACAAAACACAATTCCAGGTCTTTTTGATGAGGAAATAACATTATAATAGATCAGAAAATAGCATAATATTGGCCCTTTAAGATTAATAAATGCAGTCTGTATTAAATGTTATGAAAGTTTTACATGATGTCTTATTTTTAGGGCGAAAAAGGGGACTCTGGAGCTGATGTAAGCGATTTAAAGTACAGATTTTGACAGTATTTCGGGTAAACACTTAAATCAGAGTACTATATTATTTCCACAGGGTCGAGATGGGAGCAAAGGTGAACCAGGAGCCCCGGGTTTACCTGGAAAACAAGTTCTGGTGACTGCAGACGTAAGAGAAAACATACTATTTATTTAAAAATCTCTTTCTCTCTTCGTACATACATTATCGGTCAAAAGTTTTAGAACACCACACTTTTTCCAGTTTTTTTACTCTTTACTGTTGACCAGAACATATTCTAAACTTTTGATTCATGAAAGTGTCCACCTTTGGCAGATATAACAGCTGAACACACTCGTGGCTCGTTCTTTTTACAATAGAAATAAAATATTCTTCAGAAAGTTCTTCCCAAATCTGTTGCAGAAGTTCCCATAAATGTGTGGTACTTGTAGGTTTCTTGGCTTTCACTCTTCTGTCCAGTTCATCCCAAATCAGCTCGATGGGGTTTAAGTCTAGACACTGTGCTAGACACTCCATGTTTTCAAGTTTACCATCGTGTTCTTTTTTCCAGAGGTAGTTTTGGCAGAGCTTGGACTTGTGTTTTGTTTGTCTTTTATCTTTTTTCAACCTCTGGCTGTTCAGTACTTAACTTTGTACCATTTCAGGCTATTCATTGGACTTGCACAACTTGAATTGCAATAAATAACTGGAAAAATTAGAGTGTTAAAACTTTTGATCGATAGTGTATGTCTGTAAGTGTCTGAGAGGTGAATTGGTGATAAGTTGCCCATAGTGAATTATTAAGCGTGTAATTTATTCTTTCTTTATTGATCCTTTTCACACAAATAAAACATAAATTATGACGCTACCAGGCCCATTTACTAGTCAAATCTCTTTAGTTTTCAGTGTATTTCTTTAGTAAACTTCAGGGCAAATTCAAAGCAGTTTAATGCCATACTGAGAAACATTCTAAGCAAAACAATTGAAACAAGCAGATGGTTGACTGCCCACCAGGAATGTCACATAGTGCAACTTTTGAACGTTTTGGAAATGAAGCATCGCCCTACTGCTAGACTGTTGTTTTCAGTGTTATACCTCCTTATAGCAGTAATAAAAATGATCGAACGGAGTGTCAAATATGTTTCCTCTTTGCCTTTTCTGTGCCCATGTTTACATTCAAAGCAGCTCTAATTTTGTTTCCATTTCTCAGGGTGCTTCAGTTGACGATTTACGCCAAGCCTTTCCAATACCAATGGGTCCTCCGGGGGCAACTGTGAGTGCTATGAGCTACATTTCTGACATATGACCCCATTCAAAAATAAAAATATCAAAAATATCATTGTTTATATATAGAGGACTAGTATAGCAAGTCATCAGTCGTGTTTGATTTATTTTATATGTGTTTATATATTGAAATGGTTATAGTTATAATATTATGCTAAAATGCTCATATGTACTTTGTTTTGTTTTCTCAGGGCTCTCCAGGAATGAAGGTATGCTATTTTTGAATACAGAATTGTCCATTTTCTGTATAACATTGCTCATTCTTCAGATATAAATAAACTGTAGTGATGTTAAAAGATTTGGGATTTTATTTTAGTTTATTTGAGGACGCATAGCTCAAGTTGGTGGATGTTGTCGTCCATTAACATGCATAGAAAATTTTGCGGTTCAATCCTCACTCTTGGCTTTGCATCTTGCCATGATGTCCTTTGGCAAAACAACTACCTGTGTGATTGTGTACATGTGATTATAGAATTAGTGAAGGTTAGAGATGCCATAGATTGCCGGAGAATTGCAGCCATGTATCTCCCCATTACTTGCAAATGAGTGCGAGTGAAGAGTGAATTCCTAATTAACTGTATGAAAAATAAGATTAAGAATGTCCTTTTATGTTGTGTTTTGTTTTAGGGTGAAAAGGGAGAAATGGGTGTCAAAGGAGAAAGGGTATTTTTATAACTCTACCATATCTGCAAGCTTCAAATAGAATGGCGTATTATACAGCACATTGATTTGTTCTGTACATTATTTATTACAGGGTGAAGCTGGAAAAAGCATCGAAATGAAAGTGAGTAAACTTAGAACTTTAATGTATTCTTAAGTCTTTACAGTGGCTCAGTGCATGAGTGGCAGAGATAAGGAAGAACAATATTATACCAGAGCCCAGTTATGATTGCCCCGCTCCAAATCCCAACCTATATTTGCTGTTCTTTATATTTTAATAAATCTCCCACACTTAAAAAACATATCTTTATAGTGTAGCAAAATCAGGTGGACTTGTGCTATAACATTTAACAGCTGTGATAAACACGCATACTATATATACTGTATATACCATAGTCTACTATACTTCACTTCCTCCAGAGCAATTAAAAAACTAATTAACAATTAATGCACTGCCCCGGGCAAGGGCGTAGGTTTGCATAGCGACGGTGGGGACGTGTCACAACCAATATTTGGGGAAGACAAAATAGTCCCTACCAATATTTTTCCTAATTCAATAGTATTAATTTAACATGTTTTAGTTCACATTTTGTTTATTGGACGTTCTGAGATGTTTTCAGTGATATGACGACAGGGTTACCTCTGCTGCTATTTCACTGGCTGCAACACAGTGATGTCATTAGTGGTGCCAGGAGCCTAAACTGGGGAAGCGACAAGACACCTGAAGATGGCGGCTTGAGCAAGCGCGTGTGAAGACGAACTTACTTGGCTTCATCTTCAGTTAAACTTGTCTTATAATGAGTCGTCGTGGAAAAAGAGCAACTATTGCCACAAGTGCACCTCCCAAATGGAGCCCTACTCATGCACTGTTAGCAGTCGAACTCTACTGACAATATTCCATGGAAAAATGTATGGATATTACCTCACAAATATCTCATCATCAACAATGGAATCTGCTACAATCTTCTACATCGCTTTTATCCGGTAAAGAATAATCTTAGAAGTACGATGGACACAAACTGTATATTTTGCGAACTGAAAAATGAAACCACCTCTCACTTATTTTGCACCTGCCCAGACTCTGTGTGTTTTTGAAAAGAATTCATAAAACATATTGGGGGAAACCAAACCAAACCTACGCCTTTGGCACCTGGATCTTAGACTGGCTGAGTCACTTTCGATTTTTAAATCAGCTCTTAAAACTCACCTGTTCTCCTTAGCATTTTGTTATGATCAATGTTGTTTTTTTATGTGTCTGTATTTTTGCAATAATTTTTCTGTATTAGTAAGAAAGTTTGATTGGACTGGAAACAATATAAAAAAACAACTAATTTTGTATAAATAATACAACATTTTTTTTTATTAAAATACTGATGAATAAATATAGAAATAAAGATGTAAACAGTGTATGAAAATTGTAAGTCAACCGTAACAAACAAATTACCTTTACGTGTTTTAATTTAATATTATGTTTTAATTTAATATGTTTTTTTCAGGATATAGAGGAGATGTTTGACGCATATGGTATACGGGTATGTTTATGACACACTTCTGTATTTTGCTTCTTTCAACAGTGTTTCTAACGTTCTTAAATATATGTGTGTTGTGTTTTTTTTAGCTCCCGTTGCTGAAAGCTTTGATTGACCGGCTACTTCAGGACGGAATAGAGGATCTGCTCCACGTTCTCGGAACTGCTAAGAAAAACAGAGAAAAGTCTGACAGCCACACGTCCAACATCATCACAGAGCTCACCGTATGTTTATTAAATTAAAGGTCTACTGTATAACTTTTCTGGTGAGGCGTCTCCATGGAGATGCTATTGCTTTGCTCGGAATGTTTCACAATATGGCATTAAACTTACTTTTCCATGCAGCATTTATTCAGATACAGTTCTGTTTATTGAAGAAAATAAGCAAAACAAAAGTACGCATTCCTATTGTAAGCGAGGTCGCCTCTCAACATATCTGATCCGTAACTTGGCCTAAGGGAGTCTATTCTCTCCATGAAAATGAGTATGTTTAATGCCATACTGTGGAACATTCTGTGCAAAACTATAACAGCTCCATAGAGATAAACTGATGAAGTGTCAGATCATATGGACACAGCTTTTACATGGCTTTCGGTAAGACACAATTTAGAACATTTTGACAATTTAAAATGTTTTAATTTGGTTATGGTCTCAAGTGGAGGAGTTCAAGTATCTCGGAGTCTTGTTCATGAGTGAGGGGAGCATGGAGCATGAGATTGATAGGCGGATCGGTGCAGCGTCAGCAGTGATGCGGTTGCTGTATCGGACCGTTGTGGTGAAGACTCTGGATACAAGCAGCCGAAATGAGTTTCCTGCTCAGAGTGGCTGGATGCTCCATTAGAGATAGGTTGAGGAGCTCAGTCATACGGCAGGAGCTCGGAGTAGAGCTGCTGCTCCTCCACGTTGAGAGGAACAGTTGAGGTGGTTTGGGCATCTGTTCCTGATACCTCCTGGACAATTCCCTTGGGAGGTGTCACCGGGAGGAGACCCCGGGGAAGACCCAGGACACCCTGGAGGGACTATGTCTTTTGGCTGGCCTGGGAACGCCTCGGGGTCCCCCTGGAGGAGCTGGAGGAAGTGTCCGGGGTGAAGGAAGTCTTGGAGTCCCTGCTTAGACTGCTGCCCTCACAACCCAGCCCCAGATAAGCAGAAGAAAATTGATGGACGGATGAATGATTTGGTTATTTCTATGGCAACAGACCTAATTTTACATCACTTAAAGGTGCATTGTGTAACTTTTCTGGTGAAGTGTCCGTCAAATGGTTTTCTCCATGGAAATGTTATTGCTTAGTCTGGAATGTTTCACAGTATGGCATTAAACATTTCTATCTTTATGGAGACCAAACCTGACCAAGTTACAGGTCAGATCTGTGGAGAGGTGACCCCGCTCAGTTAGAATGCTTGTTTTTCGCTGTATTTTCGAGCTTTACAAAACCACCTGTAATTTGATGAATGCAAGGTAGAGCTGTTTAATGCCATACTGTGGAACATTCCAGGCAAAGCAGTGACATATCCAGAGAAGCAGGCCAAAAAGTTACGTAGCGCAACTTTAAAACTCATGGACAGTTTCCGTTCACTTCCACACTTGTGTCAGATTTAAATGGAAGACAAGTTGGGAGCTGATGTTCTATTTTGAGAAAGAAACACAAATAAATCCACAAATATCGAATATGTGTCCTAATGATAGGTTCTAGCAGCAGTTACGCCAGTGTTATTGAATATCTTTTGACACAGTAAGAATAAATCCTCTTAAGGTAATGTGCTTTGACAAGAAAAGATATCGAGCTTTGTACCAGTTTTAGCCCATAACGCCAGACAATTCTGTGCTGTGACCATAAACCGAGCAAAACAACTGAATTTTGACACTTTAAAAGCCAATTTTACAATCTCACATGTTAAATTGTAACTCTTAAAATGTTATGACATGTCAACATAACCTATTTCCTGAACTAATTTCTTATATTTTTTAAATTCTTGTTTCCCTTTTTAAGAGTTCACTGAAGTTTTCAAACCAGCCGCTGTCAGAACTGGCCGATCCTGCTTTTGACAGAGATCTGGAGTCTGTGAGTATAAGGCCTTAATAACACTTTATAAATACTACACGTAATTAGCCTTAAAGGGACAGTTCAGAAATTTGGACATAGGACCGCATTTCCTAGTTAGTCAGAGTGTTGGAGACATATGGAGACACTTTTTTAAATATTCCATCCAGTCCTTGTATTTGCAGAGGTCGCTGGTGCTAGGCTAGTGCATGTCAATGGCCATAGTTATCCTGCCACTAAAAACAGTCTTACCCACTCCACAAAACACCTGAAGCAAAACCATTATTATGCCAGTCTGTCGATGTAAATGTCTGTGTTGATGGTATAATGTTTGAAATAAAACTAACCTTGCATTGCATGAATCATCACATTTTGAGGGACTATTTTACTTTGCCGGTAAGATAGGTGCTAGGTCAGGGGTGGGCAAACTACGGCCGTATGCGGCCCTTTAAACCTTTTAATCCGGCCCACCGAACTGGAATAAATTATAATAATAAACCGTGTTGATGTTTTATTTGTCATGCATTTTCAGCATTTCCCAGTAGATGGCGCACTACATATACAATGAGGTGCGGCGTATTATGTTGGCCGCAATGCTTTATGGGAAAGTGTTCTTACAGGAGTAATTCGGACCATGAGTGAAGTAGTTGGTGTTCAAGCTATAAGACTGCACTGCTTCCATGTTATGTACATAAGAAACAAATTTAGAACAATTTAAGACTCTGATTTGTTACTATTAATATGTACAACATCATAGAGACTGGTTTTACTGGACTTGGAGCGTCATGCTCGAGCTGTCTTCAGTCAGATTTGATAACAGTAAGCTCACGATATTCATTCACATGTGGTGGGCAGTCGAATAGCTTTATACACTGTATTTGGAACAGGTTTATACACATTTATTTGTTGTGAGTCATCCACGGCAGTGTTGAAGCGCATTGTGCGCGTCTGAAGTCCTACATAAACGTGAATATGAATGTAATGAAGCCGAGCTCTTCACATGTTATGTCTTGTCTTCTGTCCGGCCCTTCAGTCAAACTTTAGGACCCTATGTGGCCCACAAGCCAAAAAGTTTGCCCACCCCTGTGCTAGGTGATATCAGTCCGCCGCTGCCGAGCCTTCTATCAGGAAGTACAACTCGCATAAAAAATGCCACATACAAAATGTTCGCTGCAAACTAGGGATGATTTCTTAGGCAGCCAAAGGTTACCTTTTTCGTCCTTCCAGTGTATCAGTACTGCCCATCGCTTTCATCTTTCAGTATTTTTCAATTCCGTTGGGAAGGGAAACAGCTTGAACGTCATACAAATCTGATCTTTTGCACTTATGGAGTTTGCAAACTTCTGAAGCCCTTTTCCGCTGTTAGGACATCCAATAACCACACAATTATGATGTCCGAATCCCATAACTAAAATATGACAATATCAGAACCAGAAACAAAAGCGATATGGTTCAAAAGACTTGAAAAGATCGACTTTGACAATAGACGCATTCCACTGGAAAAACAAACATGGCGGTTTGATGCTCAATTTTTCAGAGGATCCTTCCCAGTATGCATTGCGCTGTGATCGGAAGTCCGAAATTCAGGTTGCATATATTGAAAACAGAATGGATGGAACTGGAAGCGCCCGGTCCCACTACTACTACTGTTACTATTACTATTATGAGTACTGTTACTACTAATCCTGCTTCTGCTATTATTACACAATTAAAAAGTATAACAAATTACTGTTATCTTGTGTTCAGGACCATTTGAATGCAACAGCTGAAGGACCAACATTATGGACTCTGAGCAGAGACGAGCAGAGCACAACTCATGACAAGTTTAAGGAACCTGGGAAAAGTGACAACGCATCAATAAAATCAAACTGGACGGTTATCAACTCCACCAGTGATACAACAGCCAATAAGGTATTTAGATATGAAAGTGCATATATTTCTAATTATTATTTTCTAATTAGTTTAGTGGGAAGGTACCTGTGGTATATATTTTTAATACTGTATTTTCTGGACTATCCACCACCAGTCCCACCAGCCAAAAAATGTGCAATGAAGAAGAAAAAAACATATATAAGTCGCACTTTTTGGGGGAAATTTATTTTATAAAATCAGAGACCAGGAACCGACATTTCATCTCGAAAGACAAGTTATAGTAATAACAACAGAATAGAGAACAACAGACTGTTAACGTCACATATGAACAGTTCCTCAGATAACTATAGCATAAACAACAGAACAGAACAAGTTTACCAAACTCTCCATCTCACTCCAAATCACTAAATCCATTGAATTCTTTGTCCTCGATGTCACTTCTGAGCAACTCCATGACCTCCAGAGGCGCGCCACTTCGTCTTCTGTGTAGCTGTCATCAGACTCAGCATCAGTTCCAGTTAGAATTATTCTTTCCTTTCTGAATCCCAACAGGGTAGTATCGGTTGTCACTGAAGTCCAGCTTTTGTCGATCCATTCAATGACTTCCAGGAAAGTTGCATGGTGCATCCACCCGGTTACCGTGAAGCTGTGTTCCCCATCCCCACTTTCTGCCAGTCCCTCACAAGTTTCTTGCTCACTCCAAACTTTCTTTCTGCAGCTCGATTACCATTTTTGGCTGAATACCTCACTACTTGTAGCAGGACAGAGGCTCTTTCTGCTGGAGACATGCACAGTAAAGGGCAAAGTGACAGTGGTACAAGTGTATTAGGAGCAGCAGATACTGACACACAAGCCTAGAGCACCCTCTTGTAGCTGTCAGTGTGAATATTTTAATATACAAGTCACACTGGAGTATAAGTCGCAGGACCACCCAAACCATGATAAAAAGTGTGACTTATAGTCCGAAAAATGCCGTAGTTTTACATCAGTTAAGTGGCAGTTTGTGGAAAGAAATTGAAAAGAAAAGTACAAATACAGGAAGTAGTGGTGAGTTCTAAAACAAAATACCTCTACCTACACTACCAGTCAAAAATATGGACACACGATCTCTAATGTTTTTGTTTACAGCTTTCTACATTTATATATACTTAATAAGACATCAGTTATATATAGCAAGATATATGGAATTGTGTAGTAAAGAAAAAAATTAAATATTTTTCAACAAAGCAAAGGACGTATTTTGACCCTTGTAAACGTTATGGTTGCTAGGTAACATAATTGGAATTGCCTCCATGCATGTCACATCTGCTGCCCATGTCCAAATGGGAAATATAATTATAAAATTATAATTTAAGAACTAGAAAAAATAGACAAGCTTTTTAATCAAAACTTAAATACAATGATGATAACTGTGTTTTTGTGAAATGAGTAGTTTAATCTATCAGATGCACTTTAAATTAGAAGAATGTAATTAATTTGACTTTTTATTTATTACAGACAGTGTTAAAGTCTTCAGATCCGGTTGTTGAGACTCTGATCTTGAGTCATGAAGATTTACAAAAGAAAAGCTCAGGACATAAAAAGAAAAACCGTGGAAAGGTAACGCTGCACTGTGACCACACAAACTATAAATTAATTTTTGATAGAATTCATAATAAGTTAACAATTTTACAATTAATTCTACATAAACATAATTGCATGATATAATTTTAACAATTTATTGAAAGAAAAATAAACTCTGATCTCCTGCCTTTCATATAATTGGCTATTCACATACGCCAAAGACACAACATATACCAGTAACACCACAAGGACAATACAAAAAAAACAATATAAAATTTGATTAAAGTCTGAATTATATTTTGTCCAGTTGTCTTCTTGTTTGCATCTTGGTTATTGTTATTGTCCAGTATCACCATCTTCCCCTCTCTTATTGATTCAAAAAGAATAATTATCACCAATTTCTTAGAAAAATTACTAGTAAAAAATATGGAAAGCAGGAGGTCAGTCTAAATTACATAAACATTTACTCAAATCAGTGGTTTTCAAACTTAGTACTACAAAATATTCAGCTTTCTCTTTACCACGAGATCTCCTCAACCAGTAGGCTTAAAACACACCTAAAAAATTGAGCATGTTAGACTTGTTTCTGGAGTTAGTACAAGGTCTCCTGCCACAAGATCTCGTGAGGCAAAATTGCCACAAGATCATGCACACATGAGAAAATGACCTTGTGACATTTTTATGTTTGAATTGGACAAAAAAGGGTTACTTATTGGTGAGTTACATCTCTAACAGTTCCAAAGAGCAGTACTAGAATGGAAACAAAATATGGAATCAAATTAAAAAAGATTGTGAGGCTAAAATTGGAAACCGAACCGTAGAATTTATATATTAGGAATTATCTTAAAATCTCATATCTCGTCTCAAAATTGCATCCGATTCCTAGTTGTTTCTCCTTGTCATTTACCCTCTAAAGTTTTCGTAGTTTCAAGTATTTGAAGTGATTCGTGCAGGTTTGAGTCATCTTTAATCACTTATTTAACCACCGTTATGCGCCCACGGCTCTTTAATTACTTCATTCTTTAATTCAGTTTTCTTAATCGATGATAATTTTTAAATCTGCTACTCGCTAGTGCGATCTATAGCTATCCATCAGAGGTACCAACAGCTGCACAGCTCTTTGTTGTGATGACATTTACAGCGACGTCTGCTCCAATTGAGCACCACAGTTTTCTAACACTGAAGGAGGCTGACTTGTTTTTTTCATTAAGTCCTAGAAGTCTTAGATGAATATTGCGATTTAAAATTAGTCAATTATCACATAAAGATCCACGGGTGTCATAGATTATAAATATATAGCAGACACAAGCACTGTACGTACTTTCAGTGAGGTTGCATCTCCATAGCCTCATTTATCAGCCTGTTTCACTTTGTGGAAACCATCTGACCTCATAGCATTAGAATTTGTTCATTCGACGGTAGGCGGGTACTTTTTTATTTAACTAGTTGCTACTATTTGGTTGTGACGTATGTAATGCGCCGCTAATGGGGCTAACAGGTATGTTAAGCGTTTCCCATATTCCGCAGGAAGAAGGGCAATAATATCTTTCCTCTTGATAAAATTCACCAAACATTCTCTTTATTCCAGCTTTAAATCCTCAATCTCGGGAATCGTTGCCAACACAGAATGTATGACTTTGTCTACATCCATCTCGACTGCTTTGTTTACTGTTGTGCTGTTCCACACAGCTCTTCACTGATTGTTTGGTACGCACTCTACAACTTCCGGGGTTCTTGCAAACCGTCTAGTGTATTCCGATTCTTGACCTAGTCGTTGGAGAGAAATGAAGTTGAGCGGAGGCACTAGGTGGTAGCCTCTCCATGGATCTGGCTTGTAACTTGGTGCATACTGTGGAAGTTACTTAGTGCACCTTTAACCTTAAAGCATAGATCAGTTTCTCTCAAAAACAAACAAATATGATAACATCAGAACGATCCCATGTACCACAGTTTGAAAACCACAGATTTTAATTAAAATTTAAACTTCGTAAACACTTTGGGCTCATTGGTGTTCATTCTGTTACATGTGATGATATAATCTAAGCATGAGAAACTCTTATCTTTGTCTCTCTGTGACTGAACCTTTAACCAGGGCAAAGGAAGTAAAGGACGACATAAGAGGCAGAGACACCGCCTGGTAAATGTCCGTCAATGTGGCTTTAAAATGGCCCAGCAGAACACAACCTAAACTCTTAAACACAACTAACACAACTGTCTAACTCTGCTTTAAATTACACTCAATAAATGCTTTGCTTCCACTAGACTGGTGTATTAAAATCTTAAACGATACAGTAAAACTACTTTTAAACAATTTATAATCTCACCATGATATATTGTGTTCGATGTGTGCATGCATTTACTGTTAGTTGGTAAGTTTTGCTGCTTAAATTAGCTGTATTGTATTTGCTTGGCTTTGTGTTTGACAAGTAAAGAACTGTTCTATGTGTTGAAATATTGATATATTCAGGGCTGTTTCTAAGATGCAGTAGAAGTATTTTCAACCAACTTTGGAAAAATGTCTGTTTCCTTATTTAGTAGTTGCAATCTAGTGAGTCTAGAAGTCATTACACCTTTACCTCCACCATAGACACATGGCCACATAGACATAGACACCCTGTCCTCTGACTAAAATAAAATATAGAAATATAGTAATACAAATATATCTCAGTTTTATACAGGAGGTTGTAGGGAAAAACAGTGCAAAGATTTAAAAAAAAAAAAAAAAGAAGAAGAAGAAGATTGACAGGACATATGATTATCTATAACAAAACTATCATCAAAGCTTGAGTATTGCTGTTTGAAGAAAAATATTTTATTGAACAGAACTGGACCTGTCCTAAACAGTTTTACAATAATTAAAATGCATCATAACTAGGGGTGTAACGATATCCAAGTCTCGCGATACGATATCGTCACGGTATGAACCTCACAGTACGATATTTATTGCAATATCATGGGAAAGCTCACGATATGGAGGGGAGGCTCATGATTAGGGATGTAACAATACCCAAATTTCTCGGTATGATATTTATTGCAATATTTTCTGGAGGCTAATAAAAAATGCCTTGACAAGATTTAATCCAAAGAACTAAGACTTAAACGTAATTAGAGCTGTTATTTCTTCATGAAGTCTTCACTGAAATGGAGCAAAGGATCATGGTCTGTGTCAGGGATGGGCAAAATTTTTGACTCATGGGCCACAAATGGTTCTTAAATTTTGATGGAAGGGCCGGACCAGTAGCAGATGGATGGACTTTTTGGAAATCTAGCTCATAAGAGAACAAAATAACATGGGATATGTAGAAAACATATCCCTTGTTACTGAAATTTCCCATCATTGAAAATCATTCAAAAACATTACAACAAAATATCTGTCTTTCAAGCCCCACGGTATTTACTATTTATTGAAATGACTTCTAAAACTGAGAAAATTATTATTATTCAAGTTTGACGGGCCGCATATAGCCTCCGGGCCGCAGTTTGCCCATCCGTGGTCTATGTAGTTCCCTCTGTCTTTTTTTTTATTGCTGCACCATAACTCTTAATTTAAGCAAAGAGACTTGTAATTCGATATATTGTGATGGTCTATGCTATTATTGTGAGAACTTTAACGATACATCATGATATTTTGGTAATTGTCACATCCCTAATCATAACTTTTAAGTCCATATGGGAAAAAAATGGAAATACCACCATCATTTTATACTAAAAATTTTGTTAAACTGTTTTATATTTATTAACATAGTATTTTCCTTACTACTGAACACAAGTTTGAAATTTTAGTATCATAACAACACTAGTCATTCAAATCCTTACATATTTAGAAACAGCCTTGAATATATGAGCAGATCTGTAATATTGCTGTCTAACTGTCTAATGCTGTCTTCAATAGTCCAGTGACATTGACGAAGGAGGAGAGGAGCCGGATGAGCTCTACACGGCTGGAGAATACAGTTATGAGGTAAGCAGCCAGAACAAGTGACTAATGCATAAACAGTGAAAGGAGTGTTTAATATAATGAAGTGCTGGGGGTTGTTAGACTTGTACAGACTCGTCACTGTGGGGGTCTGCTGCTAACAAGAAAACTGTCAAACTCACAAACTCATATTAAGCTGAAGTGTCTGGAATAATTGTACTGTGCCCACTCTTGCACATCTGATTAAAGACACGCCCACTTTCCCCATTAACCCATCGCACCATCACACGTCGCAAAACTACAATAATTATCTTTTTTTTAATAGGAGACGGTATTCCCAGATGAGTCTTTTGTTTCACTGGATGGGGCTGACAACAAGCAGGTAAAAACGCACGATTAAAGCACACAAATTTGAAGTTTTAAAATATGGAGGAGTGTTTTTTTTTTGTTTTTTTTTAAATGTGTTAAAAGAAAAAAAACAAATCTTGATGAACAATAATGAGGAGGAATAAATGTTGATTAATTTAATTTTTTTATTTAAATGTGTTGAACGTTTGTAAAAATGCATTTCTTTTTTCTGATTGAACCCAAAATTATCCCACACCCACAACCACCTCACTCATTAAGCTAAAGATGTAATATATAATTTTATATGATTACTTACAGTTCAAAACATTCACATTCAAAAGGACATATAACACCATCATTCTCGTTTAAGTTTTTTTATACGTTATTTAAACCAGGAGTCTCCAACCTGTTGCACGGGAGCTACCAGTAGCTCTCCACCCACTTCAGAGTAGCTCGCCAAGGGATTTCTGGATTTTATGTATGTGCTAAAGATGCCTAACTTGTTGCACTGAGAAATGGATAATGTTTTATAAGCATCTAACTGTTCCCTGTCTAAGGCTTACCAAGGCACTTATGTATAGGGTTAGAGTCAGTTTCTTTGCGACTCCTAAATTGACAGCTTTTGGCAGTTTCATTTTGTGAAAGGAGCTCACTGTAGGAAAAACGTTGGATACCCCTGATTTAAACAGTGTGTGGGAGTTTTCCTTAAAAAACAGCGAAGTGCCTCTCCTCCAACGCACCTGTCGCCCTGTCACGTGTGCAGAATCTACACAGAAATGTATACATTATGGTTATTCTTAAAGGTGCACTGTGTAACATTTCTGTTGAGGGGATCCTTTCCCTGTTATTCCTCCGCATGATCTACCTTGCATTTGCTCTAATACAGGTCAAATAACGTAGCCAGGCTGGTGCCACCTAGTGCCTTTGCTCAATTGAATTTCTCTCCAGTGAGTAGGTCAGGAATCAAAATACACTAAACCGTTCTCAAAAACCCCAGAAGTGTGAGTTCGGGCACCAGCCAATCAGCGAAGAGTGATATATTCAGTGTTGTCAACGATTCCTTAGATCGAGGATTTAAAGCCGGAACAAAGAGAATGTTTGGTGAGTTTCATCAAGGGGAAAGATGTTATTGTCCTTCTTCCTAAGGGTTTTGGGAAAAGCTTAATATACCAGTTACCCCTGTTAGCCTGTTATTACATACGTCACGACCAAAGAGCAGTGATTGGTTAAATGATAAAAAAATACCCGCCTACCATCGAGCGAACGAAATCTAAGACTGCGAGGTCAGACAGTTTGTATGAAGTGAAACGAAGTAAAACCGGCTGATGAATTAGGCTACAAATACCGCTTTCCAAATAGGAAATAAACATATGGGCACTTCTGGCTACTTTTGACTCTGGCTCCCTTTGACTTACATCAGAATATTGTCACCCCCTCTTTGTAACTGCCGCAGTGAGCCTCATCATTTTGGTCTTAAAATGTTCATATTAACCCACTCTACATGATCCTGGTGGGTTTTTTTTCCATTACTTTGTCTTTTAAAGTAATCCTTGTCATAATAGGAGTCTGGCTCCAAATTCACATCTGTAACTTTTCAATGAATCAGTCAATCAAACTTTATTTATAGAGTGCTTTTCATACAAAAAAATGCAACACCAAGAGCTTTACCTTTAGCATCACGTCACATTTCCTTAGTCCACTTCGTTATCCAGGCTATGGTCTGATCTATAACTGGACATGCCTGTGTCCACTGATACAGGCAAAGTCTGGAGAAAAGTTAGCGGCTGAGCCCTCCCCAGGCAGATTACACAGTGTACCTTTAAATGAATAAACTAATAATTATTTTTCATTTCTAATCTGTTTTAAATAAGCAGCAGCCTTCGTACAAAAATCTACATGAAACATTCTGCATTGAACTTGAGCAAAACAAACAAAACTCATTGTGTTTGGAGATAGAAGAGGAGCAGGGCAGCTGAGCACTATCATGTCACCCTGGCTCTGTCCGTGTGTCTAAATCTGAAAACAATTAACTATATTTATTTATTTTTACATTTTTTAATCTGGTTAGGAGGAAGAGATGTCCATCCACAGGCCAGACGAAACAGAAACAGCAGAGCACATGATCACAGAGGAACAGGTAAGAGAGAGCTATTATTTACAACAAACTACCCAAGTCTTCATATTTATTATTCTATTGTTACTTTTATTATTACTTGGTTTGGTGGAATAGTGCATGAGGTTAACATTTCGCATAGTTTTTCACCTGAAAAGTGGCAGCCTGTGTTTAAAAAAAGTAGAGACGCTTGGGTACTTTTTTAAATCCAGCGTTTTTTTTAGTTCATTTTTGAGTTCCGATATTACTTTAACCCGATACCAGTGCAGAAACAGTACTAAAAACAGCATTTATTTCCTTAAAACGAAAATAAAATACAACAAAACTGATCCAAATGTTTCCTGTAGCTGTTATTTATCTCTTACATAACCACAGAACTTTGTGTAAATAAAAGTTCAAATATTTCTGGAAACTTTCTGGGCAGACTATGAAGAGTAAAGAGTCTTATTACATCAATATATTTACGTGTCCAACCAGGATATTGACTGAACCGATATTTGGAAAACAATATCCCATCCAGCAAATCGGATATTAGCACTGATATCCGATACCAGTTTTGATTGATTTGTTTTTATTTTGACTTTGTGCCAAGAAAGAAGAAAATAATCATACCTAATACATATATATTGTAAACAACAGACTTAGACTTAAACAAACTTTATTGATCCACAAGGGGAATTACTTGGACACTGTAGCTCACACATCACGATATATTATAATAACAAAGAGCAAAAAATATAAAAATCGTAATAAAACTTCTAAATAAGTAGCAAGAAAAAAATTGCAAGAGACTGGTGTCAAATTAGACATAATGAAAAACCTATAATTATTGGAGAATGAGTTCCTCTGTCCTTCTATCGTCTGGTGCAGTGTCCATGATGGAGAGCAGTTTTCTCAAAAAGGAGTGATAAGAAGAAAACATATACTAACTCACCCCTGTTTTAGCCAGGCTGATGCCACCTAGTGCCTCCACTCAATTTCATTTCTCTCCAGGGACTAGGTCAGGAATCAGAATACACTAGACAGAAGTTGTAGACCACTCACCAGCCAATCAGTGAAGAGCTGTGAAGCCATGACGTCAAACTCAAGCGCCTGTCTGGGTCTGTTTTGTGGTACAGCACAACAGTAAACAAAGCGGTCGAGATGGATGTAGATGAAGACATACATTCTGTGTTGGCAACGATTCCCGAGATCAAGGATTTTAAACAGGAACAAAGAGAGTGTTTGGTGAATTTTATCAAGAGGAAAGACTTTATTGCTCTTCTTCCGACGGTTCGGTTTGGTGCATTACATACGTCACGACCAAATAGCAGCAACTGATGAAATAAAAAAGTACCCGTCTACCATTGAGCGAATGAATCCTAATGCTGCGAGGTCAGACGATTTCCACAAAGTGAAACCAGCTGATGAATCAGGCTACCTCATTTATTACATAGTTTTAGAAAAATGACATGGTTGCTTATGCATATTAATCACAAAACTTTACAAATATTGACATAAAGCAAAATAAATAAAGCACTATACATACTAAATGTATTATGTTTTGTATTGTACTGTATTATGTTTTACAATTTTTTTTCATCTGTATACTTCTTTTTTTAGTATCGGTGCATCGATAGAACAAAAACTGGAAATTACAGGAAGTAATTTAGAGTTCTAAAATTAATCTCTCTATCTATGTCATCAATACACAAATGTCCATTCAATGCAGGAAGAATTTATGCATTAACTGTGTCTCTCTTCATTGTGGCACTTCTCTGTTATAAGCAGCAGATTTCCATGCACTTAATTGTTGAGAAATGGCTACGTGACATTTTTAACTTGACTCGGTTTCTGAATGTTTTGAATAATTGCCACAGAAGTACAGGATGTGGGCGGGGACAGGAGAAAGGTGAAAACAAATTTTGAGTCCTCTTATGGTGAGCTAATGTCCTTAAAACAGAATAAAACATTAAACAATACAAAAATTATAACAAGAAAAACATAAAAAAAACAAAAAACTGTTATTATTGTATTGTTTAAAGGTGCACTATGTAACTTTTTCGTTGGGGGTCCATCACTTGCTTGTTTCTATGGATATGTCATTGCTCTGGAATGTTCAACAGTATGACATCAAACAGCTCTACTTTATATTTATTCAATTTTATATATTTTTAGTTTTATACTTCAGAAATACATAAAAACAAGTTCTTGGTCTGGTTTGGTCTCCATGATGATAGAAAGGTTTAATGCCATACTGTGAAACAATCCAGACAAAGCGATAACATCTCCATGGAGACAAGTAAGTAGCGGACCCTCCACCACAAAAATTGCAGTGTACTATTAATGTTTTACTGTTTTGTCCTTAATTAAAAAAGGAAAAAATTACAATATACTTAAAAAACTTAAAACATAAAAAAATGCATTTTTAAAAAATCATAAAAGTTAATTTTTCATATGTTCCCTGTAAGAATTTTTTTCTTACCAACAACAACTATAAAGGTACACTATGTAACTTTTTCTGAAGGAGGCTCTGTCAAATGATTTTTCTCCGTGGATATGTCAGTGCTCTGGCTGGAATGTTCCACAGTATGACATTAAACAGCTCTACTTTATTCAATTATTCAATTACAGGTGGTTTTATGGCTCAAAAACACGTAGAAAAACAGGCATTCTGACAGTGAGCGGGGTCATCTCTCCACAGATCTGACCTGTATCTTGGTCTGGTTTGGTCTCCATGAAGATAGAAAGGTTTAATGCCATACTGTGAAACATTCCAGACAAAGCAATAACATTTCCACGGATCTTCCACCAGAAAATCTACACATGCACACATATATTACCTTTAAAAGCCGTATTGGTTGGCATACGGTAAAACATTTCTGGCAAAGCAATACAATCTCCATGGAAACAAGCAAGTGACGGACACTCTTTTAGAAAAGTTACTTAGTGCACTTTCATTTCTTCGTTTTTTGTTTGCTGCAGGGTTCAAATCTGATGGATACTCCACCCACAGAAGAGCCAGATAAGGTAAAAAAAAAGTATTTGTACTTTTTAAACTTGGCCCTGCTTCTTTTCTTCACAGTTACCTTTCTTTGCATGGCTGCGAATGCATAATGCTTTATTTGCTCTTTAAATTTTTCTTGACTCATTCAAATTAACTAAATAACAGCACTTTTAAAGGTCCTATATTCCACAAAGCTGACTCATGTGAGCTTTATGTTATGTTATAATGCCGTTACCTGCTCAAAAACATACCTGGAGTTGTGTTTTGTTTCATTCACACATGTTTGAACCCTTTAGTCTGTCTACATCTCCAAAGCTCAAAATGCTCTGTTCCACTTTCTGATGTCATGTAATGGTAGTTTTAAGGTTAATGGAGCTGTATTATGACACCAAAAGGTGGAATTGAGTATTTTCTGTTTGAGAAAAGAACTCTTTGTGTGTTAAACATGTGCAAATGAAACTAAACGCAATTCCAGGTGTGTTTTTGGTGAGAAAACAACATTATAACATAGATCAAAAAATAGTGTAATATGGGCTCTTTAAACTATATTAATATTTCACCAGTGCAAAAGTTGAGAGTGCATTATATGTGAATGCTGAATGCCTCATAGATGTATTGGACCCACAGCACCAGAGCATGAGACAGGAGCTCCCAGCATGCTTTGAGCACGTTTCATAAAGTTTGTTTAAATGAGAATGAGTCAAACGTCCATTAAGGTGAAACACCGCAGGCAAAAAAAAAAAAAAAACAACTCATACATTTTGAACTTTTAAACTTCTACTGACAAAACTTTAAGACAAAAATGCACTTCACATTTTTCTTCATGTAAAGTTTTCATATATTTTTAAGGGATTCATGTGCTTCATTTTTATGTACTGGATATAAAAACATTTACAGAGGGGATTGGAAATTTCATATGTTTTCAAGTTTTTTGAAAGGCTTACAATTAGACTGAAAAAAAATCTGTCAATCAATTTGACAAGTACAAGATTGTAAAATTTGGTGTTTGTTGGTTCTACTTTAAAGCTACCATCTGTAAGTTGTGTGAAAAAGCCCTCAGTCGTCCAGGTAGAACCCATGGTAAAGGAGAAATTCAATTTGTCAAACGGACAAAAGTTTATTTGGTCGAATATGTTTCGCTCAGGGCCAGAGGTGTGAAAAGCATCCATCATGGCCCTGAATGGTTATGCCAAGCCAACCAACAGAAACTGTAAACAAGTAGGTGTGTTAGTTTCAGAGTAGTTATTTAACTCCTCCCTGCAGGCAGATATAAGGAAGTGACCATTCTGACCAGAACTGAAGCAGCAGCATGGATGAGCTGTGAAACATATTCAACCAAATAAACTTTTGTCCAGTTGACCAATTGAATTTCTCCTTTGCTACTGTCCGTAAGTTTATTAGAGATTTTCTCACCAGTAGAGGGCAGATGTGAATCCTGATCCCCCTCCCCTCATCTGTCCTTTATTCAGACCTGTGCTCTCTCGTTTTCTTCTGTCAGGCCAAAGCTGGCACAGCAGTAACATAGACAGCATCTAGTGGTGACATGTGAGAATGCAACAGGTCCGGTCTAAATATGGATGGTAGCTTTAAGTGGTGATCTTTATGTCTCTATGGGAGAATAATTCATTCTGCATTATGTTGTTTCCATGTGAAAACCTCTGGTATGTTGACAGTCAAATGTACAGAGATTTTAAACTTTAGTTCTGCCTATAGTGTTTCACCTTAAGCAGTAGGCGGCGCTCAATCGAGGATTAGTTTTTAATACTTTCTCTTTTTTATTTTTAAACAGGAACTCTCTTAGCTCCAGAGAAACTGTCTATAGAGTTGTAAGATTTCACACCAGCATCTCATGTGGACACAAACATCCAGACAGAACAAAACCTCCTCACTTTTGGATTACATTTTAAAGATCTCTGTAATTATTGTTTCTATGTCCTGGCTTTACCCTTTTTTCCACCATATTTATTGAAATGACCCATCGCTATCCACACCACTATTTTTTATGCTAAATACTTATTTAATTTATTTGACTGTTTTGTGGTTTTCTGTACACAGTATCAAAGTGTCATAACCTCAGACTTTTTCACTGGTGAAATGTATTTCTGTTGCTGTATAACTGTTACTGTTACTGCTCTGCATGTACAAGTAAAGGTGATTAAACACACTGGGTGTCGGTCCTTTTTCTGTTGTGAAAATCCTTGTATTTGTGATATTGATGTGATACAGTTTATTACAGTATCTGTGTGTGGACTCGACAGGTTTCTAAGGTCAGGGTGAGAAAAAGTGTGCAGTGGACTCATTCAGGGGTAAGTCCTAGAACTGTTTAAATAATATTTATATTTTTCTATGACTTGGTAATATGGGGAAACATTTATACTTTTCTTAGAGCCTATATCTCCATTGTTATCATAATCAAAAACTTAGATAGGGACAGAGAAAAATAAACGTTTTCTGTGTGAAGTTCAAACAATGCCATTTCTATCAGCCACCTATCTTGGAATTAGTTTGCAGACAAATAACACAGAATATTTACAATAAAACACTCATTACTGAGACTTTGCAGCTGATGTTATCACCAATCTCTGGGGATGTGTAACTAACTGAAAGCACTACTCTGTTTGAAGCTCTTTTATTCAAGTTAGACCTTTAATCTGATTTATATTTTAACACAATCTGAATGGAAAAAAAACAGATTTAGCTGGAACTACAACAGGTGAGATGAACTGTGCTGTAAACAAGTTCCTCTCAAGTACTCACTCAGTTTTTTAGTTAGTTATTCTCGTAATCTGTTCTTGAAAATCAAACCTGAACAGGATCATGAACACTTGTATTGAGAACAGGCTTCTGAAAATGTGTTGTTTAAATTAATTCATTCATTTTTCTAGAGTTTAAACAATAAAAGCACAGAATCACAAAAACACCCAGATTTGAAGATCAGTGCAAAGTCAAATCACAATTGTAATTTCTATTGTTTAAAAGGATCACCAGTAAGGATCTCATATTTTCCAATGAAATGTTGATATTTCAGGCGTCCATGCCAGGAGCTCCAGGCAGAAGAGGCCAATTCAAAGAAGCACCACAAGTACAAATCTATATTTTTATATTTAACCATAATAACGAGGAGATTTAGCAATTACACTGAATCAGTATTATTCTGTTTAATTGCAGTATCACACATCAGGAGCTCAAGGTTATAACAACTTCAGTGTAAGTTTGCTATTAGTTATTTTTAGATTTTAAAATGTTTCTGTCTTAGCTGGGAGCAGGGGCGGTATTTCCTATACCAATTATATATAGTCAGGGTTCCCACGGTCATGGAAATCCTGGAAAAGGCATGGAATTTTGTAAATTCAATGAAAGTTTTGGAAAAGTCATGGAATTTTAGTATCTCTTTCACGCAACTACAGCGTTCTGTTAAGTTCTCGTTAGGCTGTTATTATTTCTGGATGTATGCGCCTTTTGTTTAAAAGAGGCGACAATAAATGCATTGACAGTATTTTGAATAAAAATAAAAAAAACTATAATACTAAACCATAATGTGAGTGGAAAGGGTTATTTCATATTTAGCCCTAAAAATCTGATCAATTCTATACATGCAGAGTGCCGTAAATGGAAAATTCATGGAAAAGTTTTGAAATTTTGTCAGTGAAAAACAGTAGGAACCCTGTATTGTCCATAAGAAATATATAGAAAAATCCAGTGTTAAACATGGACTCCCCTCCCTCTTCTCATTTAAAGCTCCACTACATAAATTTTACTGATAGTAGATATGCTTGTCTCCATGGAGATTAGATAATTTTGCATAGAATGTCCCACCATGGCATTTAAGTATGTATTTAGCATTAAAGTTGTTTTTAGTGACCATAAAACACTGAAAAACACATTACTTTGAGCGGAGTCACCTTCTTGCGCCCACCAAGCAAGATAAGCTTAATGCCATATTGTGGAACATCCAAACAAAGCAATAACAACTCCACGGGGACAAGCCAGGGACATACAAAGACCTCCAAAGTTATGCAGTGCGTCTTTAAAGACTACACCCCTATAGAATTATGTGATTAAATCTAAAACCTACAATATAACATGTGTATGTTTAGTCTGAATTTAAATATTTTGATAATTTTAAGTGTCTTCAAACATATATTTTTTTTCTAGAATAAAAAACAACAAAATCCCTACAGACCTAGTGGTAAAGTTGGAGTGAGGGACAGACTGAGCTACCTCGCTACAGAGAGCGAAGACATCGAAGAAGAAACTGAGGAATGGGACACAGAGCCCACAGAACCAAGCTACGACTCAGATTTTGAGGAAGAGGAGGAGAGCGGAGACTACGAGTGGACCACAGACGACGAAGATCAGGATTTAGATCAAGACGAGCTGGAAGAGGAGAGAGAGAGGGATCGGATTGCAATGGAGCGAGAGAAAGAGGAGTTGGAGAGAGAGCGAGAGCTGGAGAGGCAAGAGGAGAGAGAGAGGGCAAAAGTTCTAGACCAAGATCTAGACCAGGATCTGGACCAAGTGGAGACCAACGAGGACTTAGATCGACACCCAGAGCCGGACTCGGAGAGGACTGAGGAAGACTTGGAGAGGGAGAGGATGGAGTGGGAGAGGAGGAGGGAGGAGATGGAGAGGAGGAGACAAGAAGTATATGACCCCGAAACACAGCAGCCCTACCCATATAACCCAGAGTACTTTTTATTTAAGGTAATATTCTGTGAAATTGGCAAATAAATCTTTAAATATGTCAGGAGAAATAATATGTTTTTTATGTAACAGGGGCAGCCAGGAGAGAGCGGAAAACCGGGATCAAAGGTGAATAAAAATACACTCGGATGTTCGTCATGTGGGTAATAAAGGATCCCACACGGAGGAATAGCTTCAAATATTTATATCGTACACATCTTACATGGACTTTGAGATAAAATATTATATTTAATTTCATTTAACTTATGTTTTTAAATTAGAACAGTGGATATATGAATCAGTTTGTCACCAAGCAGCTTCAACACAAATATGCCCGAGTTATCACAATAGCTTGATTATGATTTTAAATAATTGTCCACTCATATCTGGCTGAAGTTGTAGAACAAGGCTGGCAATTTGAATACCACTCTTCCTTCTTAGTTGATTCTGTTCTTGTGTTATCAAGCAAGACACTTCGACTACCTCTGATTATGTTAATGGGAGTGTAATGGAGCTCAACAGTGACCACCCACCCTCTGGTCTGGAAGTAAATTTCTCATTCGTTTTTGAAAACTCGCTCAGGACTAATCAGATATGTGCTAACACAAGACCACAAGGCTTGCATTCTTATTTAAATTCTGTTTCTGAAACTTAACTAACAGCTGAATTTAAGGGGCCAGACCTATGTTCCCACATTTCTAAGATTTTTCTTATTTCTCAACATGAAACTCTAGTTCAAGTCATTTATATATATATATATATATATATATATATATATATATATATATATATATATATATATATATATATATATATATATATATATATATATGCATATTTAAAAGGGATGATTCAGAGTCATTTCAACCTAGGGTCCTTTGCACCACGACCTCTACATTACATCTGTAGTCAACCCATGTTGGAGAATAGGTTGGGTGTAATTGACAACAACATAGGGCCTAATTTTGGAAAGGAACAAAAAAGCTTGAGGGAACATAAGGCTGAGGGAGCATAGGCACACTCCTGAATTTAAAGTCCTATATTGTGTAAATTGTACTCTTGTGATCTTTAAGTCATGTTAGAATGCTGTAACCTCATTAAAAACAAACCTGGAGTTATGTTTTTTCATTCGCTCATGTTTGAGTAATTGTACTTTCAGCCTGCCTGTCTGCATTTACAAGCTCAAAATGCTCTGTTACTGCGACCTTGTGATGTCATGAAGCAGTAGTTTTCAAGTTAACATCTCCCTTTTACCTTTTGTTCAGTAGAGATTGGCAATTCCAGGGCTGAAATTATTCAAATGATTCTAGTGAAGGTGTAGACGTGTGGAGTTTAAAAACTGAAAGAAATGCTTCCTTAACATCACAACTCTTTTTGTCTGAGACAAGAACTTAACTTAAATATGCATGATTTGTGTTTTAAACATGTGAATGAAACAAAACACAGCTCCAGTTATGTTTCTGATGAGGAAACAGAAACAGGAAATCCATGTTGTCTTTAGTCTCCCCCAGGGCGTATACGGCTGTATCTTACCACCTCTAAGCGTGCCTTGAGTCTTCATACAATCTTTATGGGACTTTCTTGGCTTAAAGGGACAGCGTTGAATTATAGACATAGGACCTCATTTCCTAGTGAGCCAGAGTGTTGGAGACGTATGGAGACACTTTTTTAAATATTCCATCCAGTCCTTGTATTTGCAGAGGTCGTTGGTGCTAGACTAGTGCATGTCAATGGCCATAGTTATCCTGCCACTAAAAACACAAACATGAACTTACCCACTCCACAAACCACCCGAAGCAAATCTATTATTACACCAGACTGTCGATGTGAATGTCTGTGTTGATAGAGTAATTTTAGAAGTAAAACCAACCTTACATTTGAAGGATTTATGTCTGAGCAGCAGACAGCAGATTTGTACTTCCTGATAGAAAGCTCGGCAGCGGCGAACTGATATCACCTAGCACCTATCTTACCGCTGCTGCTGAGAAAATAGTCCCTCAACATGCAACGATTCATGTGATGCAAGGTTAGTTTTATTTCAAACATTATTCTGTCAACACAAACATTCACAGCGACAGTCTCACCAGACTGTAATAATACTTTTTTCTTCGAGTGTTTTGTGGAGTGGATAAGACTTCTAGCACCAGCGACCTCTGCAAATACAAGGACTGGATGGAATATTTCAAAAAGTTCCTCCACACGTCTCCAGCACTCTAGGAAATGAGGTCCTATGTCCAAAATTCCTGACTGTCCCTTTAATAAAGGTTTAGTTATTACTATGCAGACACATTTGTACTTGTGGTTTTCAGTACATTTCCTTACAATGCTCATTATTAAACCTGATATAATTTTCTATTGAGAGCTGCTTTAGACAGTTCATGAGTCTGACGTAACATAGAAGATATTGTGTCCTTTTCTTTTGGAGAGAGGATCATATCTGTGTATTGTGGAGACGCACTGAGTCACGGTAACAACCCACTGATTAAGCTAATTAAAGCCCTCATCATCCCCCCCATCACAAACAAAAACTGACAATCGCTTCGGAAAATACGCCACTAGTTCCGAAAAATGCCGCTGCTCTGCTTTGTGACACTGACACTGGCGGAGATCCTGTCAAAAATAAATAATTAAATAAAGTTCTAGGGTTTTGATGTTGCTTTTTTCTTTTTTGTTTTGATGCTAGGACAGTGGATTAAAGTTGGCATTAATAATTCTCCTTGTAAACATCTCACTGACAGCTCTGCTTAGTCTGCGGATTCTTTTAAGTTTTATATTTTATGTTTTTGAGACGTGAAAAAACCAATACTGACTGCTGTTTTTGTGCAGGGAGAAATTGGTGAAAAGGGGCAAAAGGTAAAATTATTATTGTTCATTGATAAAAGTTTAATCATTACTGAGCTGTACATGAAAAGTGAAAGTGAAAGTGAAAGTTTTTTTTTTTTTTTTAGGGAGAGCCAGGTATGGGCTACAGAGGACCTGAAGGGCAGGCTGGACCTCCTGGACAGAAGGTATACAAAAATCTGCTATACTACATTTTAGAAAACAAACGTATTTTCCCTTGAGTGACATGGTAAAATTGGCATTTTTGTAGTGTTTTGATTTGTATTTACACCAGATACCCTTCCAGTCACACCAGTCACATTAGGCAGTGAGAGGGGGAAGTGCCTTGCCAATGGACACACATGACAGAAGCTGCTGGGGTGTTATTTGAACTGGCTATCCTCCAGTAGCCAGGCTGGTGCCACCTAGTGCCTCCGATCAATTTCATTTCTCTCCAACGACTAGGTCAGGGCTCAGAATACACTAGATTAGATGGTTTGCAAGAATCCCAGAAGTTGTAGACTGTGCACAGTGAAGAGCTGTGAAACCATGACGTCAAACTCAAGCGCCTGTCTGGGTCCCTTTTGTGGTACAGCACAACAGTAAACAAAATGGTCGAGATGGATGTAGACGAAGACATACATTCTGTATTGGCAACGATTCTTGAGATCGAGGATTTACAGCTGGAACAAAGAGAATGTTTGGTGAATTTTATTAAGGCGAAAGACATTATTGCCCTTCTTCCTATGGGATTTGGTGCATTACACACGTCACGACCAAATAGCAGCGATTGGTTAAATAAAAAGTACCCGCCTACCGTCGAGCGAACAAATCCTAATGCTCAGAGGTCAGATGATTTCCACGAAGTGAAACCAGCTAATGAATCAGGCTAATCCTCCAGTGCTTAACCCATTATACCAGCGCTGCACCAGTTGAACAAAAAAATAAGAATCCCAAAAGACTTCTCGGAATATATTCATTGTAGGAAAAGTTTAGCTCATAGAAAGAGTCAATCTTAGTTTTACCATCTTAAAAACGTTTTTAAAAAAAAGTCATTTTAAACGAAAGATTAGCCTCACTTATCTTAAGCATTCTGAACATCCTACTTATTTACCACAATTAGTTTATAAGTTCGCTGTGATGACAATGCTAACAGCAACTAGCATGCAGACTGTCCACTTCCTGATATTGAACTCAAAAATTCTTTATAATTAGATGCAGACAGTATACAGTCGACTTATTTTGGTCTCAAGAGCTACAATATATCTACTGGAACAAGACAAATTGAGCTAAAATACATGAAAAAAAAATTACAATCTTTGAAGAGAAAAGATGGATTAAGATATAATTTACCTTCTGTGCACAAGAGTCTCCTGAAGCAGAAATCAAGCCAAATGCAATTAAGTACTTAAAGGACGTGAAGGAGAGGCTGGTAAAGAACAATAGATTAGAATGATTAAGGTACATAGTTTAGCAATTATACAAATCCAGGGCAAGTAAACAAGGTAAGAGCAAGTTCAGTGTTCAGAGTGTTACATAGGGCAGTGTAAATTACCTTTGGAGTTGAGTTTTGTTTCATTCACACGTTTTCATAACACACAAGCCCTGCATATTTAGGCTGAGTTCTTCTCAAACTGAAAACACGCTGTTCCACCTTTTGATGTTATGTGGTAATACAGGAAGTGCTCCACTGTGTTTTTAAACTCCATACACCTTCACTGATGATTTCAAGTCTGGAATTGCCATCTCTACTAAATTGAGAATTTTGAGCTTTGGAGACATAGACAAAGATAACAAAAAATTACTCAAACGTGTGAATGAAACAAAAGACACACAATGTTTTTGATGAGTGAACAAGATTCCAGCATGACTACAAGCTCACACGGGTTAAGTTTGCATAATATTGGATCATTAAAGTGGATGGCAACCAAAAGTCTCAGGGGCTGTTTACACGAGAACGCTTTCAGGTAAAAACAAACAAAATATTTTATCAGAAGTGCCTTTCGTTTAGACGATGATGGTGTTTTTGAGGCTTAAAAACACAAAAATCTGAAACCTCCCCCCAGAGTGGAAAAGTTGAGGTGTTTCAGTCTACACCCAAGATGCAAAACTCTGGTCAGATCTGCTCATGTCGCGTACACGCTTACGTCACATACATACCTGGCCTACATACCCAGTCGTATTCCACACACTTTTGCGTCACTCTGTGCACGCAGATTTCCTCCCAAAAACGCTCGCTAAACACAGAATAAAAAGTGAAGACGCGACGCCACTTTTGCGTCTTCTGTTCAGACCGTCATCGTGTAAACATAACCTCAATTTAATAGCATTTTCCAGATTACTCCCTTTGAAACAATGCTCACTTCCCCACTACACTAATAGAATTTACTTTGAGATCAGTTTACTGTGAGAACAAAATGTATATTGTACAAAGTGCCAACTGTCTCCTTTATAAGTTAGACCAGAACTAGCTCATTCAATATTTGTCTCCTAAACCAATTACCGCTCACAGCTTTTCAATCACTCTCTCTGTGATTGACTTTCACTGTTTTAATTTAGCAAATTAGATTGGCTCAGTCTGTTTTTGAAACTGTTACGAGCATGTTATGTGATAAAAGAAAGAAGACTTAATTTGAAAGTAATTAATTTTAACATAACATAGGATCCAAATCATAACATTACATAAAAGTAGTGACTATTAATTGTGCATATGTCACATTGATTTTGGCATTTCTTTTTTGTGTTTTTTGTTCGTTGAAGGGTGAGCCAGGGGAGCCGGGACCCCCTGGTGCTCAGGGCATACAGGGCATCCGGGGTAATGCCGGTCAGCAGGGCTCCCCCGGACTGAGAGGACAAACAGGGGATCCTGGAGCACCGGGCAGAGAGGTACAGGACTCTGTACTAAGACTAAACCAGGACTAACTTAAGTACAAACACTTCACATCAAAACTATGGCTAAATCAGGATTGTAAATTAAGGACACATTCACACTTAAGCACCTCAAAATTGGGACTAAATTGGGACCCAAAACTAAACCAGAACTAGACCATGACTATGGATGTATCTGGATATTTGGATGTATTAATTTATTTACTTACATGTTATACATGTTCATATTAAATACAACAAAAGCAAACCAAGAACAAAACAAGATTAGAATAAGACCAAACCAAGGCTACATCAGCAATAGACCAGGACCAAATCAGGATATGTGTAAATGTGACCCAAACTAAGACCAGGACTATACTAAGGACTAAACTTGGACTGGACCATGACAAAACTAGGACAGGAACAGAACAATTCTGTTAAAATGCAGGAGAGTCTGGAAACAAACCAAAACAGGGCGAGAAACAAATATCCAATCACAGTTGCTAATTTGTAGCTTATATTTCTCAAATGAGGTTGATATCTCTTCTCGAGAATTCTAGTGTTATTCAGAACAAAATCTGGGCACTGTTTCCCAGCCTTCCATACATGAAGCCTCCGTGTTTGTTTAGAAACAGATGTGACCATGTGTTTTTCTGATTGTTTGCTGCATCTGTCAATCACAGCCAACTGAAACTGGAGTGATAAATAAATGTTCCAGACGCACAAGTATTGAAAAAGTATGTGTGGTCATGGACTGATCAGGCAGCCAACACTTCTAAGACTGAATCAGAACCATACTTAGACCAAAACAAAATGATCCTCAGAGCCTGATGATATATTTATTTGAAGATGAGTATTATATTTAAAAAATACCACCTGCCTGTTTAGTAAAGATTAAAACAATCCTTAAAAACCTACACCACAGTCTGACCCTGTCAAATAGAAACATGTCATTTGTCTCTTCCATAATTGGATGATGTGTGATATGAGCTCCACTGACACACTGCAAATGAATGCAAAAGACTTTTTCTATTGAATAAAGAGTGGACATGTGTGGGTGAACCTGTTTTTAAATAGATTTTTAATGGACTCACCAAAGATTAAACCAACAGGGACGTTTGTTTTAATATGTATTTCTGACCAAACTTGTTTAGTACCATTTTACATGTTTTAAAAGTCAAGTGTTCTTAAGGTGCATTTTTAATAATAACTTTTCTGGTGAACTTTTCAGCTTTTTTTTTTTTTGGAGAAGTTATTCTTTTGCCTGGAATGTTCCACAGTCAGAGAGACGCATGGTCTGTTTGCATCAAAACAAACATGGCTGCATACAAATCAATAAATGAGAAAAAAACAACATAAAGAACAGAGAAACAGTGTGGGATTTTACAGAATTAACAATTGAAGCACTAAAATATTACTTATTTCAGGTAAAAGAAGTTATATATTTTGTTCTGAATGTCATGAGAATTTTTGAGAGGAGATGTCTTTTGCATTTGAGACACAAGTGATACAAATGAGCAGCTCTGGTTAGATCATCTAAAATTTTAATGTTTTTCACCCTTTATGCTCCAGTTCCAGACTTCTGGACTCTAACAGAATGTAGAAGGGGCTGGCTGGTCAGGCAACATGGGCACAGCAATACATGTTTTCCAAGCTATATGTATTTTAGCAATAGTTACACCTGTAATTTAATGAATGCAAGATAAATATGTTTAATGCCATACTGTACAAGATTCCAAGCAAAGCAATGTCATCTCCACTGAGGCAGTTAGGTGGTAGACTCACTTTTGTCATATAATTATATAATATGTGATATCAAAACTGTTGCTGAGTCATAACTAATGAATATAAGCTTTTTTGTTGTTTATAGATTAGCCCTGTATGTTATGTTTGTATTTCTGTTTATATTGTTTTTGGACACACAACACTTTTCTGATGCAGGGAGACAGAGGGAAACGTGGGAAGAATGGGACACCAGGAACTCAAGGCCCCCGAGGACCTCCTGGTGCTGTGGTAAGGATTTTATTGGCTATTGTTTTACATTATTTAACAGGCAGGTGTGATAAAATGTGATGATATTGCACTCTCAGATGGGGTTCAAGAGCCAGTTTGTCATGCTATATATCTAAAAAGTAAATTCACAAATACTGAAGCTGATCATTTCTTCAGTGACTAGACCCAATAGAACTCACTGTATTACAACAAAAATCTGCATTTTAACTATATTCACTTTAGTTGCCCCCATATACTCTTTGTATAAATGACATAGTTAGCCCGCTAAACTTTGTGTTCCAAATAGCATGATTGACACACTGGCTCTGATTTGCAAGCACCCGCCCCCGCCAAACCAGCGGTGCAGGCGGGACGGGGCGTTACCTTCAATACCCTCGCTCCTGAAAGGCTGTTTGGTTGCTATAATACATGCACTCAGATTTCCAAATATGAATCTTAGCTCTATAACTCTATAACTCTCCTGGCTTGGCTTCATTTGGCTGGAGCCGAAACCTGTGGGTAACGGCACACACGCTAAGTCCAATTCAATTCAATTTGTTTCAAGTCTATTTATATCGCACATTTAAAACAAGTTCAGCTGACCAAAGTGCTTCACATACAAGTCAACAAAATAGAAGTCCACTTATTTGCACGGTCTATTGCTGCCCCCATTTGTGTTAAATATCATTGGCCTGTAAAATGTTGCGATGCCATTTGAAACTCAACAATACTGTTTTTTTCTCAGGGTGATCCTGGAGTTCCTGGTGTGAAAGGGGAAAAGGTAAAATATTGGACTTTATTATATGACTTTTAAGTCCTGCTATGCCATTTGACTTTTGACCAGGTGTACAAAGAATATTTTTCGAGTTAATAGAAATGAATCAATAATCACCAATAACCCACTGAATGGCAATCATTTTTAAGAATATTTGGACATTTCAGTAAAAAAAAAAAAATTCTCTCTATAAATATCTACAAATAAATAAAGTGTCAGAGTCTGTTTCTTTAGGGGGACAGTATTCCTGGAGAAGCTGGAGCCAGAGGTTTGGTGGGATTCCCAGGGAGAAAGGTGATGCTTCAATAACACACATTTTATCATAATAGTCTACATTTATGTTTTTAATGTTACTTTTCTAATGTTTATTTTACCGCTCTTACTGTTTTTAGGGTGAAAAGGGGACGGCAGGTGAAAAGGGCGTTCCAGGGCATTTGGTAAATAAGACTCAAAGTAATATTAATGCTGTAGGTTGATGCCAAATATTGACAAAAATCTGCTGAATAATAATGATTTTGTGCAAGTGTAAAGACACATTTTATTTTGTAATTGTAGAAATAGTTGTAGTACTTGTTGTCGTCGTAGTAACAGCAGTAGTCACAGTTACCTGAGGTTATTTTAAATGTCCTTTCTAAATGAATTTGACATTGACAGTCATAGTATTGGTAATTGTAGTGGTATAGTAGAAGTATTTTGTTGTTGTAAAAGCAGTAGTTGTTATGTAATATTTGTAGTAGTAGTTGTGGTACTAGTTATTATCGTAGTAGTAATAGTGGCTACCTGATATTGTTGTAGTAGTACTATTATAAGCAGTAGTAGTTGCAGCATTTTGACAACATGTAATTTCTCCTGTTTGATGGATCTTACCTGGACAACTGAGAGATTATGTGAACATTTGTTGTAGTAGTTTAAAATACTAGTTGTGTCATAGTAGAAGTAGTAGTAGTCGTAATGGTTAATAATCCAAAAAGTAGTAGGCATTAGTACTAGTAATAGTGGTAGTAATAGTAGTAGTAGCTGCTTCTGATTTTATTTAACAAACTTTTATGATTTCTTGTATTTTTCAGGGTCCCAAAGGCTTTCGAGGCACTAAGGGTGAAAAAGTAAGTATTCAAATTCCTTCCTTTGGCATTACAATCCAAGTTATTTTGTCATTAGTGAAACTGTGATAGCTGATAGTCATTTCCATAGTATTTTTAGACCACAACACCACACCAACTGTTTAACACTTTCTAGGGACGGGACATTAATGAAGCTCCTAAAATGTGTCCTCCATTTTGTGATTAATCGACAGTTGAGTCAGGGGCAGTTTTTGCGTCAGTTGGACAGAGCTGGCCGGACATTTGAACGAGTCATCCCCAGAACATCCCAGTCTGTTAGAACTCATGATTAATTATTTGGGAACAATTAACTACATCGCTGTTTAATAACAATGTAATTCTGTTGTATTTATGACTTAAATGTGCACTGTGTGACTTCTAAGGTGAAGATGGAGATGTTATTTCTTTGCCTGGAATGTTCCACAATAGGATTATTAAGCACATCTCCTAAAGAGGCTTTTTATGTGTCGGTCATGCATATTTGAGTCATTAAGCAATCTCTCCTGGGCCTTATTTGAACCCTCCTTATGTTTAGCAGTATGAACCAAACAGCACATATTTATAAGAAAGGGTAAAATGGGATAAGAAGTTGCGTTTATGTTTTATGAATTCTTTTCAAAAACACACAGAGTCTGGGCAGGTCCAAAATAAGTGAGAGGTGGTTTCATTTTTCAGTTCACAAAATGTACAGTTTGTGTCCATTGTCCTTCTAAGATGATTCTTTAGCGGATAACAGTGATGTAGAAGTTTGTGTGGCAGATTTCCCTTTGCTTGTTGGTGACGAGATATTTGTGAGGTCATGTCCAGACATTTTTCCATAGAATATTGTCAATAGAGTCGAGCTGCTCACAGCGCATGAGTAGGGCTCCGTTTGCGAGGTGCACTTGTGGTGATAGTCGCTCTTTTTCCACGGTGACTCATTATAAGGCAAGTTTAATTGAAGCAGAAGCCAAGTAAATTGCTTTTGAAAAGTTTTTCAAAGTTCACTCACACCTGCTCAAGCCGCCATCTTCAGGTGCTGGCCCTGTCCTCCCGCTTCCCCAGTTTAGGCTCCTGGCTCCACTAATGACATCACTCTGTTGCAGCCAATGAAACAGCAGCAGGAGTAACCCTGTCGTCATATCACTGAATACATCTCAGAACGTCTAATAAACAAAATGTGAACTAAAACATGTTCAATTAATACTATTGAGTTTGGAAAAATATAGGAATAAATGTATATTTTTGTTTATTAAAATAAAATGGCAAATATTGGTAGGGACTATTTTGTCTTCCCCAAATATTGGTTGTGACACGTCCCCACCATCTCTTTGGAAACCTACTCCCTTGCTCCAAATTCTCCCTTATAACTGCTAGCCTCGTGAGCTTCATTTGACTGGAGCTGAACGCTGTGGATGACTTCACACTCCCTTTTCCACTTTTTTATACAGCCTAAGCACAGATGACGACATTCGCTCAATCTTAAAGTATAGTTTTGTGTAGGCGTCCCTGTGTCCAGCATCGAGCCTGTATATTTGTTATTTTCTTCTCCGCTCAAGCATCAATAGTGCAATAATATTAATCACAGTCAGTCAAGCAGCAACTGACCTTTCAAGGCCCGTTACCGCGGGAGACCAAACTCCACCTAATCGTGCTGCAATGTAAAGTGATTCATGTAAAACAGACTTAGGGACAGCACCCTGACATATGAGAATCGCCCATAGGTGAATAAACAAATGTCACTAATGTCATTTCTCTTCAATTCAGGGAGAACGGGGTGTACCTGGCATCAGAGGTGACAGAGTAAGATTATTTTATTATTGGAGCAGGAAATCCAATTACAAAAAATGACAACGAAGCTATTATTAAGACCAAGATTTTTCCAATTTTGTCCAATTGTTTTTTTCAACAGGGAAGCGTAACCCAAATGCAAGGGCCACGCGGGTATAAAGGGTTCAAAGGAGACGCGGTAAGCTTCTTTTATGCTCCATAGGTTTTCAGAATGATGAAAAATTACACCACTTGCCATAGAGATTAACTATTGAATGGTAAAAAGTGTTGCATTATTGATTTACTTCCTATATTTTTTCTAGTTTTCAAGTTTTGTAAATACACTGAACATTTAACTTTTTTCAGATTGGTACTTTTGTAGATTTTGCTCCTGTGACTATTTATTCAAAGTTGTGTTTTTTTTTTGTTCAGGGTGAGAGAGGTCCTCCTGGTTTTGATGGAGATAAAGGAGAAAAAGGAGAAGACGGTCCTCCCGGAGGGAAGGTGGTTCATTTTATACATGACACCTTCTCATTTACAATATATTGGTTTTAATTTTAATTTCATTTATCACACTAATATTTTGAATAGGGATATGATTTTGGCTTATCTTGATTTTTGTTTATTTATTCATTTAAAAAATATTTGTATATGTATCCTCTATGATCAAATTTTAAATAAATTTGGTCTGTATTTTTAAAGGGTCTTAAAGGTGACGCTGGGACTAAAGGAGCGATCGGACGCTTTGGAGCTAGAGGTCCAGTGGGTCAGAAGGTGCGAGCTTTTATCAAAAGACATAAATATTGTTGCAGGTAATATTACTTGTAATATTTTAGTAAGTGCTTTAACTGCTTTATGTTCACAGGGAGACACTGGGGAGCCTGGTCTGAACGGAGTCATGGTAGAGTATGATTCATTGTGTTGTCAGTGTAAAACCTCTTTAACATTTGATTAAGAACGTGACACGTGATCGGTGCAGCGGCTGTAGCCTCAACTCAGGTCATAGACACGTGTGCCGCACTGTGTCTTTGAGCAAAACACTTGGTAATCAACAAACAAAGGCAACCATCTTTCTCAGTCTGAACTTTGATCAGAAAGATGCTACATACATCAATGTTATTTTTCTGCTCTCTGCTTTTCTGTTTGTCATGAAGATGTTATTGCTTTGTTGGGAATGTTCCACAATATGACATTAAAGGGACAGTTCAGAATTTTGGACATAGGACATCATTTCCTAGTTAGAGTGTTGGAGATGTGTGGAGACACTTTTTTATAATATTCCAGCCAGTTCTTGTATTTGCAGAGGTCGCTGGTGCTAGGCTAGTGCATGTCAATGGCCATAGTTATCCTGCCACTAAAAACAGTCTTACCCACTCCACAAAACACCCGAAGCAAATCTGTTATTACGCCAGACTGTCGATATAAATGTCTGTGTTAATAGAACAATGTTTGAAACAAAACTAACCTTGCATCGCATGAATTGTCGCATGATGAGTGACTATTTTCTCATATATCAGTCCGCCACTGCCAAGCTTTCTATCAGGAAGTACAACTCGCTGCTGCTGCTCAGACATAAATCCTTCACATGCAAGGCTAATTTTACTTCTAAAATTATTCTATCGACACAGACATTTGCATTGACAGTCTGGTGTAATAATAGATTGTCTTCAGGTGTTTTGTGGAGTGAGTAAGACTGTTTTTAGTGGCAGGATAACTATGGCCATTGACATGCACTAGTCTAGCACCAGCGACCTCTGCAAATACAAGGACTGGATGAAATATTTTTAAAAAGTGTCTCCACACGTCTCCAACACTCTGGCGCACTAGGAAATGAGGTCCTATGTCCAAAATTCCGAATTGTCCCTTTAAATGTATGTATCTTGTATTTACTCAATTACAGGTGTTTTTGTTGCAAGGAGGAGGGTCGTGTCTGCACAGATCTGACATGTAACTGCTTGTCTCCACAGATAACTTTAATTTCATACTTTGGAACATTTCAGGCAAAGCAATAGCATCTCACAAACCCTCCGCTAGAAAAGTTTCACTCACTAAATACACAGTTTTAGGGGTACGATTAATTTTATGTTTTATTATAAATTGAATGCATTTTAAAAATTATTATTATTAAGGGCCGCAATGGAGACGATGGAGTGGACGGAGCCAAAGGGGACAAAGGTGACGATGGACTTCAGGGAGAGAAAGGCAATCAGGTGAAATGAACGCTCAACATGTGAATAAATACAACATAATTAGTCAATATAATTAAATTAAAAGTTAATTTGGCTTTATTCCCTTGTCACATTGTCATATTTCCAGCTTTTCAGAACCTCTTTCCGGATTAAACATCTGGAGGATACTTAAACTGTCAAAGTGATTACAGTATTAGAAAAAAACATGAAAATCTGTCATGCCCTAAATGTATTTTGTTTTGCAGGGAGATGCAGGGGAACCAGGTTTACCAGGAGACAATGGGGAGAAGGGAGAGAAGGTCACATTTTACAACAAACTTAATATTCTTACTGATTCGAGTCTTAAATGTTTTGTAACGTGTTAAATTTGTTTCTATTCAGGGTTTTCGAGGGATACTTGGTCGCTCTGGGAGTCCGGGACTTAATGGAGAGAAGGTTTGGTGAATTTTTATAAGAACTTCCCAGAACTAGTTAAAAATAAATCAACTACCAAGCAAAATTTTATATTCATGGGTTTCATCTTCCTCTTCATCTTACTGATTTGATTTTTCAACTCATGGTTATGCAACAACAGATTTATTACAGATATAATATTTAGTTTTTAATTGTTAATAGTAATAGTTCTAATTTCTGAAATGGATAAATCAGAAACATACTCATATCTTTTTAATATAAGTTTTCAAAAATAATTACAGCAGTCTTAAAAACATGATGAAGAAAATTGTGAAAATATCTTTAAATTTTTGTGATTATTATTGCTAAAAGATGTTGTTGCCTGACTGGTCTTGACATATGGATTAGTCGACATACTGTAAATAGTAAATAAATGCTTTGTCTTTGTTAACAGGGAGACATGGGTTTACCTGGAACACCTGGAATTCCTGGATTAAATGGACTCACTGGACGCAAGGTTGTTCACGACATAAAACTAAGGACATGATCACATTAAAACTAAATATTACGCATGTTTTGTATTTGACTTAACGGTCAACTGCTTGTTTACGTAGAGATAGATCAATTTAATGCCATCCTGTCAGATAATCCAGGCAAAACAATCACGTTTCCATGGAGACAAGCAGAAAAGTTACATATGATACCTTTAACTTGTCTTTTCCAGGGAGATAAAGGTGAAGGAGGTTTGAATGGAGCTGATGGAGAAGTTGGGGAGAAGGGTGATAAGGTGAGTCTATCCAAACTGTGAAGTATAAGCAGTATCTGTATTTTAGGTCTTATTTTGGGTTGGTTTAAAATCAAGGAACTGAACAACGCACTGATACAAAAGATATGACATTTCTTAATAAATCTTTGTAGAGTATTAAAAGTGATAACAATATAGTGAGTGTGGCCAAACTCATCCCTCAAAAAATACTTAATTGTTTCTCTGATTTTTTACTGGCTCTCAATAACTCAAATATCCAAATAGCCAAAAGAGGAAAATGTTTTCAATTCTACTAAACTCACCAAACTTTTATATAGTTGTAGAGATCAGTTTAATTTAATTATTTTTATATGAATTCATGTTTACACAAGACCATACAGAAGTGAGTGTAAAAGTATAAATGTAATAATTGAAAAACATTGAAATCTATCATGTCCTAATTCACCTTTAAAGGTTTATTGAAGTTTATACAAAAAGTGACTCAGTGGTTCATTTACATTGTTCCTCTTGTTTCAGGGAGTAGCAGGGTTTCCTGGTTTTCCTGGATTCAAAGGCTCAGCTGGAAGTCCGGGGAGAGACGGAGACGAAGGACCCCCTGGAGCGCCAGGGCCGAGGGGCAACACAGGACCAAAGGTGGAGTGTTGTGGAGTGTTTACTTTTTTATTATGTATGTATTATTATATATATTCTCACAGCGTGATACATATTGTTTGTACTATGCTCTACTAGCTGCATATTTTCTGATGAAACCCACCCCACCATAAAAATAATAAATGCGCATACTGTGGAACATTCTAGACAAATCAATAACCTTTAAATTATGACTTGGTTTGGTAGGATAGTAATTGTGGTAAATTTTTTAGAACAGTTTTACATCAGTTAAGAGCAAGAGCATAGGTTTTCATAGGGACAGTGGGGACATGTCACAACCAATATTTGGGGAAGACAAAATAGTCCCGACCAATATTTGCCATTTTATTTTAATAAACAAAAATATACATTTATTCCTATATTTTTCCAAACTCAGTAGTATTAATTGAACATGTTTTAGTTCACATTTTGTTTATTAGACGTTCTGAGATGTATTCAGTGATATGATGACAGGGTTACACCTGCCGCTATTTCATTGGCCAAGAGACTAAACTGGGGAAGCGGCAGGACAGGGCCGCACTTGAAGATGACGGCTTGAGCAGGCGTGAGTGAAGACACTGCGCATCAAACTTTGAAAAACTTTTCCAAATTAACTTACTTGCTTGTATTCCACCTCTATGTAGCGAACTCCTTGGTCCACCACCAGTTTTAACAGCTCATCTGCAGTGTTGTACAGCATCTCGTAGTACTGCCTGTAGGGACACAAAAGGGAAAATATTAACATAAGGAGAAGATATGCACTGTTGTTTTGAGTAGATGATTGGTTGGTTGACTTAAAGCAACACCATGTAACTTTCTGGAGATCGCACATCACCTTCTGGAAGTTTAAATCATACTTTGGAATATTCTGCATCGAGATGGGAATGTTTGATGCCATAGTGTGAAATAGTAGATTACTAGGGATGTAACAATAACTGAAATATCGTGATATCGTCAAAAGTCTCACAATAATATTGTGGACTGTCACAATATATCGAATTACAAGTTATTTTGCATAAATGCATGGTCATGCTTGCTTCATCTTCAATTAAACTTGCCTTATAATGAGTTGCCGCGGAAAAAGAGCGACTATTGCCACAAGTGCACCTCCCAAACAGAGCCTTACTCATGCGCTCTTAGCAGCCCGATTCCATTGCCAATATTCCATGGAAAAATGTACGGACATTACCTCACAAATATCTCATCGACAACATCCAAAGGGAAATCTGCAACAAACGTCTACATCACTGTTAAAGAATAATCTTAGAAGGGCAATGGACACAAACTGTACATTTTGCAAACTGTAAAACGAAACCACCTCTCATTTATTTTGGACCTGCCCAGACTCTGTGTGTTTCTGGAAAGGAGAGGGGGGGTAGACCAAACCTATGCCCTTGGTTAAGTGTAAAGTACAAAAATACAGGAAGTAGTGCTGAGTTCTAAAATGGAATACTTACTTATTCATACTTTGCTGTGACATAATGTTGGGGGTGTTCTACGTGTATCTCCATAGTTGAATCTTCAGGCGTTACCATGGAGACACAATGCACACATTAGCTAAGACAGTCAAAACTCGAGAGAAAAAAACACAAAATGGATTTAAGCAACGCATTTTCAGGAGCTTGTGATCAATATGAATGTTCATGGTCCTGTTTAGGAGTTTGATTTTCTAACAAAAACTTCTAACTAAATCAGTTCTTTCTGGTCAGACTGTGTTAAAACAAAACTCAGAGTAAACTCCATCTTGAGGCCCTGCCAAATTAGAGTTTTAGTTTACTCTGACAGCTGTGAAATATGTATTCATAAATTAAGACAGATGAATTAAAAGAGATTAATATCTAATTCCTGTATCAAGTGCTTCTCGGGCTGTTGAACTGAACTTTTAAATGTCTAAATGTCATGTTTGTGTTTGAGTGGGGCTGTTATTTGTTGTGTCATTGTCAGTTTTCTCACAGAAGGAAATAGAAAAGTCAATCTCTCTCTTTATAAAGTCAGATTAATCACTGCTTTCCTTCATTTCGGGCAACTCACAAATGTAAAAGGGATGAAAACATGTCCAACTACTTTGATATCCAAATAAAAGTAATGGGGAAAGCATATTTTTAGAAATACTCAGACCTTCCTTTTTGGAGCTATACACTACGACTTCAATAAATTTCACTAAACGCAGTCATATTTCAAAAGAGAACGCTACTTCTTCCAAGAAAAATGTGTCATACTTTATACTAGCGTTTTCAGGATACTAAAATTTCAAACTTGATTGAAGATTGAGAACTGATTCCGAAACCATGATGATAATAAAAACTCTATTTATTTAGACAGTAGAATGTGATTTTCAACATTAAAGAGCTGATATTTCGTTTTTCTGGTCTATGTTATAATGTTTTCACATCACAAACAGACCTGGAGTTGTGTTTTGTTTCACTCACACATGTTTAACATACAAACTCTGCATATATTAGAGTTTTTTTTACAAATAGACAAGGGTTACTCAGTGTGTGAATCAAACATAACACAACTCCAGGTATGTTTTTCATGAGGTAACAACATTATAACGTGTCTTAAAGCTCACAAGAATCCATTTTGTATAATATTTAACCTTTAAGACTTTCTTTTCTATTCCCATGTGGGAATAGAAATATATATGTGTGTAACCCCTTAGTGATCCAGGTAGGTTCCAGTGGTCCATGGGCGTATACTAGTCTATGTGCTCTTATACTTGTTCTGATACAGCTCAAGTTCATTCTAAAGCTGGTCAGGAAAAATCCGTGTATCATTCATTCATTCATTCAAAATTAAACCAAAAATAAGAAAATGAAAAAAACAGCGAATGTCTTCAATAATTGTCCCCAAAACCAAAATGAAAAAATGGATAAGGATTAGTTTTTTTTCAGTTTTTGAATTTGTGTTTAAATAAATAATGGAAAAAACAGAAAACGGACGTTTCCCGTTTACGTGATTAAGTTGCGACGTCAGACTTTTGAGCTGCATACGGATTGAACCAAGACTAAAACAGGACTAAAACAGGTCTAAACCAGAACTGAACCAGGAATTTACCAGTACTGACTGTCAGGACAGGCCCAGAGGTGCACCCGCGTAGACTGTCAGATGATTACTACTGAGACCGGGACCAGACGGGACTGATGCTGGGACTGACATCAGAACTGAGACCAGGACCAAACCGAGACTGAGACTGAGACTGAGACCGGAACCAGACAGGGACTGAGACCGGGACTGAGACCGGGACTGAGACCGGGACTCAGACCGGGACTCAGACTGGGACTGAGACTGAGACTGAGACTGGGACCAGACCGGGACCAGACCGAGACTGAGATTAGGACCAGACCAGGACTGAGACCAGTTTAATCCTGGTTTAGTCCTGGTTTAGTCTCGGTTCAGTCCTGGTTTAGTCCTGTTTTAGTTCCTGTTTCCGGCTTTGCAGTTTAAGTCACGTAAACGTTTCTTCCATTATTCATTTACTCACAAAATCGAAAACTGAAAAAAACTCACTTTGGTTTTGGAGACATAAATAATAATAATGATAATGAAGAAAATTGTTGTTTTATTTTGAAAAACGAATAAACAACTGACACATGGATCAGGAAAGGTTCATTTCTGTCCTGTGAATGTGACTTTTTTAGTATCGATAACTTCTCAAATGAGTATCTAGTTTCGATTTTAGTTTCATTATGGATTTGTATCTGATTTTTGATACTTTGACAACCATACTCCATACACTATTGTTAGATTGGCATTATCCTGTCTACTTTAATCTGAGGAGCTTCTAAACACAGGTCTATTTTGGTTCCAGTAATATCTTGCTCGATTAGTTCCTTTCAGCTACAATTAGTCTGGCCTCAGTGTTGGCAGTGACCAGTACACAGCTATGAAGAAATCTCTCATATGTGGATAATGGGTCAGACTGAGTCACTGTAGAGGATAAAGAAGCAGACGTGATGTTTGATGAATATAGCTTCTTCACTTGAATTATTTTGGAATATTTTGGCTATATCTGTATTTCTGTGTTCATTTATTTTATACGTCCAGCTGTATCTATGTAAGAATAAAATATAAAAATGCTGTTGATACTTTACACATGTGAACAATCTCTCAGTCATCCAGGTAGAATCCATGGCAAAAGGAGAAATTCAATTTGTCAACTGGACAAAAGTTTATTTGGTTGAATACATTTGGCAGCTCATCACAATAGGGACAGCCAGGTCAGGCCCAGAGGTGTGAAAGCACCCATTATGGCCCTGAATGATTCTGCTAATATGACCCCACACTCAAGTGCAAGTTCAATAGACTTAACTAACTAACAGAAACTGTAAACAAGTAGGTGTGTTAGTTCAGAGTAGTTTTAGTGTAGTTAGCTCTTCTCTGCAGGCAGATATAAGGAAGTATCCACCAGCATTTTGACCAGAACTGAAGAAGCAGCTTTGGATGAGCATATATTTGACGAACTGAATTTCTCCTTTGCTATTGATACTTTGCAGCTGATGCCATCAACGTTCCTTGTGGGTGGGATGCTAAATGTAGGCACTGCTCTTTCTGAGGCTTTGTTAGACTTCAATCTGAGCTTTGTTTTAACACAAATTTACCAAAAGGAACTTACTACAACAGGTGTAATGATTTATACTGTAAAATCTATACGGTCACTCTCACCTTTTTGTTGAAAATTAAACACCTAAACAAGACCATGAACACTCGTATTGATCACAGGCTCTTGAAAATGTTTTTAAATCCATTTTGTGTTTTTTTCAGACAGTCTTAAACTGTACTGCTTCTTGAGATATGATTTTGTTTTATTTTTTCATTTTTGTGTCTGCTTTGAAAATACCAGATTTTGTGCATTATTTAATGTTTTGTCTTTCAAATTACATCATCTTGAAATTATAAATCATATGTTTATGTCCAGTTAGTTACTCTTTCAGTTACTCTTACTTGAGTAGTCATTTTTCCAAATACTTATTTACTCTTACTTGAGTAATTTCTTGGACCACTACTTTGTACTTCTACTTGAATAATAATAATATTTTGTAACATTACACTTACTTGAGTACAACTTTTGGCTGCTCTACCATCACTCGTGCTCCAATACTGTTTAGGAGTTTGATTTTCAACCAAAAAGGTGAGAGTGAAAAAATACAAAAAACTGTTGGTTAATGTTAAAAAAAAAAAGTTGTGGGAAAAAAAGTGGACAATAAAGTACAAAAATATAGGAAGGAGAAGTAGGCCTATCTATTTGCAGTGACATCTCATTGGGGTGTTCTTCATGTATCTCTATTGGCGGGATGTTCAGCATTTAAAAAGGAGACACAATGCACACATTAGCAAACAGAGCCACAAAAGATTTTAGATTGTCTGAAAACTCAAGGAAAAATACAAAATGGATTTAAACAATATACTAATATACATATACTGTATATACGTACACTGTGAAACAGGTGGGAGCCCTGTACACTAATACGATGCAATTGGTTGATTTATTGATTTATCTTTTACATTTTCTTTCTTTTAGGGTGAAAAGGGGCGCAGAGGCAGAACAAAAATGTGTCAGAAAGGACAACCAGGATCTCCAGGACTCAGAGGACTCCCTGTGAGTTTGCTCTGACTCATTCAGCAGAAAAAAATATATATTTAGGGATTAAGACATACGTTTGTTCAGATTTAGTCATGTGATGTTAGAAAACAGGAGCCAGTGTTATTAGTGGTTAAAAATAGATTTCTTGTAATAATGACAGAATGAACAAATGAAAATATAAAGTATGGCTGTACTGTTTCATAGGGATCGATGGGCACTGAAGGAATAAAAGGAGAGAAAGGAGAGCCTGGACTATCGGTAAATATCACAACTACTTTAAAGCAATGTTGAAAATTATTTATACATATGCTTGATTGTATATCTACATAACCTACATGGCCAATCCTCCCAAATACCTCGCCAAATGTATAAACAGTATTCAATTAATAATAGGTAACAAAAAATTTAATTTAATTTCACTGACAGTTCTTCGTGTGAAACGTTTGTGTTTTACATTGTTAATGAGAAAAAAAGTAAGATTTTAGTTAAAATGGTATAAATTATTCAAAATAACTAAAAAGATAAGAATCGTAACATTTTCTCTCATAATTCCTCTAAGATGTGATATCGTGACATCCTTGTAAGAGTATGTTTTGGTAGTTCTTGGTGTGAAAATTTTGAGAGCCACTATATTTCAAATTCTAGATAAAAAAAAGTAAGAATTTGATTTTGTCATGTTGTATATAATTCTGAATGACTGAAAATCGTGATGTTTCTTTCATAATTCCTCTAAAATGCAACAACATGACATCCCTGTTTAACTTTCCCTGTTTGTGTTCCTGTGATTTGGTGGGGTTTTTTGGCGTGAAATGTTTGTATTTTACATTCTAGCTAAGAAAAAGTAAGGGATTTTGTTTTGTCATGTTGTAAATAATTTTGATTGACTTAGGTTAGGTTACTTTATTGTACCCGTAGGTAAATTTGTTTTGCAGATTTGAGAGGCAGTTCCCACATTTCACATTTCATTCATCCATATTATGTACAATAAACACATATAAAAACACAATTACAAAATAAAGTGTTACAGTGCTCCAGTGCAGAATGACTTTACGCCATGAACAATGAATTCAATTCATCCATCACCCTTGGCTCAGATCACAATAAATATTAAATATATAAAAAACACAGGATTTTTCCAAGACAATGTACTAAAACTTGATAGATAAACAGATTACAATTTATTCATGAGTTTGATAGCAGATGGAATGAAGCTCAGATTAAAGTGATTTGTTAATTTGTTGACTGAAAATGGTAATGTTTTCCTTCATAACTCCACTAAAATGTGATAACATGTCATCCCTGGAAGTTTATGTTTTGGTGGTTCTTGGTGTGAAATGTTTGAGAGCCACTATATTTGAAACTGAAGATGAGAAAAAAAGTAAGGGTTTTGTTTTGTCTTGGTGTAAATAATTCTGAATGACATAATTCCACTAAAATCTGATATCGTGATCTCTTTGTGTAACTGTTCCTGTCCATTTCCCTGTGTTTAGGCGTCTGAGGTGAAGGAGCTGGTGACTCAGCAGGTGGTGGATCAGTGCGGTGAGTGCATGCTCTCTAACAGCCTACATACTGTGAGCTTGTGTTACTTTTGTTTATTTGTTTATTTGTTTGTGTTGTGTTGTGTATTGTTGAGTTTCCTGTGGCTTGAGCACGGCCCCTCTGAGGAGAGCCATCTGGCCGTTCTGTCATAAGAACACACAGCAGGGGGCGGTAGAGAGAGTAAAGGCATTCATACAAGAGAGACAACAAGTGGGGCGGGCTCATTCAGGACAAAGCAGCATTACATAATTTTATCAAAGGAATACTATTAAAAAATATATACAGTATGTTATGAAATTTTACAGTTTAGAGCTTTTTACAATGTGAATTTGAATCTTAATTAAAAATATAACTGGGAGTTAATTTTGACTTGTGGCTGTAGACCTCGATTGACGATTGAAAACAAATCGTCAGTGGAGGTCTTTAAAACAGTACTCAGTTACACAAGTACATGTAGCATTGAAAATAATATCTGACAGTTTGGAGTACGCTAATTTTCAGTTGATTAGTTGAGTAATTGTCTTTTGATCTGAAAGTCAGTGGTTCAAATCCAGTTCTCAACCTAAAGATTGTTGATAGAGCTCTTAATTTATGAATCAATCTACATTCCTACCCTCACCTATGGTCCAGGTTGAGTCCTGGTTTAGACCTCTGGCCCTACCCTCACCTATGGTCCTGGTTCAGTTCTGGTTTATATCTCTGGTCCTACCCTCACCTATGGTCCTGGTTCAGTTCTGGTTTAGATCTCTGGTCCTACCCTCACCTATGGTCCTGGTTCAGTTCTGGTTTAGATCTCTGGTCCTACCCTCACCTATGGTCCTGGTTCAGTTCTGGTATATATCTCTGGTCCTACCCTCACCTATGGTCCTGGTTCAGTTCTGGTTTAGATCTCTGGTCCTACCCTCACCTGTGATCATGAGCTTTGGGTAATGAGCAAAATTACAAAATGGCAGATACAAGCAGTTGAAATGAGTTTCCTCTGCAGATTGACTGGGCGCTTCCTTAGAGATCGGGTGAGGAGCTCAGTCACACAGGAGGAGCTCGGGGTAGAGCCACTGCTCCTACATGTCAGGAGGAGGCTCCTGGACATCTCCCCAAATACCTTTTTACTCTTAATGTACTTCTACATGAGTAACATCAGTTTGAAGAAATGGCAATCTTCACTGAGTATAATTTTTGGAAACCCATATCACCCTTGATAAACATTAGATCTCAATTTGATTAAAATTCTGTTAATTGCACAGCTCCACCAAGGCCATGTAAAGAGCAAGGATGTGTTGTAATGGCTTTATTAAAATACGTCTGAAGATTTCTAAGAAGAAATGTGTACACTTGTCATCTCTGAGAGATTGACCTGTCCTTTTGAGGGCAAATAAAACTACTCAAAATACAAGTCTCTAATCCCTGAATAGTGAAAACATACAATATTTCTAAAAGGACCTTTGAACAACCATCATAAAAGAAATTATTACAACTTGCTCATGTATTAGAAGGGCATCTCGCTGTTTTGTATGGTCCAGATTTTGTCCCCATATCTCCTTGGTAACAAAATAAACTGACTGTTCAAATTATTTTATGTAAAATAACCATGATGAGTTATGACATAACAAAGGCCTATATAGTAGAATAAGGTGTTGACTATTTTCACACAAATATTAATGAAACATGATTAAAAGTGATTTCATATTTTAATATACAGTAATTTGCTATATAATATGAAAGTACACTACTAAAAACCTATGCTGTTTAAATTTTGGATCCATGAGGTCACCAAGAACAGCCCTGATCTTATAACTGGGCTGGAGAACAATTTTCCTTTCTACTCTCAAAATGCAGATGCTTTGTCCTGGTTGTATTTATTAATATCTCTGTAATTACTGGGCTTTTGCTTTGGATCCAGAACACACACTTCTTCAACACTTTACAAAAATGTGAGTCTTATTACTAGTGAATCTCCCAGAGCTCAGATGGGCATGATTAACAGGCGGATTAGCCAATTAGGAACATGCACAGTCCTGTGAGGAAAAAAGTAGAGTGAAAAAATATTACACAAACAAACAAACATCGCAGATTTCTGTGGAATCAATACATGAAGTACTAAACTCTGTGAATCTGAAGTGAAAGAAGTGCCATTTAGTTTTAGCTCTTTTGGTTCCCATGTTATAAATAAACCAAACCTGATTGCATGAACATGTTTGGTTCTGATTCAAGATGCGACAGAGGGCATGGAGACCAGACACATATCAAACTGTTTAAAAATATAGATATCAACCAAACTGAGCCAATCAACATGAAACAAACACTGTCGCAAAGTACAATATCTCCCCTGCCTGTTTGTTTTTTTCATTCAAAAACATTTAATTGTATGAAAACATTGTGTCCATCTTTTGTGGTTTTCAGGTCTGGAATATAAGTTTATGGTGAAGTCTGTTGATCCTGATGCTACTAAACCAGTGAGAGGAGACAAACCTGATCTAAACCAGAAGGAGAGAGAGAAAGAGGAGCAGGAGGTAGATGTGTATGAAGAACTGTATGAAGACAGTGACAGATCCGTCACCACTGCAGCCCCCGTGAGCCCAGGAGAGACGGACCTGCCTCTAAACAGCACTGGTAATAATACTCATCATACCACAGTATATATATCACAACGAGAGAACTTTGGGACAGAACTACTGCACTGGTCTCAATCATAATAAAGAACAAACACACTAGAGCATCATTTGGTGTTACTAGAATGCCGCTTTTCATGGTTGCTAAAAATAGATTGTGGCGTCAGACCTCAAAGCATTATGGGATACCCCCTTAGACAAACAAAGCACTACAGCTACATAAAAAATGGACAAATAAAAGACAGCTCTATAACTATTACTCTATTAATAATTACTATCTGCTTAGGCTGCATTCACATTTGTACACCACACACCAAACTGGGGCCAAACCGGGACTAGACCTAGCCTAGATCAGCCGGTTTCACTTCGTAGAAACCGTATGACCTCGCAGGATAAGGATTCGTTTGCTCGACGGTAGGCGGGTACTTTTTTTATTTAATCAGTCGCTGCTATTTGGTCGTGACGTACGTAATGCACCGCTAATGGGACTAACTGGTATATTAAGCTTTTCCAAATCCCATAGGAAGAAGGATAGTATCATCTCTCCCCTTGATAAAATTCACCGAACATTCTCTTTGTTCTGGTTTTAAATCCTCGATCTCAGGAATCATTGCCAACACAGAATGTATGACTCTTTGCTGATTGGCTGGTGCCTGAACTCACACTTCCGGGGTTCTTGCAAACCGTCTAGTGTATTCCAATTCTTGACCTAGTCGCTGGAGAGAAATATGAAGTTGAGCAGAGGCACTAGGTGGTTCTGGCCTGGCTAGACTAGACCAGGACTAAACCAGAACTAGAAGAAGTCCATGCAAAATCTACATTAGGACTAAACTGGGATCAAACCAGGACCAAGGAGTGTGAATGCAACATAAATCTATATAATGTTTTAAATGGCTTCAGGGAGAACTGTATGATGAAACAAATAATGAAAAAAAACATGTTAATTCTGAACCATGAGTGAGGTGACAGTGACCGCCCACTCCTCGATTTCAAAGCTACATTTCTCATTCATTTTTCCCATAGACTTACCAAAAAAATTTCATATTAAAAGTTTGAAATCTTGCTTAGGACTAATCAGCTACATGTTAATTAATGACCACGAGACCTATAGTTTAATTTAAAGGTGGATTTTGTCATTTTTCTCGTGGAGGGTCTGTCAAATGCTTTTCTTCTTGGAAATGTTATTGCTTTGTCTGGAATGTATGACATTAAATGAAACCAAACCTGACCAAGTTACAGGTCAGATCTTTAGAGAGGCGACCCCACTCACTGTCAAAATGTCTGTTTTTCTAGGTATTTTTGAGCTAGAAAACCACCTGTAATTGAATAAATGTAAAGTAGATCTGTTTAATGTCATACTGTGGAACATTCCAGGCAGACCAATGACATATCCATAGAAACAAGCAGGTGATGGACCCTCAAACAAAAAGTCACACAGTGCAACTTTAAAATCTGTTTTGGAAGCTTTATAAACCACAAAGTTAATGAAGAATTTTGACAAATCTTCAGTTTTTCGAAAAGTCTGTAGAGAAAAAATTAATGGAAAATGTACTTCCGGAACCAGAGTGGGCACACACTGTTGAGCTTTCCAGGCAATTGTAAAAAGCACTTTAAAACACTGCTTTTACAGTATACTGTTAGGTGTAAAAAGTGTTTCCTGGGCTACTGAAATACATGTCAGGATCAGGCTATTTAAGACTAAAAAAAGAACTATACGAGGTTGGGTTTAGACCTCCCTCCGTGTTCCCGTGTGACCAAACCCTGCCTCTAAACAGCACAGGTCATAACACTGATCAAATTGTACATCACGATGCCATTATAGTCTACGGGGAAACTCCACATGCCGCAGATATCATTACATCCATGGTCCATTATTTCTGGAGGACCTCTTGTGTGTCAGAGGTGATGAGAGAGGAGACTTTTGACAGGGGCAGGAACATAAAGGGCCCATTTTCGAGTGACTTTTCTGTAATTGACAGGTTTGTGTCACAGAGATGTCATTGTCTACACAAGTTCTGGGTTAAAAATATCTGCAGCCAAACATTAGTACCTTAAAGGGGCTCTAACCAATTATGTAATAAAGTAAAATTATTATATTGTTAAAAATAAATATTGTAAAAGCAGCTCTTAAGTTTTAAATAACGGGCTTGCAAAAAATATCTAAATATCCATATATCGTAGCGTTTTAATGTGCTGATACAGTATCAATATTGTGGGCTGCTGTATCAATATATATTGGCAAGAGTATTTTTATAGTATATTTTACTAAATTATTTTGTTACAGAGCTACAGTTTAGTGGAAGGAAACTCATTTATGCGGCGCATTTGACATTTTCACTGTTTTGATGATTAAAGTGTTTGTGTTTCATATTAACTTTGCACAAGAAGTGGTTTAACAAAGACTTTTAGTATCACAGCCACAATTTAGCCTTTTTTTAACTGAACCGTATCAAATTGATTTGAAATATATTGTATCGAATCGAAAGCTCACTGTTTCGAAATCGTATCGGCAACTTCTTAATGATACCCAGCCTTAGTCACCTGTCCATTAAGATTGGTGACTTTAAGTGAGTTTAATACAGGCAAAGTAATAACATCTCCATGAAGACAAGAAGGTGGTGGAAAATTGCAACTGCTACTTTATTTATAACACACTTTAAAAACAACACAGGTTGATCAAAGTGCTACAGAACATAATAAAATAAAAACAATTAAAATAATGAAACTACATATGAATAAAAACAGAATCTAATAAAAAAAAATAAAATCTAATAAAATGTCAACAACTCAAACTGTGTCAAAGGCCAAAGTGAACAAGAGCGTTTTAAGAAGAGATTTCAAAACAGGTACAGAAGAGGCCTGTCTAATGTGACCTATGGTTCAGGTTGAGTCCTGGTTTAGCTCTCTGGTCCTACCTTCACCTATGATCATGAACTTTGGGTAATGAGCAAAAGGATAAGATGACAGATACAAGCATTTGAAATGAGTTTCCTCTGCAGAGTGGCTGGGTGCTCCCTCAAAGATAGGGTGAGGAGCTCAATCACACAGGAGGAGCTCGGAGTAGAGCCACTGCTCCTTCACATTGAAAGGAGGCTCCTGGACACCTCCCCAAATACCTTTTTACTCTTAATGTACTTCTACATGAGTAATATTAGTTTGAAGTAATGGTAATCTTCACTGAGTACAAATTTCGGCAACCCTTCCCCCTCGATAACCATTAGATCTCGATTTGATTATAATTCTGTTAATTGCACAGCTCCACCAAGGCCATGTAAAGAGCATGGATGCATTGTAATGGCTTTATTAAAATACATCTGAAGTATTCTAAGAAGAAATGTGTACACTTGTCATCTCTGAGAGTTTGCCCTGTCCATTTGAGCACAAATAAAAATACTAAAACAAAAACATGTCTCTAATCCCTGAATAGTGAAAACATACAGGCCTGTCTAATGTCCAAAGGCAACTCATTCCACAGTTTTGGTGCAGCCACACATGTGTGAATGAAACAAAACACAACTCCAGGTCTGTTTTTGAGAAGGAAACAACATTATAACATGGCTTAAAGCTCACAAGGGTCTATTTTTGCATAGTACGGGACCTTTTAAAGTTATTCAAGTTAACTATTTTTCTCCCCCATTGTGTTACATTGGGTGTGCCTTCTGTGATTTGAAGCCCAGTTAAACAAAGCCATTATTACAGCATGCGTGACTCATTAGTGATTGTACCCCGAGGTAAGAATAGGACGCTACATGCTAATTAGCTTCTGCTCTGGCTTCAGGTAAATGCAAAAACTATGAAATATTGAGTCTGACATTGCCCCGTGTCAATGTCGTCTCTGTTGTTTATGTACTGATTTTCTGGCTCGTGCACCATACAGGGACTTTGGTAACTTTGAAGATTAGGTAATATAAAAACAGTTGCTTGCCAAGAGTATTTAACCTGCTTTTAAAAGGGGAAAACATTGCCAAGTCAATCAGACGCTGGTCCAAAAAACCCTCTGGCGTTCTTAAAAAGTGCTTCCTTCTCATTCGCTGATGTTTAACTGATGTTGTTTTTGGCTTTAGACTTGACAAGGATGAAGAGACGTGCGTTTGGATCCAGTAATGGCGGTGAGTGTCCGATATTCTTAATTTTTGTAATGTTTTTATTTACAGACTTGCTTCGCTGACATGCGTAATGGGGCGTGCAGTTAGTGGCCAAAACACGACCGTCTCATCTGTCAACATCTTGGATAAATCATTTTCGTAATTACACACAACAAACTGCTCCGGTACTGACTTAAAATGCAGAAGTGGCATTTAGTAGCTTTTAAGAGATACTCCCATCGCACATGTACTTTTTTGATTTATTCATGCAGGTATTCATGAGTTCCAGTTTTGAAGAACTTTCCTCATTCAAAAGATATAATATTTCAATTTGAATTGTGTTATTGCTATGAAAACGGAGGACTGTTACCATGAGAAATAATTTAAATCTGGAAGAAATCTTTATGCTTGAAACCCATCGACATTTATAGACATGAAATTCTCCAAACAACTGTAAAACAACTCACCTTTATGTAACAGATAACCCTCTGTCCTGTTTCTCCTTATGACCTCTTGTATGTAGCTGAGATATATTTGTATTACAATATTTTTATATATTATTATTACTTTATTAATATTTTAATATATAATTATGCCTTATTTGACACCAACTCCAGTGTTCCAAAGTCTTCCTGGACTAGTCGAGTTGTTCAGTGGAGAATAGCATTTCTATCAAACACCACATCTACTAAATGTAAGGAATGTAACAATAACCAAAATATCGTGATATCGTATCGTCAAAGGTCTTACAATAATATCGTGGACCATCACAATACATCGAATTACAAGTCTCTTTGGTTAAATTAAGAGTGATGGTGCAGCAATAGATTAAAAAATACAGAGGGAACTACATAGACCATGATCCTTTGCTCCATTTCAGTGTAAGAAATAACAATTCTAAGCACTTTTAAGTCTTAGTTCTTTAGATTAAGTCTTGTCGAGGCATTTTAAGAGGAAAAAGTCGCATATTAACAGTTTTAGCCTCCACAAAATATCACTAATATGTATATTGTGAAAATATTGTACCAAGAAATTTGGATATTGTTACATCCCTAATTGTGAGCCTCCCTACCATATCGTGAGCTTTCCCACCATATTGCAATAAATATCGTACTGTGAGGTTCATACCGTGACAATATCGTATTGTGAGGCTTGGATATCATTACACCCCTCATAAATAACACAGACATATGTAATGTATTATATGTCTGTGCTGAAAACCATGAATTCGTAATCATGTATTTAAGGTGTGATTGCTCAAATGCTCACATATCCACGCCCACAACCCTGTACGAGCTTCAGTTTCTTCCAAAAATAGACTTTAATAGATAATAATAATAGACAATGTGTCATAGAGTTCAAAAATGTATGACATTTTTTAGTACAGTAAACGAAGCTCTGCTGCTTGCTGCGCTGACACACTGTTTCTGTAGAAGTCAATGGACCAGTTTTATTATTATGAAGTTTCAGATCAACATTGTGGTTTACAAAAGAGCAAAATACAAAATGATGATCTAGATTATCTCGGCACATCTTTTTTCCTCTTATCTTTTTTGATACTTTTCACAAATGAAGAGTTCAATTGCACAAAGGAATATTTCCGTTTTGAAAATGTCAGAAAGCTATTTTTTCTTTTCGTGATCATGTTCTACAGATATTCTCAACAAAAATAATGTTGAGTGGAGTTTTGTCAAGAAGAGAATAATGTTTTGATTTAATTTTGCTTAAACAGAGTAAAGCAGCAAGCCTCCAGTGTTGTTTTTTTGGCACTTATTACTTTATGCAAATGAATTCTTGATGTGCTGTGCTTGTGTCTTCTATATAGTTATAATCTATGAGATCTGTGGATTGTTATGTTCCTTTTGACATTTTAAATCACAATACTGATCTAAATCACAACACATACACATATCTAAATCGGCATCTCCCGTGGATAGCTGCAGATCACGCAAGAGAGTATAATTTTTTCCCCATTTGTATCAAAATCACTACATGACGCTGCCGAATCCTACACGTATCACTGATTAAGAAAATAACATTTGAGCATGAAGTAAGTACAGAGCAGTGGGCGTGTGCCGGTGGCGGTGAAAACAGGGGCTGATCGACAAAATGGCCTCTTGAAAATAAGTGATTAAAGATTGCTCAGACATGCACGAGTCACTCTAAATACTACTGGGGGGAAACTACTAAAACATGGTTAAAGACTCTACATAATAGGTCTGCTTTAAAAATAACAGTATGTCACTATTACTACTTCTCTGTTTCAGTTTATGGGCGGGAGCGGTGCCTGGAGCCGATGAAGGAGGGCTCGTGCTCAGAGTACATGTTACTGTGGTACTTTCACTCTGCCTCAGGAGAGTGCAGGCCCTTTGTGTATGGAGGCTGTGAGGGAAACGGAAACAGATTCTCCTCCAGGCAAGAGTGTCAGAGCTGGTGTGGGACGAGGCAAAAAGGTACTCAGTCAGTTTAATAATATAAAAACAATATAATATCTTCAAATAGTATCACAATAATAATATAATAAAGGGCCCATATTACTCTATTTTCTGATTAATGTTATAATGTCATTTGTGTTTTGCTTTATTCAGACATGTTTAACACACAAATTCTGCATATTTGGTTCTACTGAGTTCTTCTCTCAAACAGAAAACACACTGTTCCACCTTGTGATGTCATGTTGTAATACAGGAAGTGCTCCACTGTGTTTTTAAACTCCATACACCCTCACTAGAAAAATGTGCATAATTTCAGCTCTGAAACTGCCAATCTGTACTGAACTCAAGGTGAAGGTCGAGCTGTTAACTTGAAAACCACCGCTAAATGACATCACAAGGTGGAACAGATGATTTTGAGCTTTGAAGATGTAAACAGACTAACAATAAATGAATGAAACAAAACGCAACTCCAGGTATGTTTTTGACAACATTATAACATGGCTTAAAGCTCACAAGAGTTCGTTTTGTATAATATAGGATCTTTAAAGAGGGAGTATTATGCAAATGTGACTTTTCTGAGCTTTCTACAATTTTATGACATTGTTCTCTCATCAAAAACATGCCTGAAGAGTAGGGGTGTAACGATATCCACTGTATTTATTGCGATATCTTGGGAAAGCTCACGATATGAAGGGGATGCTCATGATTAGGGATGTAACAATATCCAAATCTCTCGATATGATGTTTTCAGGATATACATCTCACAGTACGATATTTATTGCAATATTTTGTGGAGGCTAACAAAACTTTTAATATGCTACTTTTTCCTCTTAAAATACCTCGACAAGACTTAATCCAAAGAACTAAGACTTAAAAGTGCTTAGAACTGTTATTTCTTCTTGTAGTCTGGACTGAAATGGAGCAAAGGATCATGGTCTATGTAGTTCCCTCTGTCTTTTTTTTTTTTTAGCAATTAATGCATCATAACTCTTTATTTAAGCAAAGAAACTTGTAACTTGATATATTGTGATGGTCCACGATATTATTGTGAAAACTCTGACGATATCATGATATTTCAGTTATTGTTACATCCCTACTGAAGAGGATTTATGTGTCATCCATGCATGTTTGAGTAATTTAGTGATCCTCCTCCTTATGGTTAGGTGTAAGATTCTGTTTTCCTATTCTCAAGCCTACGTCACACATGCTCCTGCAAGGCAATTTTTCATATATATACAAAAGCAGATAGAAAACTGTACACTACAACTTCACAAACCTGATGTGATGTGCGGGAGTTTCATTAGCGGGATGCACTGAATGGGAAATGAGGAGTTTAGGAACTCAAAAATTCAGCTGAAACTTATTAAACATGTTAATATGATGTTTTTGGCAACAATAACAACAAAAATATATTTTTTTAATGAAAAAATTTAACATGGTGATCTATGTATTAGCAATTTATACATCATAGAAGTGTCATACTGTGGTCCCCAAACTAAACTGTTACAAAGATTTTATACAATATAATGCCATTTTCAACACACGCAGTAGGACTTCTTATGAAAAAGATCAATATTCATAGTGATTCTTGCTCAAATAGTTTCAATACTACTTTTATTATAGGTAAGTGTCTGGTTACGCTACTCTTTGCTCAATAACTATCTCTAAAAGTCACAGTTTTTAAATTTCTAATTCCAGATGCATCAACAGGCTCTGAACCGTGGAGATGACAACTTCTGATTCAACTTTGAATTTTCATGCTGTACTTTTTGAAATGTTGAAATGTTTTGTACAATGTTTTATTTATGTATATTTTGTACCTTACTTTTTGTATACAGAATAAATACAGCTTTTTGTTATAAAATGGTTGAAAAATATTTGCACTCTGATCTTTTACAAGAATAAATTACAATCAGGTACAGGTCCTTTAAACCTCAAACATTAACTTTTTTTTGACTCTAAGATTTGAATTATCGTTATAATATTTACAATTTACAACCTGTTTAATTTAAAACTGCCATTAGAAAGAACAGTTTGCATTGTCTTAATAAAAAAAAGGTTAGACTGTAATGTATTTCTCAAATTTGTCACATCAGTTTTGCTGTGAGAATTATCTGCTCCCACCTTCTCCAGTGCTCCGTGGTCCACACCTCCTGTCAGACACGCGACGCACAAATCTCCAAAGGAACATTTCAAATAAAGTCTTCATTAGCATAATCTGTATTAGTTCAAAAATGAGTGAGAACTTTGCATAGAAAACAATATACTTAGCAGCGCATGTGAGTTTTATTCATTAGACAGCACAAAAGGTATAGAATTAGATGCACAAACTTTTAATACTTAAGTTCACGGATTTTGTTCAGTAAAGTTGGAGACGTTATGCACTTTTGGAATATATGAGGGACGGATTATTTGTCATTTACATGTCAAAGGACGTCATTTCTCCAGCTGTGAATGTGTATAATGTATTCAACAACATGGAAGCTCATTATACCCTTTGTTTTTGACACATACTCAGGGTTTTGAAGTGGAATAAACAGCAGGGGGTTGTCACTGTGTAGTCCAACTTCTTAATTAAAATCTCTTCAATTGTTGGTTTAATAAGCAAAGGCCATGTGCAGTCCATGAAGAGATATACTAAAAGCCTGGGAATGATTGCAATATTGATGTGATTTGGTTATCATAAATTAGTAATACATTTTTCCAGTTTTTTAGACAGACGGATTCCTAGTATAGATTTTAATAATAACATAAGATGGCCACCTCATATTGTACAAAAAAAACCTGACATGTTGGTGGGACATTGGTGGCGCCACCTAGTGTCTCTGCTCAATTTCATTTCTCTCCAGCAACTAGGTCAGGAATCAAAATACACTAGACAGTTTGCAAAAACCTTGGAAGTGTGAGTTCAGGCACCATCCAATCATAGAAGAGCCATACATTCTGTGTTGGCAACAATTCCTGAGATCGAGGATTTAAAGCCAGAATAAAGAGAATGTTTGGTGAATTTTATCAATGGGAAAGACGTTATTGCCCTTCTCCCTATGGAATTTATGGCACATTACATACGTCACAACCAAATAGTAGTGATTGGTTAAATAAAAAATGTACCTGCCTACCGTTGAGCGAACTATTTTTAATGTTGCCAGGTCAGACGGTTTCCACGAAGTGAAATCGGCTCATGAATCAGGCTAGGACAATGGGGGAGGGACTCAGTAATGTAAACTCATAGATAAACATCACAATAACGCCATATTGGTTATGTTTAACCTCTTGAGACCTGAAGAAAAAAAGTGTATTGCAGTATAGATTTGTTTTTGTTATTTTCTATTTGGAGGTAAATGAACATTTTAGCATTTAGATTTTGTTCATTTTATTTTTATTTATGATTGTATAACATGTCCTTTGTAATGGACACCGGGAACATTTTGGTGTTAAGTCCATGTGAATTTAACAATCACAACTGAACAAAAGCAACTTTTTTGATAACCAACATCTCTGACAAGCTTCTGTAGTTGCCTCAAAAAGTTTTTAGACTTTTAATTTCTTTCTTTATTTTTCTTTTTTTTAATCATAGTGCAGCCACAAACTAGCTCCTATTGAGTTTTTTTTATTTTTTTTTATCCTGGACATGATAGTACCCCATAATCGGGCATAAATAGGCAGAGTCTAGTCCTCCCATTAACAGACTATCTTAAAACACTTAAAAGATTGACTGATTAACTCAATGTCCACTATAAGGGACACAAATGAATGGTCTTAGGAGATTAAGATACACTTTATTGTCCTTAAAGGTAAATTTGTCCTCTGCATTTGACCCATCCTTCAATACCAATGAGTCAACCTGTCGTCCAGACCCACGTCTAGATCTTGTTTCTCATCTTGGTCAGGATTATTTTAGCTGGAGGATTTTACCTATTGTACATGTTATGGGTTGATGAGAGAATCCAGAGTGCCCAGTTTTTCCAATAAAGTGTGAGAGCTTGTTACTGAACCACTGTGCCTCCAAGTATGCATATTTATCAGTCGTAACACACACAGAGGGATTGGACTTACAATCGGTGCCAACATACTACAACCCTTTAAGCCAGAGTCTTAAAATCATGTGTGTAATTCTCAAGTTTTTATTATTCATGTGGTATCTTTGAAAACGTGGGAAGATGGACAGGCACTCACCCTACACAGACATGAAGAGAACGTGCAAATTCCACACAGAAAGGCCCACCTGGTGCCTCTTTACTGTGAGGCAGAAGTGCAAACCGCTAACAGTGAATTTTACACGTCAACATGGTCAGTTTTGATGTGGGTTGGAGCTGTCCGAGGTGCTGAAACAAAACAGACAAATCCTCAGTGATTCAGACTGTACTCTCTCATGTTTAACAGATCTAAACATGTACAAAGATATAACAGTGTTCTAGTCTAGCGAGGATAAAAGTGAAAATGCTCCTTCGCCTCAAAATAAGTTTTTCTTCCTTTGTGTCAGTCGTCGTGATGGCTCGTGCCACTGTGCGGTATGTCACTTACAAAGTTTTTTCTTTACATCAGCGCCTCTCAGCCAATAGGACACGCGCTTCAATGAGAAATGTCAGTGTAGTGACGTTGTTGCTGGCGCACAACTCCACTTTAATGGATGCTTCTAATTGAATGCGCTGCGTAAAGAAGCGGAGACTCTCCAAGACTGGTCAGAGCGCGCACTACTGAGGATTGAGCTTGTTCCTAAAGTGGCGGTCCGTCCGGTGGTCGCGTGTAACGTGTGGACTGTTTTCTCCAGGAAAATAGAGGTACGTAAATCCACGTAAATGTTCTCGATCAGAACGTCCCATTACGCATTTTGTACTGCTTTGGAACATTTTTACGCGCAGTTTTGTGTAATGATGGGGCTTTGACGCGTATCTTTAAATAAAATTATAGTGCTTTTGTGTTTAAAAGTAACTTTGGATGTACTTGTATATTTATGGTCCGTGTGTTGTGCTCAGGAGCTGGACCGTCATGCTGTCGTCCCTGAAGACGCTGCTGCTTCTCTCGGTCGTGTGCACGCCGACCTCCAGCCTGTGCCTGCGCCTGTACCCTTCAGACCTCCTGTGTGACGAGGTCCAGAGCGACCGACCGGAGCCCGACAGCGCGCAGCTCAATGACTGGAGCTCCGTGCTGCAGTTTGGAGAGCTCCTGTCCTCCTCCTCCTCCTCCGCAGAGTCCAGCCGGGAAAAAAGGACTTCTAGTCCCGCGAACTACCGCTTCATCAGCCGGACCAAGCTCAAGGGCCAAATGCTCCGGAACAGCAGTAAAGCGGACCGCAGGAGCCGGCTCACCCTGTCCCTGGACGTTCCCACCAACATCATGAACGTGCTGTTCGACGTGGCCAAAGCCAAAAACTTGCGCGCCAAAGCGGCGGAGAACGCGCGCCTTTTGGCGCACGTGGGACGCAGAAAATGATCCTGATCTGGCTCCTGAACAGACTCTTCCACGGTGCGTTCGGAGCTCCATGTTTAGTTATGTTTCTCAATGCATTTTTTATGTTAATGCAGTTTAATTTAAAATTATTTTTCTGTTGTGCTACACCAGTAATTAAGCGGTTGCGACTGAACAATGTTAAACATGTGAACAGGTTCCTGAATGAATGAAAGACAAACACGACTCAGTATAATTATTTATGCTTTTTACGAAAGTTAAAGTGTTTATTTGAGTTGTTTATTTTCCCGTTGATTTTAGCTGTGATTCTTACATTTTGTTCATGTCGGTGATTAACGGCGGGTGTGAGCGCATAAGATGCACTCCCGCCGTATCACAAAGGCCGTTGAATTATTCACTTATAAAAGAGTTTCCCAACGTTTGGAGGGTTTTCATGCTCCATTCAATCATGTTTCTCTCATTATTGGATATGGAACTTCTCTCCAATAACTCCTGTCGTGATAAAATGCAAGAGAAAACCTCTTGTGCATGGGAATTATGTGTTCATTAGTATGTTATTTTTATACTTGAAATAATGTATTTTTCTTCTAATAAACAATATGCAACAAACACAGATCGATTTGAGCTCATATGCTGAATCTTAGTGGACTAAATCTATAAACAAAAGTAGGCGCTAATTGACCACGAAACCTGGCGCTAACTCAGAACATGCAGAGAACACCATGTCAGGTAAGTGCAGCTGGAAATAATAAAAACAACTTCAAATTTGACGATCTATAAAGACTGAAGACAGACAGCCTAATCATGTCTCCCAAAACTCACTAAAATGACATTCACCATTTTCTCTGTTCCCTCTAGTTTTAAGCAGCAGCCAGTCCCATTGTCACATATTATCACTGGGTACAGTAAAATACCGTCATAGTTGAGACGCAGTGGGAATCGTCTGAAACAGCGCCATCTGGTGGATTTTTGACACATGTCAGAACAATGATGACTCAAGAATCAGAATTACTTTCAAGAAGAAATTTTGTTACAGACATGCAGCTGACCGACAGAAGAAATAGAGTTACACAGTGTAGGCTTACACTGTTTCTTTTGGTAAAAAATAAAAATAACATTACACGACCAGACTGACAAACAAGTTTCGCCAATAAGTCATTATGTAGTGTTTTTCTTTTAAAGGAGCTTATGAGGGGCAATAAATTTATACTTTTTGTGTGTTGGTTTATTATAAATATATAGACATAACTTTATCTTTAACTAGTCCTTTTTAATTAGCAGAGGCAAAATTGTATTAAATGAATTATTGATATAAGGTTTG